GTCGTGCTACTCCGTACCGGTTTCGGTGCGGACCGAGTCGAGGTCGAAGGGCGTTCTGCGCGTGGCGGTGAGTACGCTCTCGTGTGTCTCGACGAGCTGGTGGGCGGCGGCGGCATGACCGGTTCGACCACAGCCGTGTCTTGCTCTTTGATCTTGTAGCGCGTGGAGGTCTTGGTAGGGCTATCCCCCGATGCCATTTCCGGAGTACCGGGGCTCGAATAGCCCGAATCATATCTCTCCACGCCCCTTGGCTTGATCGATGGTCGAACCATGTTCAGGAGAACTTGTTCTACCCGATTAGGAGGCTCTCGTCTCGAACGAGACTGAGGCTGTGCACTCGATGCAGATCGCGAAGTTTGAAGAGACGGCCGGACGGTGCTAGAGGATACCTTGATACTCGGAGAAGTGGCAGCCGTTGGCATACTGGGTCTCTTGGTCTCGTAGCTGCGGGACTGAGACTCCAGATGTTCGTAGGATCCGTTGCGGGATGTTGAAGGGCGAACATCTTCCCGGCTCGAACGGCTGGAGCGGCCGGGACGCCGAGACGTCGATGGCTCGGGGTCCGCAGACTCGTAGCCATGGTGGCGGACGGGTGACCGAGACGGCCGACGTCTCCGATCGCTCTCCATGGGAACAGTTTTGGAGCGAAGAATATAATCCTGTGCGGTTATGTGCAATTTCTCGTGCTTGGAGTCCCATTCATCTGAATAGTCATCGTCGTCATCGTACCGTGCACGCTCGGCGCGACGGCTTGAATCAGTCGATTTGGTCTTTCTCGAGGTCGAGTCGCGACTCCTTTTTGACTCGGAAGGGCGCTTAACTTTTACATAGATGGACGATGCGCTGGAAGTCGAAGCGTCGGAGTCATCTTCGGAGTCGTAGTACGGTCCCGCCCGTTCATGCTTCTCGTAAGCTTCCCGCCGCCGTTCCTTGGTACGGTATTTGGCCCGACTGGTGTGGGTCGATTTAACGCTCTCGCGAGCCGTATCTTTCGCCGTGCGAAGATGATCGAGGGGAACCGCCTTGGACTTCTTCTTTTCCTCGGTCGGCTTCGTCCGTGGTCGTCGCCGTTCGAACTCGTCGTACTTGCGGGACATTGGGCGCGGCTCCTCGGTGTACCTATAATCATCTTCAAAGAAAGCCGCATCGGCCGGCTTTCTCTCCTCATAGTATCGCCCATCGCGATACTCCCTGGAGGTACCGCTACCGCGCGGGGACGAATATGGGTATGAACCGCCAGAGGAGCCTTCGCGCGCCATCATTTCGCGCCGGAGTTCGGCCAGACGAACCTTTTGATCATACTTGATTCTCTTCGTCTCGTCGGAAAGAAGCTCGTAGGCCTGCTGTACTTGCTGGAACTCTTCTTGAGCTTTGCTGCGTTGAGACTCATCCTTCACCTTGTCCGGGTGGCACTTGAGAACCAGTTTCCGATGAGCGGACTTGATCTCAGCGAGAGTCGCATCCTTCTGAACTCCGAGGACAGCATATGGATCGATATCTGGTGTCGATAACATGATGTGAAGAAATCAACATCCGGTTGAAAAACATCAACAATGTGTGATTATCAGATGAGAAATATAAGACGGAGAAGAAAAAAGAAAAATAATTGATGTACCAGAGGCGAAATGGTGAGTTGATAAAGCAAAATGGTAGACACCAAGGGGAGCGGTATGGAAGAGGCGAGAGGCGGTGGGAAAGCACGGGAGTGTACCTGGGCCGACCTAGGTACGGGTGGATAAGGTGGGCGGATGCAATGGGGTGACGACCGTGACGTGGGTTCTTGTGACGATCAATAGTTCATTAATCCAGTGTTCTGGCACAAGACATCAACCAATTCATCTAAGAATGTCGGCGAAGACGGCAGAATGCTCCCCAAAGGATCATGTAATCTGGTATGAGAGAAATATATGCAGTGGGAAAGCGAGAGATCAGCAATGAGAACACTGCAAGGCAAAAGAACAACCACGGGGAATCGGCCCTGAAAAGCACGACAGCCAGAAGACAATGATTGGAAGAGACAGAACGAATATAAAAAACGGAGCCACTCTTGAATCAGGGGGTGGATAGTTGGGTCTGGATTTCCGAAGGGTGTTTCTTTCCGTCGTAGAAGAGGGTGTTTGATTTGTTGGTTAGGTACTCCGTTGAAGGGGGCAAAAAGTGGTACTGTAGCAGTGAAGTAGTGAACCGAGGGGCAAACCAGATGAGAAGCCGGTACAAATCAGAATAATAATAATAATAATAATAATATCAAGTCGGAGGAAAATTCAAAAAAGGCAAAAAAGGAACAGGCACGAGAAAAAAGTTTGAATTGGACGGGATGAGGGCCAACACTGAAGGCCACAAGAACAGTATGGACTGCGCCACGCTTGGTTGTCAACGTCGGTGAAGTGGCACCACTCTTAGTCAGAATTGTAGATGAACAGCTCGAAGACGAATAAGATGAGTAATAATGAGAGTACTCTTAGTTATGATGATGATGACGAAGTAACTGTTGTTGTTCTTGTTGATAAGTCAAGAAGAAGCGAAGTGGAAGATGCTCGATGATGCCACAGGAGGTGGAGGAACAAACGAGATTCAATCAGGACGCTTCCTCTGCAGGTTGGGTTGGGTTGGGATGGGATACGAATCTGGTGAATGAGTATGAGAATGACAATGACAATGCGATAGTTGTGTTGGTGTAGAAATTATGTAGTAGTTGAAAAGACCACGCATAAAAGAGTGAGCGTGTCTGGGGTTGTCTCCTTCTAAGTATCCAGCTGATTCTCTTCTTTTGCTGTTTCTGGTTGCCAGGGAAAGGATGATCTCAATTCGAATTAGCGGTCAAAAGGTGGGCGGAGTAGCTGGAAAGTGGATAGATCGATTAATTGGTAGATAATTAGTATCGAAGACGAGGAGAAGTAGAGGACGAAAGTGAAACCACGTTTAGGGACCCGCTTGGTGTCGCTCAGAGTTGGTCTGTTGGAGACTCCGACGAAGTGGAGGATACTTGATAGATAGTAGTAATGATAATGACAATCAGCGTGGGCAACAGGAGAAGGGCTTGACGATTCTCAGGGAGCAGCCGTGCATTTAATGAGGATGAAGCGATATATAGCTAGTCTAGAAGAGAATCACCTATGCTTGATATCAAAAAAAAAAGAATCAATTGACTAGAGTGCGGTTGCTAGAGCTCCTAAGAAGGATGCTCCAGGTACCAGTCCTGTGAATGGAAATCAGGAACAGGTGTGATACAAATAGTCAGCCATGAATCAGGCTGGAAAGAATGATCAATGATTGACGATGAGGTGCGCTAACAGGGACTCAGCAACAGCCCTGTGCTTGCTTGCTACACTACATGTTCGTTGGAGATGCCCATCATAGGGAGTATCACTATCACCCCGTGAGCAGCAAGCAGTAGTAGTTAGTATATTTGACGAAGAGCATACCCTTTATGCCAATAAGACAGCAGTGAGCCTTCTGCTCGCCTTATTTTACTCACGCCTAGTATTGAATAAATTCAGTTCCTCGCTCCAGCTTTCGGGGGAGGGAGGTCTGCAGGACAACAGAAAATGGGAATACCTCCTCTTTGGTTTGAGAACCCAACTAATCCTGATGATCCTTCGGTGTACAGTACTGACATTTCTTTGGCAGATGAGCAGCCAGCAGCAGTGCAACCGTCATCAGCCAAGGCTTGCGGGGCAATTTCAGAGTACCCCTCCATGCTCCATCATGACTGGATGGTGTGCTATCTGAACATGAACTAATCAGCTTCCAGGGGACAACACCTCCAATATGCAGTCTGACCACCGCTATCCTCTCAGAGGACTCAGTTGCAGCCATCTCCTGCAAAGGGAACGATGAACAGAAAACCCCGCACTAGTATTTTGGCGCCGGCTGTGACTGACTGGCTGCAACACTGGCCACACTTCGTATGTCCTCGACTTTTGCCCGATGATCTCCTCTCCTTATAGGTTGAAAGAGTTCCACCACTTTCGCCTTTCCTGGGGTCGACATACAGATCCAATCGCATCGTCGAGAGGCCCTGTTTTCTAATGGCCCGCCTCTCTGCATCTTGCCTCACCCATTGCAGGTGGTTGCTGCAGTCGCGGTCTAGAATTGGCTTACAACCTAGTCCCCCTCGGCTCTCGTCCCACAGTACGGAGGACAGAGACAGGTTCGTCATTCCCCTTGATTTTCCTTTTCAGGAGCTTCTGTAATCTTGCGCCTTATTCGCTAACCAGGAGTAGTGGAGCATTAGAGATCACATCTCTCATGTGCGGAGTTAGTTTTACATGCGACCTTTTTATTCAGGAACACCGAATTATCGTTGGCTGATATCTCCAACGAATCACACGGCTACAACCCTCATCGATCCGATCCTCGCTCGCGTGAAAATGGTCCCGTGGGTGGCTCCCGGCCGGTTCCGTGACACTTCCGCCGAAGGCAGTACGTACCTGAGTCCTGGGATGTCCATGCGATTGGTGTCTTTCTCTCATAGTTTGGACAACTATATGGTCCTTGAATGATAGGGTAATTTTAGAATCGGCTCAATCGCATTCATAGCATTAGGCTTCCATCGCTTTAGCAGCCCATTGAGGCGAACAGGACGAAAGGGAGAACGGATAAACAGCCTTTGATGTGGCTGACTCCTCCGAAAAGCTCGAACCACAGCGTAATCTGACGGGACCGGGGCCTGATGATGGCTGACACCCTACTTTGCGAGCTGGCCTATCGCATGTTTGTTGTGACCGTATGCCATCCCCAGAGCTCTGAGCGCTGTCGAAACATGAAGTGGACGCTTCTGGAAGCATAATTGGTTCCTGGGAGAGTCATCTGCACAGGAGGTCCGTTCCAGAAACGAGCCAACCATCGGCATGCTCTTGCCATGCAGTGATGATTGCCCCGGCATTAGCCTGCATGGCTAATGCTTCACCTTCCCTGCTCGAGCGTACCCAGTTACAGGCTCAGGCGCCCATCCACCGGTGAGTGAGCATAATTGCAATGTCACATTTCTGGATGGGTGTGATTTATCTTATCCCCAAGTGACCGACGGCAATGATGCGAAGCTGTCACAGAGTCCCAGAGTCTATCTAAACGCTGATTTCCTCCTTCATACTAGTGGCGGACCATGTGGCCTGTAATTTCTTGAGTCTCCGCTTGTATCGTTTCGATGATCATCAACTGATAGATACGAGATATTAAGTAGTTAATTGGCTTTGATGGATCACCAATATGCACACTGTACATATGATCTCCTTGCTTTTACAATGTGCTACTTTCTTGCAAGGAAAATCAACTGCGCTGCCTGCACCACAAGTAGGCGATCCATGGCTTGCCGCATCAGAGTCAAATTGTGGGGTACTACAAGGCGCAGTAAACAGTAACCATCTATCTAGAAATAGAACATATCCAGGCACTGACAGCATTTACCCAAACAAGCGTTCCTCCGAACATCGCAGCCAGCAGCTACCACCAGGAGCGATTTACTGCAGGCAGCGTAGTTTCGCAGACAACTAGACTAAGCAACGGGGTACGGGTACGGAGGACAGAGTCCTACAGTTACAACTCCCACTAGAGACATCTCCCGATTTGGCCAGGCGCATCTAACCTATCTTATCAATTGGCGGCTAGTTATCCAGCATCGAGATCTTCCTCCACTTGGAACAATCGGAGTGAAAGACTCAAAAGTCCGAGTTCTTAGTCTCGACCCACTCAGGAGCGATTGATTAATTCAAGGTTAGCGCGCCAACCCTAGCAGGTGGCGCTCACGGCGATACTGATGGAAATTGGAAACAGGAACAAACGCCGACTACCGATACGGAGTATTCAGCTACGTCCACGCCTCTAGGTACTCAGCAGTCGGTATTCCCAGAGGTTGGTTACGTACTGCTGAGAACAGTTTTTTATGGCTGAAGCTGAATGTTTAGATAAGATCTTAGCTACTGACGGAATTTCAGCTCTGGGGACTTAGTCATAATGAGTCGAGGTTCGTCATAGTTATAAGACACTAGCTTTTTAAGATACTTTGTAATTTCACGCTGTATTTCGCCTGAGTAGTCTAGGACCTTGCGACAAGTGAATCCAATCTGCGTGGTCTTATGCTGAGATCATCTTGACATCGGCAACTACAAAGTATCAGCACAGCACCTGGCAGAAGATCAAGCTATCACCGCGCTAGATTTCCTCCGCCATTCATAAGGCGGTAACAAGCGCTCTTCTCAGGTGTGAGGTTGGGTACAGTCAACCTTAAACTGGTGACATCGCTCGATCAGGTGATGGAGGGGTCTTGCGGATGACCTTTAGACCTTCGTCTAGAGTTAATAATGTTCATCAGTAGGATGTCGTTTGATCAGGTTTCTGTAAACGATATGGTGGGATGAGACGGTGCTTTGGTCCGCGATTTGAAAACAAATCCTCGCTTGCCCTGTGGGGGTGACGACCCGGTGCTCGTGGTCAAGGGTGTGGACCTACCTAACATCTTGAAGGAATGATGTAATGGAGAAAGCCGAGACCTTGCTCTGCTTATCACTAAGCTCATCAAGGCAGCTATGCACCACCCAGAGATGTAGTCTATCTATTTGCCGACTGTAGGTCAGAGCTGCATCGTCCGTTGCGAGCCGCAAAGAGTATACCAGCCTCATAAGGCAACGAATACAGTGTCAGACTGGAATACTTGGTAGATATGCCAAAGCTTCAAATATTGTAAGTTTACTGGGCTACTCAGGCTCTGTCCAGGTCGGCAGCTCCAGGTCAACTACAATAGGGGAATTGAATCTCTTGCCCCCTCGGTGCGGCCATTTGCTTGCCACGATAGCAGCGTTGACGATGCACGTCTCTTTTCTTCGAAGATGGATTTCGCCACTACGAGTGTCCTCGATCGAACTAGAACGGAGCGAAAAAGGTATATTCTGCCTCTGCTGCGGACTGTCGGGCATCGTGGCTGTTGAGGCTGTGATTGAGGGCAGAAGTAGGGCATTCTGCGACGGTGTGAATGATGCCGTCGGCAAATCTGGATTCGCCTGGACAGAGTAGCCATCGTTGTCTAGACGCTCGGCCTCTTTGCCGCTTAGGTCAACTAAGTTTTGCTTCTTGCTTTCTCGAGGAGGTAAGACACCTCGCATAACCTGATGCTCGGTTTGTTCCGGTCCGGCGTTGGTTGACAATGGTGAGGACCATTTGACCCTCTCATAGCCCCGCGCCTCATGTACATGACCACAAACGGCAAGCAGAGGTCTCACCTTGCTCAATGTCTGACGCAGGGCCTTGCACCCGACGGGCTCGCCAGTGCTCAGGCTGTCACAGTGAGAATGAGGCGGCGTGTGTGTTATGACAATGTCAGCGTCCAATGGAATCTGCCCCCAGAGCGCAGCAGCGTCGGCCGACTCGTATCCGAATGCCCAGTCCCCCGTGAACTGAGAATAAGGCGAGCCAAAGACTTTAAATATGGTCTTGGGGCCGTCGGCCCGGGTCAAGCGGACTAGTGCTGACTGATGCTGAAGAAATACTATCGAGGGTGGTCCTGCCCTCACAACTTCCATGCATTGCCCAGAGTTTTTTAGATGCTGGTTATGGAAGGTCGATCCGTATTTAGCATAAAAGCTTGCGTCTAACGTAATATCATGATTGCCTGGACAGGTATGCTAATCAGTAACCACACACATACACTACCGCTGTGCTCCAATCAGACTAACCGCAGACAACTATCTTGACCTCATAGTCGGCCTTGGAAATCCATTCGATGGTTTTGCGCAACTCAGATAGACTGCCTCGGTTCGTCAGATCTCCCGCGTGAATCAAGACATCGCCTGCTGGTAGCTTGAACCCTGCTTCTGATGGCGTGTATCCGTGCGTGTCAGAGACGCAAACAAAGCGCGTCTTTCGAAGCCTCATCAGTTCGCTAAGGCTTTACTGTAAACAAGCCTGCTTTGTTATCATTCGACGCTGCAACAAGGGCTGCCAGAGACTGTTTAAAGCTGGAGATAACGTAGCAGTAGGTCGGCTGGGTCGTACATAACTCATACAAGGTTCGAAGTGGGCTTCCAGACACGAGGACTAGTAGACCATAAAGCGAGTTGAGGATGAATACTTATGACTTTTGTCCGCAGTTCAACCTCGGAACCCGTAATATGAGAACAGGTAAGTACAAGTCGACCAATCTTAGGTAGCCAACATGAAGCGTTGAAACTTCTAGATCATGCCAAGAAACGTCAAGGAATTTGATCGGTGGCCGATCGTTGATTAAACTATTTTGAGTGAGTCAAATAGGTAGTACCAGGAGCTACTCTGTAAGATCATAAGGTTGTCAATGTCATTCCATTGACCAAATTTGAAGTCGCCATGTAAGGCTCATGATTCACGCCGGAGTCGGCCTGCCGAGTGAAGATATTGACATCACCGGCGACAATCCACGGAGTAGATAAACCACAATCAATAAAAGACAACTAAATGCTCCTTTTCGGTGGAACAGTTTGAGACTGGCCTATCACGAAACAATTCGTCTTTTGGACCCAGGAAGCGTCAAACTGGGCTGGAATTGACCGGAGGGGCAAAAGAGGCGGTTCACGTGATCTCGAGCCACGGGATTGGACCGGGTTAGGGCTGTGGCCCTCAAATGACCTTTCCACACAAAGGGTAGTAGCTTCGCTTAGCGATCTAACTGCGAACCCATCCGACTTCGTTGTGTGCGTTGAACTCGACCACAACGACAACAACCGCCGACAACATACATCCCAAGGGAGTATCCTAGAGCAGCGCTCTTCCTTTCGCTGGATATTTTCCTTTTGAAACGGTGACAGAAGAACAGGATGTCCTCCACCGAGCCAGTCGTGCGTACCCGCTTTCACCTGCAGACCGCCAAAAACAACGTCGTCTTTTGTGCTTTGGAGATTTCAAGGACGGGAGACGTTGTGGTCTATGTTATCTACAATTACAGTGATCGCTGACTTGTTCTGGGAATTTACAGGTCGTCATTGACGGCAAGGGACACCTTCTTGGTCGCCTGGCCAGCACTGTTGCTAAGCAGCTGCTTAACGGCCAGAAGATCGTCGTTGTGAGATGTGAAGCCCTCAACATCTCCGGCGAGTTCTTCCGTGCGAAGCGTACGTTATCCGATTCGTTTTTGTATCCCCTTTGAAGGCGCAAGAGGAGGGTGGAGCAGAGATATACCGAGACGTGGAGACATTTGGAGATGCTGCGCCCATTCGACGCTGGTTCGGAGCAAAGAGCTGACATGGTCACTTTTGATGATATAGTGAAGTACCACGCCTACCTTCGCAAGATGACTCGTTACAACCCCACTCGTGGTGGTCCCTTCCACTTCCGTGCCCCCTCCCGCATCTTCTACAAGGCCGTCCGCGGAATGATCCCCCACAAGACCCCCCGTGGTGCTGCTGCTCTGGAGAGACTCAAGGTCTTCGAGGGTGTTCCTCCCCCCTACGACAAGAAGAAGCGCGTCGTCGTTCCCCAGGCTCTGCGTGTTCTCAGACTCCGCCCCGGCCGCAAGTACTGCACCGTCGGTAGACTCAGCCACGAGGTTGGCTGGAAGTACCAGGACGTTGTTGCCAGGTGTGTATCCATCGCTTTGGATCATTGGTTTTTCTGGTGTTATGGACATGGCTAATGGATGATTCTTTTCAGACTTGAGGAGCGGAGAAAGGTTAAGAGCAGTGCATACTACGAGCGCAAGAAGGCCGCTCGCCGCCAGCTCGTCCATGCCCAGAAGTCGGCGGGTGTTGACGAGAAGACCAAGAGCCAGCTTGCTGAGTACGGATATTAGATACCTCGTTGCGCGGTTGGTTGCTTGTCTCAGTGATGGGTTGGGTTGGGATCGCAAACGGTTTATCTTTCAGCGAAGTTGGACGGCAAACCGATCGACCTTTTTTCCCTTGTCCCTACCTCATCATGCATTACCACAAATGTTCATTTTGTGACGGACATGGAGGCTACAGGAACCGATTTCATATTCAAAAGTGAAAAATACGGAGTCGCTTGGGAGGAAAGGTTGTTCAAAATAGCTGACCGTTATTTCGCGCCGTCGCGGTTTAATCCAAAGATTTCTCGAGTTAAGAATGACTCTCATGACCATTGACAATGCTCGTTTCCATCCTTTGTTTTTTCATTCATCGTTCATTTGACTGTAAGACAAGATCCAATGTATGTCAATGAGCGTAGTCTGTTAGCGATCGGTCCCCCTATGCCTGAGTCTCAGGATCGACACGTCCAAGTCATCAATGACCAGCCTCGGATATCACGGACGTACGGAGTACGGATCGAGTGCGGATCATATGGGTAGTCGATAGATGGATACTGGGTGTGCTTTAGGAGAAGTCTGTGGCCTAGGGTGGTTTGTTACCTGAGTGGTTCGAGATACGCAAAGGATAAGCCGGGATAGACTTTTCATTACGAAATAAAAGATGCGGCTGTCTCAATAACGATCATTGAGCTCTTATATCATTTTCCTTTTGAAGATATCCATATTTTACTTGTACCGACAAATATTTGGACAACAAACGAGGCATGTGGAAGAGGCACCCGAATCCCGCTTGGTAGGGTGCGGGTAAGTCAAACTTCTCCGCGGTCCAAAGCAGTCTAGCAGCCGATCATTCCCCGCACTTTGTCTCCAATTCGGCTCTTGTTGTATGGCGCTCCCCTTGTTCCGCGAATCCAAACACCAGCAATAATTATATACACCTGGAGCTACTCGGTTCTTGCACCTTAGATTTATGAATCTGGACTCTTTTGTTTGGCTACCGTACCAAGCCCTTAGTCATGTCATCTGTCAAGACTCGCTTGTCGGGTCTACTGGGCCATCTTGCACCCCCCGAAGCTAAGGACCACCCTGCTCCGCAACATCGCATCAACTACCATACGCTCTCGCCCACATTCTTCTTGCCCCGTGCTGCGGCAATTGAACCTGATGTGAGACCTTGTTTTTCCCCTCTTTGCGCTGCTTTTGTACAAAGCAACTGTTTTGGTTTCAGTGGACTAACTGGGGAAAACCATTGGCTGATAGGCTGAAGCCATCTACCATGTCACTGCAAACAACCAGGTTCTGCGGAGGACATATATAGAGACTGCAGACCGTGCCAGAGGCCTTGCATACTACCTCAAGAAGCATGGGTTCAAGCGGGTTGGCATTTTGTGTCCGAACACCCCTGCCTTCCTGGAGTCTATCTTTGGGATAGCCGCTGCTGGAGCAGTCAACATTGGTAAGGGCGAGATCGTTTCCTCATTTCCTGCAGCAGAGGTTGACGTCGACACCAATTAGCTGTTAATTACCGACTCAAGGAAGATGATATCGCCTATATCTTCACGCACTCGGACGCCGAGGTCATCATTGTAGACAAAGAATATCTACCACTACTGCAGGCATATCGAGCGGCAAAGCCAGACATTCCCGTCATAGTCGACACGGATACAGATGCTACAGAAGGCCAACTTTCCGGTCCTTTTGATGAGGCTGTGTTACAAGGTCTCAAGTATGATGCTGACACAGGCGCAAAGGGCTGGGATGGGCTGGAAAGCCAGGCTGCTTCCGAAGACGATGTCATTGCGCTTGCTTATACCAGTGGCACAACGGCCCGCCCCAAAGGCGTCGAGTTCACCCACCGCGGCTGCTACCTAGCTGCCTTGGCCAACGTGATTGAGTCTGGCCTGAATTTTCAACAAGGCCGCTGCCGTTATCTATGGACTTTACCCATGTTTCATGCAATGGGTTAGTTATATGCTCTGTCCCAGGGTCATTAGTCTGTTGTCATCCGACTAACTTTTCCAGGCTGGACATTCCCCTGGGCAGTGACCGCCGTCCGTGGCACCCATTACTGCCTGCGCAAGATCGACTATCCGGAGATTTGGAGATTGCTGAAACAAGAGCACATCACCCATTTCAATGCGGCTCCAACCGTGAATACCTTGCTGTGTGCTGCCAACGAGGCCGAGCGACTTCCGCGGCCGGTCCAAGTCACCGTAGCGGCCAGCCCACCGACCCCGCATCTCTTTGAGCAGATGACCAACCTCAACTTGCACCCAGTGCATGTGTACGGAATGACAGAGACATATGGACCAATTACCAAAGGGTACTACATGCCTCAATGGGATCAACTGCCGGCGGAAGAGAAATATAAGAAGATGGCAAGACAGGGACATGGTTTCGTGACTAGTTTGCCCGTTCGAATCATCAAGACGGACGTTCCGGAAGGAACCATTATTGACGTCCAGCGGGACGGCAAAGAAATAGGAGAGATTGCCTTTGTTGGCAACATCTGCTCCCGGGGCTACTACAAAGACCCCGAGGCGACGCGGAAGCTCTTCGCGGGGGCGTCTTGCACTCCGGGGATCTGGCGGTTTGGCACCCAGACGGAGCTGTCCAGATCTTGGACCGAGCAAAGGACATCATCATCAGCGGTAGGCAATATTAGTACTCGGTTGTGGCTCATTCGACGCAATGCTGACCAAAACTGAACAGGAGGCGAGAACATATCATCCGTCGCTCTCGAGTCGATGCTCGTTACGCACCCCGACATTCTCGAAGCTGGCGTTGTGGCGGTCCCGGACGCACATTGGGGGGAGCGACCCAAGGCATTTGTGACTGTGAAGCAGGGAAAGCAGATCGATGGAAAAGAAGTGATCGCGTGGGCCAAAAATCACAGTGCGATCAGCAAGTTCATGGTCCCTCGGGTGGTCGAAGTTGTGGTGGAGCTTCCCAAGACGAGTACGGGGAAGGTCAGGAAGAATGTCCTTCGAGAATGGGCAAAAGGGGGAAGTCGAACCTGACCAGTGTCGGCTGAAGTAGAATCTCGTTGAGAATACGAGATTGCGAGTGCTGTTGAGGGTATCCATGGGTCTGCCCCTTTCTGGTGGCAGACACTAAATCGAGACATTTTGCCCACTATCGACACTAATCTTTTATGGGACCCACTGCTGCCAAGCCTATGATGGCATGCCATGATGCGAACTTGCAAGATGCATCCCAAGTATGTGATAGTCTCGCTATTGAGACCAGGTAGTGAAGAGGGATATCATGGTTGATGGGGTTGTCTAGAAGGTTGTCTCCAGTAAAGCCAATCGCTTCGTGTTGCCATCGCCAATAGAGACTGGGGCTTGCGATGATCACTTATTCTCAGCGATATATTTTTGGATCCAGGATTTGATACAGGTCAATCCCAAGGACCTTGTGTATAAGTGTATATATTAAGGAGGGACTGTGACGGCCACCCTCTAGATACTATTTTCTTCCAGCCAATCGGTGCGCAAAACAAGCGTTTCGCCTGTATATTCACTTTGATCCTGCCTTAGGCACCTTATGCCCATGACTCTATTGCCTTGCGCAGCTTGAAACCCTGGAATTTCAGCTATATCCAGGTCAGAATTCTCTAAGGTACGAGATAAATCCTTAAGACAAAGAACGTCGATCCTACCGTGAGGTCCAGCGGCGGGACTGGAACCATCATTCTTATTTGCCTCCCATCCTTCCTTCGACTAATCATCCATCACTTTGGCAGCCGCCGCCGACCCTGTGCTGACTCTCGTCTTCTAGCCGCCCGATCAAACAGTTCTTTGGGTTCCTCGATACATCCCACCCATCATACCTACAGTTTTCTGTCGGTCATATCGCTACGCATAGACTGTCTGGATAATGCTGCTCTAAGCATAAAATCTCGATAACTCCACCACGTCTTTCCCTCTCCGATCGAGCGTTTGTCGTTCCCTTGGTCAATAATCCGCCCGCCCCAAACCTCCATTCTCCGCTCCTCAGCCCCTCCCTTACCTTCCGGGTTATTGTGCAACTGCTGCAGGCACGCTCAGACGCGCGTTCCTATTGATACCTGTCATCTATTCCCTGTTTCTCGTCCATTTTTCCCTAAACGCTGCGAACGGATCCATCGGCCGGTTTGGACGGCGCCGTGCTTTTGCTCTCGTTTCCCTTTTTTCAGCTTGCTTACAGGGTCTGCTGGTGTCAAGGGATATCGAACGAAGTCACCCGCTTTCGAGCTACGGATTTCTGCTAACAGCGGTATCCTTCTCATGTCAAAGTACTCATGAATAGCGTATCTCATGCTGCTGGAGAACCCTGATCAGACAACCCTCATCACAAGACCTCCTCAGGCTTCACACCCGGAATCCAGAATGCCCCGCTCACGGCAACCACTTCGCTTCTCGAGCGAAGTTCCCTCCGAGTCCTCATCATCCACCTCTCCCGATCGCACCGTCGATGATGATACCGACTTCTTCATGGCCCAGGCCAACGATTCGCAGTCTTCCGTCGGGGTGGGGAACTTCCGCGAGCCTCGCGACCAGAATTCAAGAAACACAGTAATTCCGCCGATCGGACGTCTACCGCCGGAGCTCCTTATCTCGATATTCGCAAAGCTCAGTTCAACTGCGGATCTGCTGAGTTGCATGCTGGTATGCCGAGGGTGGGCTGCCAACTGCGTCGGGATACTGTGGCATCGGCCGTCGTGCAATAACTGGGACAACTTGAAGAGCGTAACAGCGTCCGTGGGAGAACCGGATAGTCTATTCGCATACTCGGAGCTCATCAAACGGCTCAATCTCTCCGCCTTGACGGAAGATGTCAGCGACGGCACTGTGGTCCCCTTTGCTCAGTGCAAGCGGATTGAGCGGTTGACCTTGACGAATTGTTCGAAGCTCACGGACAAGGGCGTCTCGGACCTGGTGGAAGGTAACCGGCATTTGCAAGCTCTAGATGTCTCAGATCTACGATACCTTACGGATCATACTCTATATACTGTTGCCAGGAACTGCCCTAGGCTTCAAGGACTCAACATCACTGGGTGTATCAAAGTGACCGACGACTCCCTTGTCGTCATTTCGCAAAACTGCCGACAGATCAAAAGAGTGAGCTTTAAAATGGTTTCTGATCGATTTACGTTGCCTATGCTAACAAGTACTTCCAGCTGAAACTTAACGGAGTCGTACAAGTAACGGATCGGTCAATCCTATCCTTTGCCGAAAACTGTCCTGCTATTCTTGAAATCGACCTGCATGACTGCAAACTTGTCACAAACCCTTCGGTGACCTCGCTCATGACCACACTTCGAAACCTTCGCGAACTGCGACTGGCCCACTGCGTCGAGATTAGTGATGCGGCATTCCTAAATCTTCCCGAGTCCCTCTCCTTTGATAGTCTCCGCATCCTGGACCTGACCGCATGTGAGAACGTCAAAGATGATGCTGTCGAGCGCATCGTAAGCGCTGCGCCTCGTTTGCGGAATCTGGTCTTGGCCAAGTGTAGGTTCATTACGGACCGTGCAGTGCAGGCCATTTGCAAGCTCGGAAAGAACCTCCACTACGTTCATCTGGGCCACTGCTCCAATATCACCGATCCTGCGGTAATACAGCTGGTGAAGTCTTGCAACCGGATCAGATACATCGACTTGGCTTGCTGCAACCGTTTAACAGATAACAGCGTTCAGCAACTGGCGACTCTACCTAAACTTCGACGAATAGGCTTGGTCAAGTGTCAGCTGATTACGGATCAGAGTATTCTGGCTCTGGCACGGCCCAAGGTGTCCCCTGATCCTCTCGGTACGAGTAGCCTGGAGCGAGTGCACCTCAGTTACTGCGTCAACCTGACAATGCCGGTAAGTCTTCTGACATCAGTCCCGGTGTTTCGCCAGTACTGATTTGGCTGTCTAGGGAATACATGCTCTGCTCAATAATTGCCCTCGGCTCACACATCTCAGTCTCACTGGTGTGCAGGCTTTCTTGGTTCCGGCAGTCACCCGGTTCTGCCGCGCAGCACCTCCGGAGTTTACCCAACAACAACGCGAGGTGTTTTGTGTGTTTAGCGGTGAAGGGGTCAATCGACTTCGGGACTACTTGAACCACAGTCCTGACTCCACCCGCGAAATGACAGAAGCTACCATGTATGACGATGACGAAGAGTTGGATGAGGACGAAGGTCAAGTGACTGGCCTGATGCATGCGACAGTCATAAACGACGAAGACTATATCGATATCGGACATGCTCACAGTTGATACCCCCTCTGCTGTTCCTTCGAAGCGTGTTTTTTTTCCCGTGGCGCCTTTTTGTGTTTCTCTGCCTTTCTTACCCTTCATATTTCGCATGACGTTTGTGTCAATTTTGGCATTATCATTCACGGAATCATGGCTAAAGAGCGGGCGTGCCCTATCATTTCGACCTCATACGTACAAACTAGGACTGTCAGATTTCATCATCTGGAATTGCATCAATAGCGGTTGATACAACCTGGGATTCGGGTTATTCATGTTTGTTTACTTGGGATAGGCATATATATGGCTTTCATTTCATTAAGTTCTCGGACCTGTCAATCTTCGGTTGTCAGATGCTTTGGAGTAGATCACCGTCATGATGTGACTTATGTCATGGAGTGGAGACTATGAAACGCACTTCTCATACAGTCTACACTATTCTCTCATCGCATCAATACAACAAAATGCTCCAGTTATTTCGTCGCTTTATTGATATTGTCTGATCATTGGGCTATATCCATTCGGTTTCGATGGGATAAATTTTGTTTGGCCTGAAACGAAGTAGGAGTTGATGCTGCACATCTACATAGCACGGTCTCTACGGAGTATTGCATACCGCTTCCCCGCTCTCCACTCTTCGAGCGCGTCCACCTCACTCCCGATCATTCCAGCTGCGCCTGGGTTTCGAATCCCAGTCGTAGGCGTGACAGTTGAGCCTGAAGTGACTGGTTTTGTTCAAATCAGCGTATCTGATGGCCCGTCCTTCGCTTTCACGATCCAATCCCCTCGGATTCACACCATGGCCCGTCACCGTTATCACGGCGGTCGTGTACCTTGCGCTAGTGGTGCCGTTACTTGTCGTCCACCACGTCGTGCCTTCGGCTCCTAGCTCCAGTCCAAATGGACTGAATCTGACCGAAGCCTGGACTGATCTGCAGGCGCTCACGAACGGGTTCCACCCGTACAACTCCCACCGCAATGACGAGGTGCACGAGTGGCTTCTGAAACGGATCCACGAGCTTATCGACAGCGCACCACCCGCGAGCGAGTATGAATCGGTCGACGAGGAGAAGCCAGACATTTTTGTCTTTGACGACACGCAGTCGAACCTAACTTTCTCTGGCCGCGGGTCGGGCCTCGGGGTGTATTTCGAAAGTACCAATGTCATGGTGTATATCCGGGGGTGGGAAGAGGATAAGGAGCGCTGGTGGGAAGACCCGCACGGCCGGCCGGCGGGCAAGGGCGGCGTTCTGGTGAACGCACACTACGACAGCGTGTCGACGGGATACGGGGCCACCGACGACGGGGTGGGCGTGGTCTCGTGCCTCCAGCTGATCAAGTACTTCACCACGCCGGGGCATGCCCGCGGCGCGGGCTGGTGGTGCTCTTCAACAACGGAGAGGAGGATTTCCTGAACGGCGCGCACGTGTACAGCCAGCACCCCATCTCGCAGCTGCCGCATACGTTTCTGAACCTGGAGGGAGCGGGCGCGGGCGGCCGGGCGACGCTGTTCCGCAGCTCGGACGCGGAGGTCACGAAGCCGTACATGCGGGCCCCGCATCCGTTCGGGTCGGTGTTGAGCGCGAACGGGTTCGAGGCTGGCCTGATCAGCAGCCAGACGGACTATGTGGTCTTTGAAGGCGATCTGGGCCTGCGCGGCCTGGACGTCGCATTCATGGAGCCCCGCGCGCGGTACCATACGGACGAGGACGATGCGCGGCATACGAGCTTGGATTCCGTGTGGCATATGCTGTCTGCCGCGGTGGCCACGACGGAGGGTCTGGTCTCGGACGCCAGCGGCCGATTTGAGGGGCTGCCGCGCGAGGATGGCCGGATTGCCAGTGGATCTGGGCCGAGGGGTGTGTGGTTCGATATGTTCGGGAGCGCTTTTGTTGTCTTTGAGCTGCACACGCTGTTTGCGCTGTCGGTGACGCTGCTGGTCGTGGCGCCGCTCGTTCTGCTGGTGACGAGCATCGCGCTGACTCGCGCGGACAAGATGTACCTGTTCCGATCGTCGGCATCGCCGGAGGACAGCGACGGCAGCGAGGCGGTGCCCTTGCACGCGGTTCGGGGCTTCTTCCGGTTTCCCTTTCTGCTGGTGATCCCCACGGCGGTGACGGTGGGTCTGGCGTACCTGGTCACCAAGTTCAACCCGTATATCATCCACAGCAGCGAGTATGCCGTCTGGAGCATGATGATATCCGCCTGGGTCTTTTCGGCGTGGTTCGTCTCGCGCGTGGCGGACTTTGCGCGGCCGTCGGCATTTCATCGCGTGTACACGTTGACCTGGTTGTTCCTTGTGGAGTGGGTGTTGCTGGTCATTTCCACGGTCTACGAGAACAAATACGGTCTGGCTGGAGGCTATTTTGTGTTTTTTGCATTTGCGGGGACGTTCCTTGCGACGTGGATCTCGTATCTGGAGCTGTTTGCTCTACCGCGCAAGTCCGAGTACGCGACTCAGCTTGCGTTGCCCTCCCGGCGGGCCAGTAGCCACGGCAGTCGGCTCGGCACGGCCTCTGGTGAGGATGTCGAAGAAGGCGAGGATGAAGAGGACGATGGCACTACGGCGGAGGCGACGGAGACAACCTCTTTGCTGCGCGGACAGCGCACCACCTTTGCCAACTACGTCCGGGTGACGGGCGACTATCTTCGCGACGACGACGACGACGAGGAGGAGCCGCGCCAGCCCAACCTGTACGGCCACGAACAGGCCTGGAGCATCCACCTGCCCAAATGGGTTTGGGTGCTGCAGTTTCTTCTGACCGCGCCGCTCGCTCTGATCTTCGTGGGACCTCTTGCGCTACTACTTACTTCCGCCCTGCGCCAGACCGGCCAGGATGGCAGCTCCTCGCTCTTTATTTACATTGCCATTGCTGCGCTCACGACGCTACTTTTCATGCCACTTCTCCCGTTTATCCACCGGCACACGCATCACATCCCGCTTTTCCTGCTGTGCGTCTTCGCCGGCACCCTCATCTACAACCTCGTTGCCTTCCCCTTCTCCCCGGCAAACCGGCTCAAGCTGTTCTTCATCCAGGAGGTCGACCTCGACACGGGCGTCAACCACGCCTCCCTCAGCGGCGCCTACCCCTTCGTCCACGATGTCGCCAGCTCTCTCCCCAGCGCCGCCGGCCAAAACATCACCTGCGATTTGGATCTGCTCCGACCCAAGTGTTCATGGCATGGGATACCCCCGCAGGTCGTCCAGCCTGCCGAAGCATCAAAGATGAAAGACTGGCTCTCGTACAACATCACCCAATCCGACACTGCGCCCAAAGCCCAGTTCAGCATTTCCGGCCGCAACACCCGCGCCTGCAAACTTATCTTCGATAGACCTGTGGTGGATTTCACGGTCGCAGACTCGGCGTATGACCCGCGCTTCCCGCATGTTTCTTCGGACGGCACGAAGGAGATCCGCCTCTGGAGTCGAGAGTGGGGACATAGCTGGACTGTAGATGTTGAGTGGGTTGCAGACACTGATGAAGCCGAGAAAAAAGGGCCTGGGCTGAGTGGACGGGTAGTCTGCCTCTGGAGCGATGGGAATACGGCGCGTGTGATTCCGGCGCTGGACGAGGTGAGACGGTATGTTCCTGTCTGGGTGGGAGTGAGTAAATTGTCCGATGGGCTTGTGGAGGGGAGTCGACGTTTTGAGATATGATTGCGGAGCGAAGCGAAGCGAGCATGAAAGACTCTCATATGATTTTGTGATTGCATCTGCCTCTCTATATTTACTCGGTATTGTCTATCTGCTATGAGCTATGATTGTTGTGTTGAAACTATTTATTGAATATTTGACTGTTGTAAATTCTGTATGACTTAGATCAAGTAATATTATATCCAGTATGTCATGTACATGGAGTATATGCCAGAAGCTGCTTTCAGCTAGCATAATCCGGCTACGTCAGTGTCACTGTGGACTGTGGACTGTGGGCCTGTATTTCAGGGGTGGATGGCTATGGTTTTGGTTCCAGGGTCGGGATGACGTGGTGTCCAGGAACCATGGAACAGACCCTGTAATTGTGGAGAACATCAAGTATTCATGAACTGTTGAATTCCTCCGTATCATCCGATACAATCAACTACCTTAGAATAAGGTAGTTGAGATGAATACCGTAGACGATATGATATGATATGAATGACGTGTGACTCGTGACTCATTATTCGTTTGTTTGAAGGCGTCGAGGCTCAATAGAGGTCAAGTTCAACCCGGTTTATCGGGCGCCGGCGCCGACCCACCTATACTATTGCGCTGTTTATGCAGCGAACCGGTGAAATCAAGCGGACTCACGTCGCGCTGGGTCTCGCCGCTCCAGGACTGCGAGATCTCCGAGTGACCGGTTCCCTGGTCGGGAATCGAGGGGGATAGGTTCTCCGAGTGCTCGAACATGGCGATGGAGATGTCGTCCGAGTCCATCCAGGGGTGGGAGCGGCGGCGAGCGTTTGCGGAGGCGGATGCCGGGGGGATAGCGTGGGTGAGGTCGGATGTGACGCGTGTTGCGTCGACGAAGTCGGGTAGTGGTACTCGGGGTGGGAGTAGCTGGTGGGGTGATGGACATGTTGGTGATGGTGGCAGTCGTCGATGCCGACGCCGACGCCGATGGGGTCGGATTTCCAGACGTGGTTGTGGACGAGGTAGACGAGTTTGCCGAGGACGGCGAACTCGAGCTTGAGCTTGATGCTGTAGATGACGCCCTTGAGCATGGTCTCCATGATGTACTTGTTCATGTACTCGACGACGAGCAGGCCGAGGTCCATGAGGATGATGATGAGGTTGATGGCGACGAGCTGGTACATGATCTTGCGCTTGCCGCGGTCCGGGTCGAGGCGCAGCATGCGGATGGTTTCCCAGATGTAGAGGGCGGAGATGATGAATTCCTGTATACAGAAGCCGGTCATCTGGATCTTTTCCATCACGTTGTAGCCGTGGATGTAGGCCGGGGCGTCGACTGGGCCGGCCATGTTGGAGCCGTAGGTCAGCACAGTGGTGGGGAGGTGGAAGATGACGGCATCGACGAGGATCATGGTGAGGACGCGGCGCAGGATGCGAGGGTTGCGCAGGACCAGGTGCAGGCGCGAGTAAAGGACGATGGACTGGCCGGTGACCATGCACCACCAGCCGATGGTGATGAAGGTGACGGACAGCCAGGTCTGGTCGGTCAACTGAAAGAATTTGAGGAGGAAGCCGACCGAGTAGGGGAGGAGCCCAATGGACGAGGAGATGAGCAAGCTCCAGAAGTAGGTGCCATGATACTTGCTAAAGGTGACGAAGACGAGGATGACGAGCTCGATGGCATTGTACCAGGTGATCCCCGCCAGAGTCGCAATGGTGATTTTCAACGCCAGGCTATCGCCTGTATATCCCCCGGTGATGCCATCTCCAGGAGCTCGAGTCCCATGGGGCATGCTGTACCTAGGTGAGAGGGGTTGAGGCATGCTGTGTTGTCTGTTGAAACTTGTTGCCTTGGGATTGAAGTCAGGCAGGAGTCGAAGAGAAGAGAGCGGTATTGGGGAGGGAAAAAAAAAAGAATAATAGAGCAGTCAGGTGAGGAAGGGTCAATATACTAATAAGTAATAGTAGTGCAAGAACAGTATCATTATTATTATTATTATTAGTGGAAGTATTTTACGGAGTAGACGTGGGGAGAAACCGGGGCTGAACACTACACCGTATTATTATTATTTTTATCATTAGCGCTGTCACGGTGATTTATTATCTTGACTCTACGGTACTTTAAAAGAATGAGACCAATAAAAAAGACAAATTGATGGAATGATATATCCACAGACCGATATACCCCGAAACACGATTATATGACATGACTGGTCAATTCGACACTACTGCGGAGTATACTGTCGTCCTACGTACTCTTTGACTTCAAGATCCGTGGATTTCTCGTCTCCACAACTGTCAATAGTTCATAGCCAAAATAACTCAGGTGAGATCATGAGTCCATTCTGATCGACAGAGGGAGAAAGAAACACTCCTCAGGGACGACTCAGCTTACAGTTTGATCAGCGTTACTCAGCCAAGGGCAGATTTCCAATCCAACGTTGTTGGCTTCTGGCCAAGTTGGTTGTGATTGACTCGAATGTTCGGGCAATAAAAATACGCAGGACATCAAAGAGACTCAAGACTAGACTCAAGACTAGACTAGACACTGGCTTCACCCGCAACCGAGAGTGATGGTGTCGTGTGCAAATTGACAGCATACTCCCCCTTGGGTATAGACGCCGTCGATCCCCTGATCCATTATGACTTGCCAAGTCACTAACCTGTGCTGGATCTCTCCACGAAAACCCTGGTTTGTCTCGGATCACTAGATATCAGCCAGTCCAGTTGAGGATTGATTCTCGTCCTCAATCCTCCGGAATATCTCCGTACTATGAGTACTCAACTGATCCACCTCAGTCATTGCGACTCCGACTCTGCGAGTCTGCGCATTGATTTTGTTGCTGTCTGTCAAGTGGACCTTTCGAGCTAGTCCTCGTGGGTCGTCCATCGATCGCAAAGGACACAGAGATGACCGTGCGAGAATGACTTCATTTACTTAACTTCCCGGTCAACACTATGTATCGACAACCTGAATCCTGACCAGTCGAAACTGCCCAACTTCCCGTATTCATTTCGTTGGGAAGAGTCACTTCTGGCAATCATGCGGTGTGCTTGTGCCGACCTCTGCTTGTACCCTAGCTGTTGGTTAGGCTGCATGCGCGGTAGGTCTACCTGTTCTTTCTGTCTGTTAAGACAAGCATATCACTTCTCTACCTCTACCTTACCTTACCGACTCCTGTACGAGATTATTATGATTTACTCTGTGTTCTACCCAGAGTGTAAAGTTGATGATTGACATCATCGGCTCAGCGTCCGTGTCGTTTCCTTAACTCCCCGAAGACATAAAGTCTAATCTTATTGCCTGTACGGAGTAGTCTGGACGTTACACGGCGAGGCCTCGAATAATATCTGTCAGATGTTCTCCAGTGCCGTAGAGAGATACTCGGGTCTACTGCTAAGGATCATATCATTATCCCCTGCTCCACATGCTGAGCCAAAACAGAAACACTCTCACTCTCAATCTCAATCTCAATGTTATTACCAACACGTGTCGGCGCAAGGAGATCTCGTATTGAATATTAGTGAATGCTACGTCTCCTTGCTCGATAGTCAATGCTGCCTCGTCTTCAACTTGGCAGTGTTAGCACAGACAGTAACGGTAACCTCCGCGAGGATCGCCGAATCCTTCGCCTTGTCTTAGTTGCTACTGCTAGTAACATGACAAACACCGGAGATCAAATTGTCGGAGTTTGTTTCATTAAACAAATGATATCTCTATGCTTTTTACTTTATTGCCGCTGACTGAGCAGCCCAAACCCCCAGCCTAAACAAACCCTGACGCCTTACCATATGATATATCCCTGTCGCAATCCCTTCCAAACCCCGTAATTCACCCAAGCCAAACAAGAAACAAAGGGGGGGGAAAAACCCCCTTTAGCGTTTATTATTGACCTTGAGACTCCCCCCCCGTAGCAGCAAGCACCCTCTCCACCTCCCCCGACACTCCGGCATCGCGCTCCTCATCTCCCTAGCAAGCACATCCCGGAAACTCGCAAACGCCTCCTTCTTCCCCTTCAGATCCTGGTTCCCGCGCTGCACCAGCTCCACAAACTCCCGCGTGTAGATGTCCGGGTTGCGCGCTGCGTCGACATAGTCGATTATCTCGGGGGGAAGTTGGATGTCGCGGAGGAGGGGGTCATCTGCGCTTCCGCCGGGTGTGTCGTCCTGCTTTTCCTTCTGCTCTTCGTCTTGCGACGGGGCTGCGGTTTGGTGTGTGTTGAGAGGGTGGAGAGCGCGAGGGTGAGGTTTTTGCTTTGAGGTCCCTTCCATCAGCAATCAGTTTGTTTGTGATGAGGGGGAAGATGAAAAAAAAAACAATACATTTTCCTGACGAGCTCGGTCTGAGTCTCTGGGCCAAGGTAGCCGTGGGCGGCGGACTGGATCTCGAAGAGGTGTTGGATTACCTCCTTCAGGTCGTCTGTTGCTTATCAGAGATGTTTGACTCAATAGCGGATATGTAGGCGTACCATCCACTGTGCTTAATGTGATTGGGGCCATTCTGCTGTATAGTGGTTAAGATGGACATGGTGATTTGTTTGACTTCCACTGTACCTCTGTAAATGCAGCAGGCGGAGAGCTGCTGCGGGGCGGCACTAACCCTTTTGTGGTAATTCCATCACCACTTGCTTCAATGTACTCAAGATACAAGCTAACAGGGACAATGACATGCTTATTGGTCTAAAGGCTGATATGTTCATTTAATTCAATATGTATATATGATATTAATTAGGCCACAGGCCATAGGCCAACTGCCAATGCCAAAGGCAAGCCAAGTCTACGCACAATTACACCTCCTTGGTCCTCAGACCTGCAAACTTCGGTATCTCAATCTCCGTTTCGACCATCTCCAGTCCAGACAGACTGGGAAACCGTCGGCTGAAGCTGGCCTCCCAGTCTTCGCCCGGGTCGCTCGGTGTCGCCTGTGCCGTTGGACTGCGCTCCTCGCCAGAGGACCGACCCAGTTCCGGCCCACCCACACGAAGCCCTTTCGGCTTGGGAGGCGCCATCGGCCGCGATCCCGTGCGTGCGGTCTCCTGCCTGGAAGCGCTCGCCGGTCTTGCAGTCTGCTGTTCTTGAGCCAAGTACGTGGCTCCGCTTCGTGTGCCTGGCCGCGACTCCGGTCGGCCTTCCGTCTGCTTCGCCTGCAAAGCAGCAGCACTCGACTCGTCTGTGTACCGCCCGTAGCCCGTCGCCGTTTTCTGAGGTGGAGGCTTGTTGCTCTGCCCGAGCAGGGTCTGCACCCGGTTTTTAATCGCCGACGACCGGGGCCCGTCGGTTCCCACCACTCGGGCCCCTCCCTCTCCTTGTTCCGCAACCCGGCGACGGTACTCGGCCGCTGCCGCCGCCACGCGCTTCTCCTCCTGCGAAAGCCGCCGGCGCTCGAGCTCGCGCCGCATCTCCGGGGATATATCCTCATTGCTCTCCTCGCCACTCGAACCGGCCGCGTAGTTGGGCACTTCCGATGTTGTCACAGAAGGCAATGGCTTCGCGGCGTCCTCTGCGGTGGGAGACGGCGATTTGTCCTGATTGCTCTGTTCGAAGCGTCGGAAAGCGTCGCCGAATCGTCCTGCAAACAACGTCTTGGTGCCGGAAAGCGACAGCGTGGAAAGACTCGTGCGCTTACTGTGCTTGTGGCTGCCACTGTACCGCTTCTCGCGCTTCCGGTTGAGTTCCTCTTCCCTGGCGCGCAAAAAGTCCACATCCGACGAGATATTGGCCCGTTCGGACATGTCGATGTCGGTGCGCGCGTGCTGCAGCGGCGCGCCACCTTCGTACATCGGTCTGCTCAAATCCAGAGACGACCGAGCGCTCTCGGATCCCCGCGAGAACTCCAGCCTTGATCCAGTATGGACAGAGACCGGGCGCGCCTTGCCGTTGGCCGACTTGGACCGGCCTACGGGAACATCGACGTCCAGCTTCGGTCGCGCCCCATCCAGCGAGGGCCGTGACGACGCAGATGACAGCGAGGACAACTTGTCGAAGGAGGTCTTGGGGTGTGGCTCCGGTCTCGTCGATAGGGTTGGAGGCGACGGCGCCTTGTTCGGTCTCACAGACTTCTGATCTGCCTCAGCCAACCAAGACGGATTGGACGGCTGGCGGTGATGATCCGACGAAGGAAACCTGTAAATATTACGGCTGGATGGTTTGGTCTCTCCTGGCGTGGGTGGAGGCGACGTCATTGTCCCAGTCGACACCATGGTGGGTCGCTGGGGAACAGGCTGGTACAATGGAGCCTGCTGTGACGGCTGCTCTTGGACATGTCGCGGTGGCTCGACAGGCTTTGTCTCCACTGAGGACGTCTGAGGGCGCTGGTTGATCGGTCGTTCTTCATTCTGCGGCTTCGCGAAGGCGTCGTCCGCAAGAGCATTCGTGAGTCTCCGCGCAAGATCTTCATCTTCCGACTTCTTCTCTACCACCGTCGGCTCAAAGTCAAACTTGTCCTTTTCCTCGTTCAGAATCTGGAATTGATCAAGCGATGGGAAGCGATTCGAAAACTCCTCGATGGAGTTTCGCGACTTGTGACCACTGCCGTCCAGAGCAGCGAACGGGTCTGTGGAAGAACCAGCGCGGAAGGGAGAAGGGCTTGCTTTCGCCGAGTTGTGCTGAGAATGATCCGGTCTGGTCGGACGTCCTCGACGCATCGGCGCAATTTCCGGAATAATTTGGGTTTCCTGGATAGGTGGAGAGAACACTGCTCCCACTTGAGGTGCTTCCACCGGGGAGGGGGGAAGTTCCTGATAACGACGGGATTCCGAAATAGAGCGATTGGCATATATCTAGGGTAGAAAAGACGTCAGATTTCTGGCAATTCCTTCTGTAGAGCAGACTGCTTACATCGCGAATAGGAACTTCCTTTCCTTGCATGCTGCATACCTCGCGCACTACCTCATAGATAGTAGGGCGCTTCTGTGGATTCTCCTTCAACATCCATGCTGATTGCTGTTAGTATTCGCGTAATCCAACACACGTGGGAACTCACCAATGAGCGCTTTCAGACGATCCGAGAATGGGGGATATGAAGGGAACTTGTAGCTCGCATTCAGAATGGCCATCTGGCCGACCTCTTCGAACGGAGTAGTGTAATAGCACAGCTTGTATAACAAAACCCCTAACGCCCAGATATCACTCTTCTCGTCGATCGGTTGTTTGCGGTAGACATCAATCATCTCGGGGCTTCGATACTGCAGCGTCGTGTGTCGTTGAACGTCATCCTCAATCAAACGACCCTCAGCAGCCGAAGTCGCAGCCGGACGAGGCGGAGCCGTAGAGCCAAAGTCGCAGAGTTTATAGAGAGGAGTATTTCCCTGGAAAGAGATGAGGACGTTCTCGACCTTGAGATCGCGGTGCAGCAAAGGCGGCTTGAGATAGTGCATGCAGGCCACCCCCTCCGCCACATCCGAAAAGATCTTGACGATTTCCGGCTCTGTCAGCCGGTTCTGCAACCGCGTGTTCATAAAATCGATCAGACCTCCCCCGGAGCAAAACTCCATGAGCAAAAACACCTCGTACCCGCCCCCTCTCAGCTGTGACGCATGGGAATCGATGTACTTGACGATGTGCCGGTGTCCCTTGAGTTTCTTCATCGTCTCGACCTCCGTCCGCATATTCGCCAATGCAGCCTTATCGGGGACCGCAACCCGCTTCAACACTGCCCGATCGGAGCCATCGACGGGCTGCGAGAGTCGCACGACATAGACATGGGCGAAACCACCCTCGGAGAGGTATTTCTCAACCACAACTCGATGACTTCCGACCTGAACCTTAGTCCCCGGTAGGAAGGTACCTGCTGGAGCAGTCACAGCGGCAACTGGGTTGAAGGTCTGTATAGGCCGGGGAGGAGCGGCGTGAGACTGGTAGGTTTGGGTAGGGGGATGGTAGGAGGACATGATGGACTGTGAGCCCTCGGAAGGGCTAGTGTCGATACGGCCAAACTGCGTAATCTATCGTCGCTGCATAGAGGAGGAGAGAAGGACACAATGAGAGAAATAGATCTTGGTTCAGCGTGGAAGCAGACCAATCTACAATAAGGACAGTTGGCGGGGAGGCGGAGAAGCGATGTGAGGCGGTACCTGATTGCCCCCACTGGAAAAAGGGCAGTGATTCGAGAGGGTGTACTCTGTAGTAAGAAGTGTGGGATAGTCAGGGAAGATGGAGACGCTGACAAGCAAATCTTGGTCCCAGTGAACCTCGACTGACCAGCAGCAGCAATTGCCAGTAAGTAACTAACAGTACTCCGTAGTAAACTTCAGTCCTCCGTAGGTACCAAGGCAGCGGTGATGATGGCGGAGGAGGAATCTAACCGTTTTGAGAGGTCGGTTGGTAGGCGGCTCCCATTTCCCCGACCGCCACGACTCATCACTATCTACGAGTACTAGTGTTGAGGTTCTCGAGTTGGTGTCATATCTCTGGATCATCTCCCTACGTGTTTCCAGATGGAGGCTCCTCGTCTTATCATATGAATTGAAGAGCGCCTGTATTAATTGGATGTACTGATTGTGTCTCGCAGTCCTCATGATCATCAGGCACCATCGCCTGTTGATCATGGGATTCCCCGGCCATCTTCCGACCGACCCCGATGATGCTAACTCGACCTCGACCATAGTCCACGTTCCTTGACTGATCGACGGGAGAGGGAGGATATCTGCCTCCTGGGGATCCCAATGGCATGCCATGATCTCGAGATCACTTGCTCAGCTCAATGCCTCGATGTTTATATGCTTCGAGTGGTAGTCGAATGTTCAATCGTTTGCTTTTATCAGCGTTTCAAAGCAGCATAGGGCATCAAGTTAACTTTCCTTGGAGATGTTACTAGTGCCATGAAAATCCCCAACAAAACTCACTCCAGAGGAGGTAACTTAGGATTAGGGGAAAACAGCATTGAGAAGAGATATAGGTATTGCAGCCCGTGCATGCAGGCATAAGATTATGTTATATTTTTATACCTAAATTTATGCAAGCATCTACAACCAATCAACAACCAGTAATGAAAGACGAACCATCGCCAAATGGAGGAAATTCAAAACAAACAAAGCCGTGGCACCGTCACTGACGAGTGACGACTGCCAAAGAATGCGCCAACCGTCCGAACCAGCACATTCTTCGGAGAATGGCCTGGTTAAGCTTGATTGTAAAAGTTGTTAAATCAGAGACATGAGAATTCTTTGAAGAGTTTATTCAGAGTTGAATCTCGATAAAGAAAATGCATGAATGGCATTGTGGTACACTAATGGACTGATTACTTGGTCATGTTATAATGATTCCGCCTAGAGTCTTAGACTGCGCACCGATGAAGAGGTCTATTAATGATTATTCAGGTTCAATAACTTGAAGCATCCCTATCTCATTCCCGCTTTTTTGATGTGTGTAGAGAAAAATTCAGTGGCGAATCGGTATTATTCTGTTTCGCATGTGTTGAAAAGTGTCAGATCTATATATCGCAAGAGTTATATATACAAGCACTCCCCATGTCGTCCATGTGTCAACAAATATCTGTCAATTATAAACATACGATAACCATTCTCTTCTTTACACGAGTCTCAACGGTCCTTCAAGTCTGACGAATATCGGCAATAACCTGCCAACATTACGTATGTAGTATCAATCTGCCAATCCTTTGGCTGCCGCTGATCAATCACACCTTTCCACAGCCTCCTCGCCATTGCCGCCTGGCCATTTTCCTCTCCATCCCACTTCCATCCTCACCCACATCGATTCCATAGTCTTCCAGCTGTTCTTTTGGGATAATCTCGGAGCGCAAAAAGCTGGCTTTTAGTTTATCATAGCATATCATGTAAGTGGTACATCGTTTGCAATCGTCCCCACAGTCCATTTCGGACGCTGACAACGGCTTTCCAGAAGCAGGTCAAGCGCTGGAGGCCACAACGCCTCAGTGCCGTCTCAATGATTCTGAGAATATGAACAAATCGTCGATTACGTCTATGTCTCCAGCCTGTCAACAATACAAGAACACATTCAAAACCAAGCCCACTAGACTGCTGCGAACGGGTCTTTCTCATCAATAACAAGTGTCAACAGCGTTCGGTATCCTGATCTCAATCGCGGCAATCCAAAAACTTGCTCAAGGGCCCAGCGCTGTAGTCCAAACACCATAAGGATTGACAATGGACGGCCCTCCGCCGCCTCCACCGCCTCACGGCGAGAATCCGAACACCACTCACGGATTCAAAAAAGGCTCCGGTCTTCCGGACGGAAACTATGATATCTTTATCATCCCACCTCATTCCTCGGGCTCTGGCTTTCTATACCTTCCCTCGCTACAGACTCACCGAAATAGCTTCCTGGCCGGCGCTGTGTCCGCACTAGCGGTGGTTTACATCTGGCAGACACTGTCTCCCATTGTGAAGGCATGGTATCTTGCTACAGCTGCCAATGGTGGCGGAATGGGAGTTGCGGTCCTACTGGCCGTCGTTGGCCTTGCGGGATGGGGGTTTGGTGCATACCAAGCACATATAGCCGGTGCAAACCGAGACTCCGGAGGGAGTTCTCAATCCCGCCAGTCTGGGCCAGGGGGCCCTGGGGGACCTGGTGGAACTGGATTTGGAGGACATGGGGCTGCCGGCGGTGGCAGCTCTTACCATCAGTCCTCAGGTGCAGGCACTGGCCCGGACTATTCAAGAGGGCCCAATTTCGGTGGCCCTAATCCAGGGCCGCAAGGGACCTACGGCAGTGGCGGTAATTATGGAGCCGGCCCCGGCCCAGGAGGCCCGTACCCCGGGAATCAGTATGGCGCTGGTGCCGCGCCCCCGCCGCCGAATGCCGGGGCCCCACCCCATACACCTCCTCCGAATGCCGACCCGGGCCCGGAGAAAGCAGAGCCGACTTCTGGCAGGAGCGAAAGCAAAAGTAAGAGCGGCGAAGATTGGGAACGAGCTCGTGAAGAAACGAGGCGAAAGGAGGAGCTCAAGCGGAAGATGGAAGAATTCAAACGGAAAAGGGAAGCTGAAGCACGAGAAAAGCAGAAGCAGCGGGAACGCGAGGCCATGGAGAGGGAGCTCCGAGAGCGCAGAGAGCAGCTCGAGAGAGAGATGGCCGAGGCAAAGGAAAAAGCCGAACGAGAGGCGAGGGAGCGAGCTGAAAAGGAGGCGGCAGAAGCTAGAGCAAGGATCGAGCGCGAACTTGCCGAAGCGAAAGCTAAGGCCGAGCGTGAAGCAGCGGAGGCCAGAGAAAGGGCCGAGCGAGAGGCTGCGGAAGCCAAGACAAAGGCAGAGCGCGAAGCAGCTGAAGCTCGAGCTCAAAGACTTGCTGCTTTGGCCAAGGAAAGAGAGGCGAGAGCCAAAGCCAAAGCTGAAAAAGAGGCTGCAGAAGCAAAGGCCAAGGCCGGGAAGGAGGCCGCTGAGAAAGAGGCTGCCGCAAAGGCCGCTGCTAAAAAGGAGGCCGATGCCAAATTCGCCGCGCTCAAGGAAGCCGCCGCGAAGAAGTATGCTGAAAAGAAGGCCAAAGATGCCCAAGAAGCGTCAGCTAAAGAGGAGGCAGCGGCGAAAGCAGCGAGCAGCAAATCCGCAACAGGGTCAACGGCTCCCAGGACCCCATCTCCGAAAAAGCCAGCGTATACCGGCAGTGCTCGGACACCAACAACTGCGGACGAGGATGATGCCTATTCCTTCCGGCCATACGACCGACCCCGCCGACCCTATGCGGGTACATCAGGTTCCTCGGTCTATTCTGAATCTTCCTATGCCCCTTCGCAGTCGACAGCTCGGACAACCCCGCCACCTTCAACTAGAGGCGTCTACTCGACCAAAGATCCGGACAAGATTGTCATCCGAGGCGTTTATGCCTTCAACAATGCCTTCCTGCGAAGCCCTGTGGCGCAGTTGGTCTCTGGCCAAGGGATGGTGACCGATGGACTGGTGTTGCGCATCACTACCGAGGGACTCTTCATTGACGACGACATCCGAGGTGTACCTCAGCGCGAATGGGATGTCAAGGCCTGGACCATGAAACTGGTGGAGGTGTGGTGTCCCCAGTACGGAGCGACGGCGCAAGGCCGTCCAAACCCTAAGCCCGCTAACGTGTTCTCCCGGCGGAGCACCAATGAACCAACCCCGGAGGAGTCAGACGCGAATCTTGTGAACTTTCTGAAGGTGTGCAAGAACAAGTGCCGACTGGCATCACCTGACGCGGAGGAGCATGGGGGGCTGCATGTGCTCCGCGCCAGCATCCGCGACCAGGAAGGTCGCCGTTATGTCTTTGTTCTGCAGGAGACTGAAGGGTGGAAGGTTGCCGTGGGCCTGCAGCGTCTGCGCAAGGGCACACAGGCCAGAGCACTGGGTGTGTTGGGCATGGCCGGAAATGAATGCCGGACGCTGCTGGGGAACCTTGGTTATGTTGCATAGTCGTTGCTACTGAGCGATCTGTCTATTACGTTTTTCATTGTCGTTTCTCCATTCATCACCATTGCATATTCAACAGCATATTCGACAGCACATTCGTTATGAATACCCCAAGATTCCCCTCATGATTTTATAGTTATGATCGAGTTGTACTGTTTCTATTTCATAATGACCCTATTAGTGAGGTCCTCGGTTTTCTGCATATAGCGTGTACATAATTGAGCATCCATTCATACAAAAGTACCTATTTATCCTTGTCGACAGATGGTAGCGGGTGACGTTATGTCTTGAGGTGACGCACCCACGTGCTCACCTTCAACCTCAGCAGCTTCTACTTATCATCGTAACCATCATCATCACATTGTATGCCGCATCACAGCTCCATCATTGAATAGACCAAAACGCTCGTCTTCCCGTTTCATCATGTCGTAATCTACAATTCTGTATATTCGACCTTCAGGTTGCAAGTTACCAACGCTCTTCTGCGAGCTTTCTTACCATTATCCGCTCCATACTACAACCTCGAAATCAATACTCGAGAAAGTATCAATCTAAAACGGTATCATGTCCGAGATCGATCCTTCAGACCATCACCATGGCTCTGCACCCATCTATCAACCGTCGATGCTAGACGAGGATCAATCTCATAGCGCAGCTCCCCTCTTACCCAAGTCTGACGAATATGAAACCGCATCAGCAGACGGGATGAAAGGGCTCGAAATGGGAGACGTCAAGAACCTCAGCCCGAGCCCGAGCCCCAGGCCAAGCTCGACTTTCATGGTTGACGACGAATGGACCCCTAGATTCAAACGGAGCCATACTCGAACCAGAAGCTTCAGACGGACCTGTCTGCTGTTCCTTCTCAAGGCTGTTCTGGCCGTTTGGTTCAGTGTAGTGCTTTACAATGTGATTAGATATTGTGCGAAGGTGAGTCTGCCTGCATCTAATGATAGTAAACACTACTTAACTGTCTACAGCACTCGCCCAAATCCACCGGTGGTGATCTCCCAGACACCAGCGCCAGCACCAGCGACGGGGGTAGCCCCGCGTCTGCATCTGCATCTAATGACCGAAGAATAACCGTCGACTCCAACGCCGACAACATACACGGCGTGTACCCGCTCTACGACTCCCTGTCCCTCACCACCACAACAGGTAACATCACCGTAGCCATCGCCCCGCAGCCCGCACACCCAGACCACCCATTCGAGCCAGCACGGCTGCATATCCGCTCCCTCTCAGGGACAGTCACCGTCTCATTCACCGCGCCCGAGGCAGCCGTCCTCCCGGACCTCGAACTAGCCATGGAGCTGCACCAGGACCAAGATGGAAATGGCTCATTGCCACATAGCGAGGGCATGAAAACCTGCGATCTCCCCGCCCGGCCCTACGAGCTCGACATCCAAACTGAAACTGGCCCCATCGCGGGCCGAATGGTGTTTTCGCGCTCTGCGCGGCTGGTTTCGGGCGGTGGTGATATCACTGCTATGCTTATTCCGGTCATTGGTGGTGTTGGTGAGGATTGTACCAGGGGGATGTGGCGGAATGTGTCGATCGTGACGGAGACGGGGGCTGGTGAGCAGCGGGTTCATGTTACCGAGCCTTATGTTTTAAGTTCCAAAACTGAGGCGGAGGCGGAGGCTGAGGCCAATTACTTTGTGGCGGGGTGTCATGTTGCGGGGAATGGGGGCATGGAGGTTGCGTATCCGGCTGCTTGGGCTGGGAATGTGCATGTGCGTACTGAAGGTGGGAGTGTAAGGCTCGAGGGGGAGAGAGTGGAAGTTGTGCAGTCGGGAGAGGGGATGGTTGATGCGATGGTTGGGAGGGGGAAGATCAGTGATGATGAGCAAGACGAAGACGATGATGACAATGACGAAAGCGATGATGAGGATGAAGATGACAAGGAGGAAGACAACGACGACGATGATGATGACGATGATGAAAGAAGGCTAGCAGGACGGATGGATGTAACCTTCAGATCCAAGGAGGGGTCAATCCTGTTCTATGTTGGGTAAATGAATTCGATAATCAGAAAAAGTCTTCGTTTGCAAGAGTGAATGAACCAGCAATGGCATATTCCCGTCTATTAGACACGACCCAATAAGTAATCGACCATGGAAAATCTGTCATTCATATCAAAAGAGGCATCATCATGCCCCGTCAAAATCAGTAACCGTACATGGAGTATATAACGCCTTACAATGACTTCCGCCACGCCCTCAAATCAAATGATCTGCTTCTGCTCGAATCCCACTGGATACGTGGCAAGCCACTGAAACAAAACGACAAAGAACCTCGACCCAGATACCATCAGGGCCGACAAAACTGGAAAAAATGATAGTCAAGAAAGGAAAACAAAAGGGACGCCAATCTATCGCATCAGGCATCAGGAGCAGTCCGGAACCATCAATGCAATGCACCCAGGGAATATTTTGAAAGACGACACACGTATGCATGGAGCGGCCTGTTATGCAGATGAAGGAGGCAAGACCAAAGCAGAAGAGTTCTATCGTCGTTGTGGTATCAATCACATCGCTTCACGACCTTTTTCATCTATCGTGGGTTGAAACTGTCGGGTTGAGTCTGAGTTTAGAAAGGGAATCCACCAGGGAAGCCCTGAGACTGGTGGTGGTGGTGGCCGCCGCCGAAGGGATGGCCACCGGCTGAGGCGAATCCTCCGCCGCCGTTCATCATGTTGAAGAGAACGCTGGGATCGATGTTGATGTGAGTGGCACCACCCATGCCTCCCATGCCTCCCATGCCGCCCATGCCGCCCATACCTCCCATACCACCGAAGCCACGGCCTGCAAACATTTCAGCAGGGTCAATGAGATCATCGCCATTGTCGTAAGCAGCGCGCTTCCTATATGACGTTAGAATCTATCAGTACCATCAGGCCGACGGGAAACTTACTGAGGGTCGATCAAAGTTTCGTAGGCCTCTCCAATCTCCTTGAACTTCTCGTCACCGGCCTCACCATCCCGGTTCTTGTCGGGGTGGTACTGGATGGCCAGTTTGCGGTAGGCCTTCTTGATCTCCGACTCGGATGCGTCCTTGGAGACACCAAGAATCTTGTAGTAGTCCTTCCGCTGAGCCTTCTTCAGCTCAAACTCTGCGCGGCGAATGTCCTCCTGAATGCCCTTCTCACCGGGGTTGGCCTCTGCTACCGCCTTGTAGTCGCGGATAGCCTCTTCCCAATTGCCGGCACCACCGTAGGCCTTGGCGCGCATTTTCTGCGCCTTGACGTACGAGGGATCCAATTTCAGCGCCTCATTGCAGTCGTTGATGGCATTCTCGTATTCCTTCAGGTTAATGTATGCCTGAGCTCGGTTCTGCAGAATCTTGGAATTCATGTCCTTGTTCTGAGGGTCCACCCCGAGCGCTTCGGACCACAGCTCGATAGCCTTGCGGTAATCCTTGGCCTTGAAAGCATTGTTTCCTCCCTCTTTGGTGCGTGTAAGCTTCTGGACGGTGCGCAGCAACTTGATCGCCGGTTTCATGTCCGGATCCAGACCCAAACACATCTTGAGCGTTTTCAAAGCCTGCTCGGATTCTCCCAAGCCGTAGTACGCACGAGCACGGATCATAAGCGCATCAGGGTCCTGGTTGTTCTCGCGGAGCATAGAAATGGCGATATCCTGCGCTTTCCTCAACGAGTTTTCGTTACCCATCTTCAGTTGTGCTTCGGCAGTCAGAAGAGTCCATTTGCGGGGTTCCTTGACTCCGCGACCCAGCAGCTGCCGTGCCTGCTCAATGCAGAATAGCACCATCGACACACCCCGATCTTCCGCCAAGGTTTCCTCGGCTTGTTTGATGAAGCGCTGCATCTTTTCAGGAGCGGCACGGTCGGTCGCAGAGGCGGGGGCTGAACACGGGACAAAACCTCGAGAGCCTCGGACGGACGTCCCAACGCAGTCAGAATGCGGGCCAGACGATACATGATCTTGGAGTTGTCGGGATCCAGCTCCAGTGCGCGCTCGGCATCTTCTAAAGCTTCGAGGTAGCGGTTGGCAGAGAGATATGCCGCAGCCCGGTTGGAGAGGTAGATGGAGGAACTGGGGTTGATTTCAATGGCTAACCAATTAGCCTTGTGGAATACTCTAGATATGAAAATGCATACTCACCTTTGGTGAACTCTTCAATTGCGCGATTGTAATTTCCGTCCTTGAAAAATTTATTGCCCGCCAATTTAAATGTGTCGGCTTCGGCGACCGAGCCATTGGACTTGTGCGGCGGCGGGGTAGGAGTCCGGTCAGTCTGAGCGCCGTTCACACCATTGGTGTTCTGGGAAGGAGAGGCAGGCGAATCGATATCCATTGAACTTCGATCGGCGGCAGAAGCCATGGCGGATAAACGACGTAGCTCGTCGGGGGGAAGATTCAAAGGATGAAAGTCGGGATCGCGGGAGTAACGATCGAAGGTGGAGGATAGCCGGGAGGTAGGGAAACTGAACCTCGCAGCGGAGGCGTCCTTGGACGAGGAAGATTTGGATTTAGCGGAGGTCTGAGATCTCGACTTGGATTTGGACGATCTCGAGGAGTGAGAGGACGGTGGATGAATGGATGATGAGGAAGAGGAACGGGAGTCGGCGGTGGGTGTGGATGGAGAGCGAAGATGAGGATGATGACTGGGGTTGTGGCGAGACGAAGAAGTTGAAGTCGAGGACGACCGAGAAGGAAGAGTCTCCGTCGATAGAGGAGGACTTTTTGGCGATGAAGTCTTCTTCGAATCCTCTTTGGAAGAAGTGGATCGCTTGGATTTGTGACGGGCAAAGAGTTGAGGAAGAACCATCTCTTTTTCTTCTTGCGGCGTTTTCCTGTTCTGGTCTTTTCCTGGTTATGAAAAAATTGCAGTCGCTGATTGGCTGAGCGTATCGAATGTCAGCGAAGGCGGTGGAAATGTTTATCTTGATATTCTTCCGCTGGTATACTGGTGAGAGGAGGCGATAGTGAACAATATAGAGATGGGGAGGAAGAGATCAAGAAAAATATCAGATATCCAAAATCAATTCACGGTGTTTTCACAGGATCGTGAATGCGATGTGGTTAGGAGGAGAAGGATGCCATAATAGAAAATGTTGATGCTGCTGATGCTACAGTCATGTGCTCTCAAGTACTGTGTTACCTTGTGTGGTGTAGCAGAGAAGTGAGAGAGCTGTCAATTCATCAACAATATTAGCAGAGAGAAGTTTAATATATTAATGATGACTTGTTATCTTCTCAATTGTCCTCTCTGGATTATATCTATCTATCTTGTGATCAATCCTCTACCCCATTTACTTGGCCTCACAGAGAAAACCAGGAGGCTGGTAAAAGTGATCAAGTGCTGCTGCTGGCTTAGCGTGCATTTGTGGAAGCTCGTCGATTGTTCCGTGGACGGGACAGAAGTACTGGCATTTAGCTACGATTCTGACGCAAGTAGAGTCAGTCTATCTACGCAGTCCTCGAGATGAAGAGCCTAGACAGGCCCGACATTGTTTGTCCATTTACTATGTTTTAAACAGAGGGTATTCCATCTTCCATTGCATGAGAATGATGGACCATCTGCAAGTAACAGACGATCTAGACTAACTACTAACTATCTAGATAGTGCTTGACAGCATTTGAAGCATTGACTACTGGCGAATCACCCACTGGCCCAAGCGCCCACAAGCGAGTCCCAGGTCGACACGTACCCGATCCTGTGGCTTCGATGGGTGAACCCAAAGGTTTGGAATGGAGCACGGCATTATGGTTAGTACTCAGATTTGACCGACATTTCGAATCAGAATAAATCATTCCCTGGACCCTCCTGATCCCCAGTCTGTTCTTTGGTTTATGGCCTCGTTTCCACCGCTGCTGGAGAGTCGTTCGGAGTTGCTGGACCATTCTCGACACTGAGATTCAGTTCGTCCAATATGGGATGCTGCTCTGCTTTGCGAATGGCTTCAGCCACTTCTAATTTTAGTTGTATCTCTTGCTTCGAGAGCTTAAGGATCTGTGGTGTAATAATCGCTGTGTGGTAATCGCGCACCAGCTCTGTCACGGTTGCGCGGCCCATACGAGTGATTTTGCCCTCGGTCTTTTTCAATATGCTGGATAGCTCTTCAGACACTCGTTGGGCACTCTTTTCCAGGATTTGGCACCTCGGTCGACAAATCAGCGGAAGCCTTCTCTCTCTCCTCTAGATTCAAATGACGGGCTTTGGAGCGCCAGAGACATTTGGACTTCAGTGACAGAAATGTCATCGGTCTTCGTACAGATGAAGGTTAAACTATCGCATATGCAATCGAAGATCATCTGCGACTTGAGATGCTTGTTGACCAACGACTGGGCGATCTTATCATCCACAGCTCTGTTTATGGGCGCCACGATCCAGTGGGCCGCACAGCGCTTCAGATAGTCGTCTGCGACAGCGACACGAGCAGCGTTTGAGTCATACAGGCCAGGAAGATCCACCAGGACCGCACCGGTTGATAGCGCCTGGGCTTTGACCTACAAACGGACTGTCTTGATAAGCGGCCAAAGACCTGCGTCCTTTCGGGCTGTTCCGCTCTTGCTGTCGATGTAGGGCTTGAGCTTGTCTGCAAGCATCCGAGGGTCGTCTTCCTCGATCAAGAACGAAGATCCCAGCAGCTTCGCGATGCGCGGATGGCCAAGCAGCCTTCCCATCGTGGTATCTGCGATATTCCCGTTATCGAGTTCGGCATACACAGCCTTGATTTTCTCCCTGGTAGTCTTGATGGCGTTTATATCCGGATTCTCGTCCAGCATCTCATGGCACATGATCTCTAGCTCTCGGTTCCACTCCTCAAGCTGGATAAAGTGAACCTCCGCTTTGTATCGCCGAGGGCCGTCATTATAAGCAACCTCGGTGGCTGCACGCATACAGTTCGTTACCAGCATCCCCTTCTCATCAATGATCGCATTGATGAGGGACGATTTGCCGGCGCCCGTGGCCCAAGATCCAAGCAGTCCACTGATAGCGTCCCCCCAGTCCGTATCTCCGGTCGGGACATGGATCTGGTTGAAAACACCGAGGAGTCCTGAGCGCAGCCTTACCTTTCTTTACAGCCGCTTCCAGAGCAGAAACGGGAGCGGCCATGTCATCACCAGGATGGGATTCTCCGCTCTGCTCCACGCGGCCATCGGCTCTCTCGTCGGCCTCCTTGACACTCAGTGTTTCGTGGCACATGGCCAGTTCCGAAGGAAAGGTGGACTCCATTCCTACGATCGGCAGTCAGATCAGTCTGGGGATGAGCTGGTGGCAGAAGCCCTGCCTTGGTGTTGATCTTGCTCATGATGACCATGCTGGGCGGTTTGTTCAGCTGGAACCTGGAACTCTACTTGCTGCTGCTGCATACTGCCAGTGATAGTAGTGTTCATATTGTTGTAAATGTATTCCGTAGACGTAGATGTAGATGTAGCTGTAGCTGTAGATACAGGTGAGATAGGGTTATAGAGTGCACGTGTTCAGCAATAGAATAGATTAGTTTGATATAGAGGGTAGTAACACTTATCATCATGCAGTATGATTCATGTCCTTTTTATCTGGTGAATTGAAACATAGGGGTAAGTGACTACCATAGTTCTAAGGAGTTTCACAAAGAATGGATAGTGAATCACTTGGAGTACTTACGAAGTGGACTGAGCGAATACTGAGAGGCATCAGGGTTCGTATATGGTTGTAGATTACCTAGAGATGCGCTGACCTGGAGGTAACTAGTATAACATCATTCTGTTCCTTGTGTCTAATATTCTCTTTCCGGGTTGCTGGTATGGAGTGATTGTACAGTTGAGTCCATTGTACTCTTGGAAAGCATGCTCTTAATCTGCTATTGCTCTTCTGCTTCAGTCTTTTCAGCAGTGCATCCTCTCTTCCTTGGAACTAGCATTTCCCCTGAAAATACCTTGGTCTTCTTGCGGCTTGCATACCTTCAACTGAGTAGGAGTTGGTTTAGTATGTTGGTGTATGATAGCTAACTTAGAGGTAGGCCTGTATGACATAAGCTGCCACAGTCCGGTTGTTGTGAGCATCACAAGCCAAGAACTTCGCCGAACACACACCGACGTCATCCTAGAATCTTTCTTCATCCACCACTGCATATAGGGGACACATGATGTTGGACTAGTCCTATCTTCAGCGTTGATTGTATAACATTTCACTTTCTGCCTTCAAGTTCCAGTTTCGTCCTGCACAGAAAAAAAATAGAACGAAAGATTTTCGACCGCAAGACACATAGACCAGCAAGATGGCTTCACGAGAGCGATCACCCCCTTCAACTGCATCTACCACCACAATGCGGCCTCCAACGACAGCTCTTCTTATCTATCCAGTGACCTTACTTGTGGGATCGCTCTTTTCCATCCTTTCTCCCACAGCCCGAGGCTCCCGACAAAGCCGTTACGCGCGTCCCGCCTCTCTGGCACCCTCCATCGCCGCCAACGTGAACCTTTCCCCTCCAAACCCGGTCAACTACTTCGCTCGCAAGGATAACATCTTCAATCTCTACTTTGTCAAAGTTGGCTGGCTCTGGACCACGCTCGCCTTCGTCTCCCTGCTCGTTTCTCAACCCGCCTACAGTGCCCCTTCCGCACACCAACCGCGCCGACTCGCCCAGGCCGCCCTCCGATACAGCCTGGCCACGCTAGTGTGGTACCTAGCCACACAATGGTTCTTTGGCCCCCGATTATCGACCGCAGTTTTGTGATTACGGGCGGGAAATGCGAGCGCGTTGTGGCGGAGACGTCGGGAAACCCGGCGGTGGCTGTTGCGCAGGCGGGGTCTGTTTCTGCGGGTCTGGAGAAGATGTTTACGGCGGCGGCTTGTAAGGCAGCTGGGGGGTCGTGGACGGGGGGCCATGATGTGAGTGGGCATGTGTTTATGCTCGTGCTTGCGACGTCGATGCTGGTTTTTGAGGCTGTCGGGGCAATGAGGGCCGTTTCTGCGGGGGCGGAGGGTGATAAGAAGGTGGATGGGGAGGTTGATGGTCAGAGTGAGGGTGAGAAGGTTCAAGTTCAGAGTGAGGATGAGCAGGGGAATTGGATGCGGACTTGGTCTTTACGGTTGGTTGGGGCTGTTGTGGGTTTGGGATGGTGGATGCTGTTCATGACCTCGATTTGGTTCCACACGTGGTTGGAAAAGGTATGTTTTCTTATCCGGGAAGAGAGGTCATGCATTGCTAATGGCGTAGTGGTCTGGGCTGCTGATTGCTCTTGGGACGGTCTACGTTGTATACGTCTTGCCGTTGAATGTGCCGGCCTGGAGGGATATCGTTGGAATTCCTGGAGTATAAGAACGACGATAGGTATGCATGCTAGACTTTTGTGTACGAGTAGGGACATCTTTTCGTTTCATTCTGTGCATTGGCATATATACTCTGAATGCAACCGTGTACATCACCAATTTTTTGCCTTACCTACTTTTCTGGACACTCCGGCTCAGGACCCAGATACCCGCTGCGAAAGGCTGCACCTGCTGTCAGTTTCTCCACGTTCTTTTTGGCTGTTTGTTGCTCACCTCCAGGAATCAACGCCGCGGCATACATGATCCGAGTGATGGGCCGCAGATCGTCTGGCGTCACGTCGGTTGCGAGAGACAGCTCCATGTACGGATCCCAGGCCGCGATGATGGCATCGGCATACACCTTGAGGTCGACCGAGCGCTCTTTCTCAGTGGTCTGTTCCGCCTGGCACTGGATGCCCATACACGTCCCGAACTCGCGAAACGCCAGCCGGTACTTGATATTGCGTTCGAGGTAGCGGTTGACCTCAAACAGATCATCTGTGTCCATCAGCTTCATCCTCCAAGCAACAACGACAAGAAATACAAATCTGCTCAAAGCACCGCCCCGCCAACCTCGCCGCCCAGTCCTCCTTCTCCGAGAACCAATGCGCCGTCCACAGCGTCATCCCCAGGTCCAGTGGATCACTCGACACAAAATGCTGCCCCTTCCGCTCCATCACGCGCTTATAGTCCGCAATCTCCTCAGCCAGCACCGCCCCTCCACCCGCCTGCTTCGCCGCCCCCTGCAGCAGCCGAAACACCACGTACCCATCAATGGGGTCCAAATTTCCCTCGGAAGCCACCAGCGGCGCCGACAAATCCATCGCCATCTTCCAGACCATCCGCGGCCGCGCAGACTCACGGTTCACAAAGAACGGCGGGTGGATCGCCTTGGCCAGCGCCACTGCCTGCTCGTTGTACGCCGGATCCCCCGTCGCCAGCGACAGCCGGTTCAGCGCAAACATCCACACTGTCAGGTAATGGTGGTACTGGCCGTCCGCGTCCGGGCCGCGCTCGTCCATCTTCCCGATGCGCAGCCCGCCGCCGAGCGGGTTCTCCGCCGTCGCGCCGGGCAGCCGTGCCTTGCCGTCGCGTGTGGAGCCTAGCACCTCGTGCACGGTCTCCACGACCCGCCGCGCGAGGACAAGGTACCGATCATCGGGCGCTTGGGCTGCTTTCGCGAGCGACTTTTCGTATTCGCGGTGCATGGTTATCAGGGTGAGGACGCCGAAGGCGTCGGTCCAGAGGTAGCGGCCGCGGTGGCCGCCGGAGTTTGGGGAGGGGTCCAGGCGGAGGGGTCTGGGATGGAGGAGAAGCTGCCGTAGAGGGATTCGACGGCTTGTTGGAAGCGGTCGAGGCGCGGGGAGGGGCTGCTTATGGGGGTGGCCATTGAGAGGGTGCGATTTTGTGCTTTTGTTGTTATTGTTAGTACTCTAGCTGATAGGGATTTAGATCTAAATATGGGAAAGACTCTGCGGAGACTATTCATTGCTTATTGCGAGAGATTTGGATTTATTATCTACAGGGTTTACACGATATAATATGCGTTGTTTGAGGTTCTTTGGTACCATATGCTGCGGTGAAGTCATGATGATAGAGAGCTGACGAGGAGGTGATTTCATTCGCCGCCTGGCCACCACTAGTATTAATATCTTGAGTATTTAGTAGTCGAGGCGCGCATATCCGACTCCTTGCCATCGACAATGAACTGATTAATGCAGTTTGTTCATCGATTATTTACTCGCTCTCGGCCCATGATGGCGCAACTCCAGCAACTTTTCACCGAGGCAGCCCAGCCGCTGCCCCCCATCTCGGACCCCAGCTTCGGCTCGCATTTTGATGACTTCGGAAATTACAAGGTCGTGCTACTAGGTGACGGTAGCCATGGCACGTCGGAATTCTACGCCGCGCGCGCGGAGATAACCAAGCGGCTCATCGAGCAGCATGGCTACACGATGGTGGCCCTCGAGGCGGACTGGCCCGACGCTGAGGCCATCGATCGCTACGTCCGCCAGCGTCCCGGCCCTAAGGCGGGCATTGGTGGCAAGGCTCGCGACCTCGAGCCCTTCAAACGGTTTCCCACCTGGATGTGGCGCAACCGCGAGATGCAGGATCTCGTCGAGTGGATGCGCGACCGCAATTCCAAACTGCCCGACGAGAAGAAGGCCGGGATCTACGGCTTGGATCTCTACAGCATGGGCGCGTCCATCCGCGCCGTAATCGATTACCTGGACCGCGTGGATCCAGCCGCGGGCAAGGAGGCTCGCCGCCGGTACGGCTGCCTCCAGCCCTGGGTGGACGAACCCTCCGCGTACGGGCTGGCCTCGCTCCGCGGGATGGAGGACTGCGAGCGCGGGGTGCTGCAGATGCTGCGCGACCTGCTGGACAAGCGGCTGCAATACGCGCAGCACGATGTGCGCGACGGGGAGGAGTTCCACAGCGGCGAGCAGAACGCGTTTGTCGTCCGCGACGCGGAGCGCTACTACAAGGCCATGTACTACAGTTCCGCCTCCTCGTGGACACTGCGCGACACGCACATGTTCGACACTCTGCGACGGCTGTTCCGGCACAAGCCCGCTGACGCCAAGGCCATCGTCTGGGCGCACAACTCGCACTGCGGCGATGCGCGCTATACCAGCATGGGCACGCGCCGCAAAGAGGTCAATATCGGTCAGTTGATCCGAGAGAATTTTGGCCGCGAGAATGTCGCAATCCTCGGATGTGGCACGCATACTGGCACCGTGGCCGCCGCCCACGAATGGGACGAGGATATGCAGGTAATGAAGGTGCGGCCGTCTCGTGATGATAGCTGGGAGATCATCGCCCACGATACGGGAATCCCCAACTTTGTGATTGATCTGCGCAAGGAACACCTCGATCCTGCTTTGCGTACGGCGATGGCCGCTGAAAATATGCGCCTGGAGCGGTTCATTGGGGTCATCTATCGTCCGGACACGGAGCGTGCCTCGCACTACTCGCAGGCGTATCTCCACAACCAATTTGATGCGTATATCTGGTTCGACGTTACTGAAGCCGTCAAGCCACTGGAGAAGGTGCAACCAAAGACTCCTTTGGGACAGGAGGAGACCTATCCATTTGGCTTATAGTGTGTATTTACCAAAGGTAACCAGACTGTCTGTTAGTACTGTTTTTTAGTGATCCAAAGGGGAACAATTTAATCAGAAGATAGTCAGAAGAGAACAATATCCGCAAGTACAGATTATGATCGACTGACTCTTGCATCATGTCATGCTATGATAGCTGGTGGCAATGCTGATGATATGATAGTGTGGTGGGAGAACGTAGCAACTGACGTCAAAAAAAGCTCACCGCCTGCGTTTTGTTGTTTTGTTTACACTCTCGCTTCCAGAATAGCTTCATCTCCCTTGCGCCCTCAGCTATCCATCCCTTTCCTCGATACGTATCCTCCTCTCTTACCCTTGGGTTCCATCCGTCATTCTTTCAAGCATTGTATCCATCGCGGATTCCTGCTGTTGGATCTCCCTTTTTCCCATCCACAATCATGGCGGTTCGCCGTTCCGCCCGCCTCAGAGGCCAAAAGGCGTCATCAGAGGTGGGAACCCCTCTTGGCAATTGAGACGCGCCTGAAGCTATCGAAACCGTCTACCACGGTCTCTGAAGCTAGAGTGCCCTTACGTCCAATAGTACTGACAACCCTCGCTTCTCACTATAGGAACCGCAGTCTCAATCTGAGACACTCAATGACCACACCAACGGAAATCACGGCCAAAACACCACAAACAAAGACGGGAGCAAGAAGAGAAAGAAGCTTCTCGCTGTGATGGAACGCGACGAAGGCCGCGATGTCGAATCTCATATCACCACTAAAACGCCCACCAAATCCATCCAGACTCCAACCAAGCCATCCAGTGTCAAAACTCCCGTCCCCTCCAGTGCGAAGAAATCGATCGGTGCAAAAACCCCAACTAGCGCCATAACCCGTCCATCCCATGACGAGATGCATCCGAGCAAGGTCCACCAGAGTACCACGAAGCAAGCGGACTCGGGTCTGATCCTGGGTTTCAACCCTGTCAAGAAAGATGCCAATGGAAACGTGGTGAGGGAAACCGTGGCCCACGATACTCCCAGCAAAGCCAAGGCCTCACCCTTGAGCCAGTACGGCACTCCCGGTTTCGAGTTCAAATTTGCCTGCCAAGAGTCTCATCTCAGCGATGAGGCAAAGAAACTCATGGAGAGTGTGCGTGAGGATGTCGCCAAGATCAAGGCCCAAATGGTTCTCGAAAAAGATAAGCAAGATGCTGCGGACCGTGGCGCTGAAGGACTAAATGGTAGAGACCGCCGCATTGCACAACCCAAGGGCAAGGCCGGCCGCTTTAGCAGCGCTCATATGGCGGAGTTCAAGAAGATGGACTCCATCGCCAACCATCCCTCTGCGTTCCGCGCTGCGCCAGGCCGCTTCCAGCCAGTTGGGACAACGCTCAAACGGACCAACTCGAAAGCGGGCTTTGATGAAGCCGAGTCAAGGCGCCAGTCGCCTCCCAAGTCGACGGCGAAGCCTTCTCCTGCCCCAGCCGCGCCAAGTGCGAAACGTGTCAAGCATGACAACACTGACGACGTTTCGACTCGCCGTCCGACCACCGAGGCAGACAAGACCCCCAAGACGACTCTTCCGCGTCCTAGATCTGCTGTTCGCAGTTCCTTGATGACGCCCACACGAGCCTTTGCTGCACGCACCTCATCCGTCAGCCTCAAACCACCTCGGACCAGCATGATCCCTTCGCTGGCACGTTCTCCGGTCTCGAAGCCTGCTGGCATCCCGCGCACGCCCCAGACCGATTTCAACCCACGTATCAAGAGCAACTTGCCCACCCTGGGTGGTCTCAAATCTATCCTCCGCCGCCATCAGCCCTTATTCTCCCGCGACCCTTCGAAGATCGCTGCAGGCACTCATGTGGCCGCTCCGGACTTCACCTCTAACTTCCTTCTGGGTGCGTCTCGTGAGCCTTCGGTGTCCGAAGAGCCCGCTCCGACACCTTCGCCCAAGAAGCGGGTCGAGTTTACTCCCACCACCAAGTCTCCAGCTGCCAAAGTCGACAGCGAACTGGACCAGCCTTCTCCTTCTCCGTCGAAGATCACAGTGTCTGTTTCCAATACCACGTCGGACATTGTGTATCCCACCTTGCCCGTCCTGACGCCGGAGAAGACCTCTGCCGCAGCTATCAGATCGAGTCAGGATGGCACTCCAACCGTCCGTCATGTCCGCCCATCCAATATCAACACTCAGTCAACCGCTCTTCCCGACGTTGCTGGTATGCCGCACGGAATTGGCAATAAGAAGGCAACCACCCTACCAGACATTGCTGGTGTGCCCCATGGCATTGGTAACAAGAAGAGACACCGCGCGACTGAGGACGAAGTGGACACCGAGAATGTGCCTCCTGCAGATTCCACTTCGGATCTTCGCAGTGCTAAGAGACTCAAATTCAGCGCTCCATCTCCGGCGAAAGCTCCTGCGACCCTCAGCCCTACCAAGGCCCGTACTCAGACCCCTGTCCGCACTTCCTCGATCTCCAGCCGTACGGGTACACCCGCCAGCGCCAGAGCGAAGAGCCGAGGCGTTCTCAGCATCAGTCGCCTGAACATGCTCGCTCAGCCCAAGAACCGTCGTTGAGCGATGACGGCATGTATCCTGTTTAACGAATGTTCTAAACACCTGCATAGATGGCCATGCTCATTTACCCCTTTGAAACCCTCTACAGTGGTTACGATCGTACAGTCGCATTGCGGTCTAGTGTATCTATGTTTCCCATTTGAATGGTCTGCTTTTTTCCCCTCTGAGGCGCTCGGATTGCATTTGACTGCGGACTATGAACCGGCGTATGACGGTGTCTGTTCTTTCTTTTTCGAATTTTTTCTGGATGTGGCTGATTGATTGTGATTGAAAGTATGATAGCCACCAGCTCAGGCTCCGACTGTTTCTTTCTTCCTTTTTTGTCTGTACGGGTACCAGAATGAAGTTCCTGACTTCGAGGTCTACGGACCGATACCATTGACTCCTTTGCTCTATCAATATAGGAAAACCATAATGCGATCGTAAACCCATGAAGATGTCGTTTGTATATGTACAGAACAGTTTTGAGTAAGAGTACAGGGAATTAGAAGGCTCTAGGTAAAAGGAAGAAAAAGGGACAAATCATCACAGTGAAACAAATAGAAAAGGAAATAGAGGGAAGAGTTCACTTCAGTCCCATGCGTCGTCGTGTCTATCCTCCGTGTTCTCGTGTCTCGTCTCGTCTTAAGGTACCTGGACCCCTCCAAAGCAAGCCAGACCAACGCCAGTAGAAAGAATAAAAGTGGAAAAAGCCAAGCCAATAGCCGCAACCCGAAAGACCACAGATAAAAATCAGCCTTTCATGGTAGCCAGGAAAGAGTCGAGATTGTACTCCTCCTGGTACTGGCGGTCGTCCCAGAGTTCGCCGAGGTCGTCGAGCCAGCCCTTCTTGCCCTTCTCCTTGACGTTGCCGTCGATGTCGACCATGTCGACTTCATTACCAGCCGCGTCGCTGGGCTTCTCGGCTGTTTCGGCCGTTTCGCCTAGGTTGAAGAGGTCAAGGAGTTGGTCTGTGTCCATTGTGCCGAGGCCGGCATTTTGCTGGTTGACCACTGTGGAGGCGACATCGATCTTGAATCGTTGCAGACTAGAAGAAATGGTTAGTTACGAGTTTCTTTCTCTGAGGCAGTCGGACCGGGACTTGGACTTACTTCAGGATCTTCTCCTCCAATGTGCCGCGAGTGATCAACCGGTAGACGTTGACGACCTTCTTTTGGCCGATACGATGGGCGCGGTCCATGGCTTGGATATCCTTCTGTGGGTTCCAGTCGTGCTCCACGAAGATGACCGTGTCGGCGCCGGTCAGGTTCAGACCGAGACCACCGACGCTGGTCGTCAGAAGCAACACATCGTAGCTGGGATCCGTGTTGAACCGGTTGACAATGTCCTGACGCTTGGTAGCTTCGACGCTGCCGTCGAGACGGAGGAATTGAACGGACGGAAGCAGCCTCTTGAACACTTCGCTTTGCACGATATCCAGCATCTCCTTCATCTGACAGAAGATTAGGGCTCGGTGGGGACTGACATAGCTGGCGCCGCTCAGATCGCCCTCGCTTGGCGGGTCAACACCAATACCGCAGTCGATGAGCAGGTCGCGCAATGCGCTGAGCTTAGGCGCATGAGCAACGTCTCGAATGTTGGAGTGCTTGGCCGCAAGATATTGCTGAACCTCGTTGTACTGCTTGTGACCTTCCTTGACGACGAGCGCGGGGAGTTGCAGAGACGACGCATGTACTGCAAGGCTTGGAAGATGTGCTCCTTGTCGGACTTTTCGGTGCTTCCCACCTTGTCCTGGAGAGCCTTTTGCTCTTTCTTGCTGAAATCCTCGAACAGTTTCCTCTGAAGCTCGCTGGGGTCGCAGTAGTAGTTTTGGATGATCTTCGGCGGAAGGTCATTCAAAACTTCCTCTTTGAGGCGACGTAGCAAGAAGGGAAGAACCTGCTTGTGCAGAGCTTCAATAGCCAAAGCTCCCGCTTCCTGTTCCTTGGAAGACGACTTGCTGAAGCGGCTGGCCGCGATGGGCTTGGCGAATCTATCCAAAAAGACTTTCTCCGTGCCAAGGAAACCTGGCATAAGGAAGTCAAAGAGAGACCACAGCTCCAACACATTGTTCTGGATAGGAGTTCCCGAAAGGATCAGACGGTGGTTGCTAAGCAAACGCTTAACTGCGATCGTGACCTTGGCCTTGGGGTTCTTGATAAGGTGACCCTCATCCAGAACACAGTAGTTCCAGTTGATCGGATTGAGAACCTCGTTGTCGTTGCGGCAGATATCATAGGATGTCACGACGATGTCCGCGTTGGGAAGAGCGCTTTGCAGCCTTGACCGCTCTGCAGGTGGACCGACGTAAGCGACGCAGTTGAGAAATGGGGCATATTGCTTCAGTTCTTGCTGCCAATGTCCGGAGAGAGACGGCGGGCAAACGATCAGAGAAGGAAGTTTCCGAACCTCAGGCTTCTGAGTCCGAGCGAACTCTTCCGCCCGCAGGTGGTGGTCACTGGCGACAATGCAAATGGTCTGCAAAGTTTTACCCAGACCCATGTCGTCGCAGAGAATGCCATGAAGATTATAGCGGTTGAGAAAGGCAAGCCAGTTAACACCTTCTTGCTGATAAGGTCGAAGCTCCGCTTTGATGGCCACGGGGATCTTGAATTCTTCGACTTTTCGTACATCCAACATCTGCGCCATGAACTGCCTCTCCCGGTCACGTCCTTTGAGCAGTTCTTCTGACAGACCAGGTGGGTCGGGTATTCCAGCTTCCAACGGGACCAGTTTCACCAAGGTTGCGAAAGACGTTGTGGCCAACAGCCTGACCTCGTTGTCCGAATCGCTCATCCGACCGAGGACAGGAACAACGAGAAAGATGACATAAGGCAGAATGCCGTCCTCCATCACATGAATCAGGTGATAAACGCACTCGACGACGCCTTGACGGTGGTGGACATCCAGAGCATTGTTGATCATAGGCAGGACCTTCTCAACCAGCATGGTCATGCCTTCGACGGTAATGACGCTGCAGATAGTGGCGAAACACTTGGCAGCTGCATATCGAATGACAGAAAGCTTGCATTGAAGCGCCTTAACTACAAGCGGCATGAGATCGACCACCCATGGGTAAAGTCCCGAGTGAAATTTGGGAAGGATGGCACGCAACGTGGACAATCCATCCACAACTTCCTGGCCAAGTTCGTTTTCGGGATCACGAATGTTCGCCGGAAGTTCGTCGCCGGCAAGAGCTTCTTTCAATGGTCGTTCTATCAAAGAAGCGAGGTTAGGCACCTTGGCCATAAGCTCAGAGCCAAACTTGACGGCCAACTGCTCGAGAGCTTCTTTGGCGCCACGACGCATGATTCGAGCCTCCTTGGCCTCTCTCTCGAACTTGGCAGCATCTGGATGATCGCGCCGGTCTTCTTCTTTACGGAGCGAGAGGATAGACTTCTCGAGAGTCGCATTGTGGTGGAACTCAGGGGTCTCAGAAGTATCCACGCAGCAGTACTTGACAAGATTACCGATAACTTTGTCGACGGGTCCCCGCTTCGTGGAAGTGGTGTAGTACTCAACGAGGCTGGCAATAGCAGTGGCAGAGCGCTGTTGCAGTTCGGCGTTCTCCTCTTTCTTTATGCTATCCATCATTCCCTTGATAATATGGCTTGGTTTCTTCGGAATGTCGCTTAAAGCAACCAGAGCGCCTGCCGCGGCAGCCCGAACACGCAAGTCTCTTTGCTCTCTGACATTCCTGGCCTCGTTGATAGCGCTCTCAGCCGTTGCGCGAGTATCGTTGAGGACCTGAAGAGCGGTAATGCGCTGAGCCGGAGTAAGACTCTTCTTGAGCCGGTCAAAGTCTGGGCCAATGACCTTCTCGGCGTCAGACAGCGAGAACGCACTGGGTCCAGCCTCGGCATCCCCCTGAACAATGACGGCGAGGACAGGCAATCTTGAGCCGGGAACATGTGCGTGGTCGCGAAAGGTGTTCAGAAGGGAGTGACACTGTGCTCGAGCGACATGAAGATAGCAAGCAATGTCGCTATACCACGGAGGACGCTCGCCTTCGATGATTGGACGCAGTTGCTCACACAAAGTAGAGGCATACCTGCCACCAGGTCCAGAGAGCTTGGCATACTCCTCCACTATCATGGCCGAAGCGAGTTGCGACGTCGAGGCCGAATGGTCGAGTCCTTCCAAGATAGATTGCCATAGACTCGGGAGTCGGTTCTGGTCCCAGAAAAATAGAAACTGGCCGAGAGCTCTTGCGACATATATCTTCGACCTCAGCATGGTATCCGCACCCACAAGGTCAATGTCGCCTTGGAGCATGTGCCCGTCGACATTGTGGGCGGAAGGTGGTGGCGCCTCTTTCTTCTCGGACTTGCGCCGACGACCTTTAGATCCTTCAGGCGTGTTACTAGCCGGAGATGACCTGGCAGGAGCCGCAGCGCTTGACGGGAAAGGCAGACCCGAGGGTTTGATAAATAAAGAAGCGTCCATAGGAATCGGGTATCGCGGAACACCAAAAGGACCCATGCTTAGAGTAATAAGGGGTCTGATGTGACTTAGGAGATCGTTTTCTGACTTGAAGGAACCGCGAGTCTCCAGAGATTTTAGTAGCTCTGACCAGACCTGAAGAGACTGCTTCAAAACGCCCTCGTTTCGCTCCACTAGCAGATTCTGAAAGATCAAACGCACTGTCTTTCCGTCAACCCACTCGTCGGTGCCTTCGCCCTCGAGTTGCAAGAATGTCATAAGGGCTCGAAGAACCGCCGAGCGGACACTAGTGATAGTATGCCGTAGAAAAGGGTAGAGGCGAGGAACGAGTTTACCAAAGGACGATTCCGGATTGACCGCTGCATTGGCCTTCATCGCGTCGAGAACCTCTTGGAATGTACACAGTTTCGCCAAAAGGTCCATGACTGAACCTGTACTGGCGCTGAGATCATCCTGCAAATTCGAAAGGCAATCCCAAACGATGGTCATTAGGGTGCCCAAAGTACTTTGACGAGTTTTGACAAATTCTTCGGCAATGGGAACAAGCGTTGCCGCGCTCACGGCACGGACATCGTCATCGTAATCCCCTAAGCCCTTCATGACCGCCTCGAGCACGCCATCCATGAGCTTGGAATCCTTGATGAGCAGATCCTTTCGAACCGCTACTAGATACCTGAGACCGATCATGCCACCGTGACAAACTTCCCAGATAGGTCGTTCCAGGCCGAGATCGGTCTGCATAATGATTCTATAGAGACACTTGTAGACAGAAATGACCGACCGTGAGGGGAGTTGAGACAGGAGTGCACCTAGCGTTTGACCGACGGTCTCTCGGATGGGAGCTACGACGTTATCTGAGATGTAGTCACCAAAGCGATCGAGCATGAGCACACACAGGAGACGGCACGCAAGGTCGTCCAACCACTTGCGATTTAATATATCATTCTCAGCCCTGCTTTTCCCCTGCACACGGCCGGCACCGGCGCCCTGGACGCGAATGACTTCACGCAAAGCCATCGCAGCACCATGGCGGATCTCCCAGTTGGGATCGAAAAGATCGACCATGAGGACGTCACACATGAGCTCGAAAGGCCAGTTCGGATTGGGACCATTTTCTGTGGGCTCTGGCTGGAGTAATGGATTCTCTGGAACTGCAGCTCCTTTGAATTCCGAGACTATCTTCGAATCATCGTCGCCGGCGGATCGGTCTAACGAGAAATAATCTGGCTTGGAATCGCCGTTGCGCTCTTCTCCATTCTCTGATTTGATGGGATAAGGTGTGGCGACCGAAGGCGTTGTCACGTTTTCCGACGCTCTCCGCGAGGACAGGTCAACTACACGCACTTTATTCGCCCCCGTTCTGGCACTCTGCTTGTTCTTTCGCTTTAGCTGATTGAGCTGCCGTTTGCTCAAGCCCGACTCCTCTCCATTGGCGGGTTCAATCGGCGACGCCAGAGGCTGGGAAGTGCCCTGAATGCTGTGCTGGCGGGAGGCAACGAAAGATGGCTCTTCCTTCACAACCGGTTTCGAAACCAGGTCGTTGTCATTGATTAGGTCCTCTTCGATGTACTCGCCGGCGAGACCCAAGCGGGAGGTCAAGGTCTTCTTTTGATGCTGCAGTCGGGAAGCAGGATCCATAGCGGCCAGAGAATACTCATATTCCTTGCCTGCGCTGCCGAGTAGTCTCTTTCCAAATTTCAGGATAGAAGAGAGATCGAGTCGCTCCAGTTGGAGGAGCGAGTCGTCCGTCGGGGACAACAGCTCCTCTTCCGATTTGATGTCAACATCGAGATCGTCGTCCTCGGCCTTCTTGATCTCCTGGCCGTCATCCTGGTTAGGATCAAAGGTGTCTGCATTGGCGACAATGAGACCTATTGCCTTGGCTGCAGCGGTTCTGGTGTCCCATGATTTGGATCGAAGATACGGTAGAATACGTCCGAGTAGATTAAATAATTCATCTGGATGCTGCTTTTGCACATCTGCCAGTTGCTGGGCGGCAGTGTTTCTGATGAGAGGCGTACTGCCAGTCTCTAGTAATCTGCAAAGGTAATTGGTCAGTTGGCGAAGACGAGGCTCCTGGAGAGCAAACTCACGTGACAAGACGATCAAGTCTAAACGTAACCGGTTAGCGTCCATTTGTATACGATACGGAAACGCCCGGATTATGATGGACACGATTCACTTACCTGGAAGTCATGGCGGGTCGTCAACTCGGATGTAAGCGCAATATGATAAAAGATTGATCAGGAAGAGGGAGCTGTAATCGAGAAAAAAATTATGCGCACAGGGTATAAAAGAATTTCCATAAGAAAACAATCAAGAAGAAAAGAAGATGACGAAGAGAATACCTCCCGGCAGGTAACAGAGATCAAGGGAGGTATGGTAAAATACACAACGTCGTTACACCCGCGCCACAGCCATTGACGGAGAAGTGAATGGAGAAATTGAGGAACAGAGTATAATAATACTCAAGAAGTGAATATGAAAATGAGAGAAGGCGAATAGGAGAAAAGAAACAGAAATAAGAAATAAAACAGGTTACAGGACAGCGATGTTGTACTGCTTGCTTGCCTGCAAGTGTGGCTGTTCTGTAAGTATAGATAGGTAGGTATGTGTCGGGCGGCTCCTTAGGTAACCTGTCCTGACCTGTTTCTGTTTCTGTCCGTCTTGGATCATCGACCTTTTTTTCTCCTCTCGAGGTCACGCAGGCTGTTTATATCATTGGGGGCATCTTTGGCTGGGCGCGCCTGCCCATGTTTGGACCATGCGCGCTAGTCCCAGAAAGGCTTAGCTGTCTCCACTCCCGTAAAGGTTTTCTTATTGTCACGTGACCGTCCCTCGCCTGGATCGACGGCCGTGAAATTTCCTGCAAATGAGACACCGCAAAGGGTCATGATGATCTGTTTGGATCATGGACAACCCAGATTTTTCTGGTGACATGGTCAGGTTATCGCGATTCCATTTGTAGACACTTTCAGAGTTATATCGTCGATTGAAAATAAGAAATTGACTCTCATATCTACAGTCTCTCAAGCAAAGTTCTCTGCAGAAACACGTTCATCAAGATATACTTCAGACTTGGGTACCCGTGATTATATATCGCCTCATAGCTTGTTTAATCTCCCGACAACGCGCCAAGAAATGCCAGATCGCTTCGTGTGCATACTTGGATTGCGTTGGTCACTTGAATGATACCTTATTTTGAATCAGATGTCATTTAGAGGATGCTAGACGATACAAATGCAGATGTTCCGTACCATGCAACGTTTCAATATGTTTTGACCTCAGGCATAGACAGTTCTCAAGGCCTAAGGTACATAGTACTACTTATCTTGATCGCCTACTAGACTCTCACTACTTCAGGGATACCGCCAGCTAGACTAGCTTTCTCATTAACCAATTGATTCAGGCGTGGCTGTTGATTCAATTCTCTCTAATCACATTACCTTGACTTCGTTTCGTTCGCATACTGTACTCTACGCAGATGGACGTCATTCACTGTGATAAAATGCTTTATGAGATTTCACCTATACAGTGGCAGAGATATTCATATAAGCCAGCCATTTCGCCGAGTATTAGACCGGGATTTACTCATCGATATTCGATTCCTCGCGAAGAACCCTCAATGACACTTGAGCCCCGACTCCTGAAACAATAGTGAAGCTCTTAAGCGTAGACATCCCACCGAAGATGCACTAAGCTCAAAGTTCGTAAGTGGCACAGACGGAAACTGGACGCTTTGTTCCTGTACAGTTGGAAACTCCATTGGTAAAGCGACAGCATGACTGGTAGTAGTATAAAGACAAACGTGTAACCGCACCCCTTGATATGCGTACAATTCCCCTCTTATGACTTGGCCAGCAATGCAGACGCTTCTTCTTCCTTCCCTAACAGACCCAAACTGCGAATCTGTTCTGCCTTGGGCGCATTCTCACGGGGGTGTGCGGCCTCGGCCTTGCGGTAGGCGGCCTGCATCTTCATCGTTCGGAGAGCCTATACGCCAAAAGTCAGACCATCACGCCAGTATTTCGAATTTCAAATATCCCAGAACAGCCGTCCATCGCAAATCGAACCGAAGGGGGCCCAGAGCAAAGGGCGTACCTCTTTCCGGTGGTGCAGGCATTCATAGTAATCCTCCAGAGCGGGCATGCACTTCTTCTTGCCGGCTTCACCCTCTCCGGCATTGACAACGTAGCATCCTAGTACCTCCTGCCAAAAACCGTAGCAGCGCGAGGGACCTGGACAATCACAGGGAGCATTAGCCGGGGAGTCCGCATGGATGAAGTCGAGCAACCGTGACCGCCGAGAATCATCAATTGAGGCGATTCTGGGACTCAAAAGTCAGAGGAAGGGTACCACATACCGCCATTGAGACCGAAACCAGAAGCCATTGTGTCGCGGGGGCGTGAGAGTAGGACTTGGATCGCAGAGGACTGCGGATTAGAGCAGCGGAGGTGAGGGTGCGGACGCAGTCTTTAGTCAAGCGGCGATTCGCCTGTTTCCGCCCAGGTGGTCCGAGCGCCCCGCCTGTTGTCCCCGTTGACGTCTACGTTTTCGATTCGGGAGGTCGGAGAAGCATCGACAAGATTGTGACATGAGAGGACATTTTATGGAGTCTGACTCGCGATGGCGATTTCTGCAACGATATCTGGTGCTCATGCGATTCTTCTAGCAACGCAGCTCTGTGCCACTGGCCATGTCGTTCATCTGCCACTCCTCCACGCCCAATTCCCCAGCTATTTACCCTTGGAACGTCTCTTGCGCATTATCTTGACCTTTCTTCCAGAGAGCACAGAACCGCAGGCCTATACATCTGTGCTTCAAGAACTAGTGTCTGGTTCCACGACCGAGCCTTTTGAAGGTGACGTCGACGTTTCTGCCGTCCAAGACCTTCCCGAGGCTGTTGCGAGGAAACGCGTCCGGAAGCTTCGTCTACTGCCGCTGAGACACCCTGACGACGAGGATAGCGAGCCTTCCGACCTCTTGACTCAATTTCTTATCCATCGGTCGCATCGCATAGATTCCGAGACCGGTCTTCAGCCACTCATCCTTGACCTTCTTCTGCCATTCTACCAACGCTCGTCCACCGTGCGTACATGGTTGATTTCTAGCATCCTACCGCTCCTCCGATTGAACTATGAGTATTACCCGAGTCAAGATGAGATGTTCTCCTTGAATACATTAGAGTCGATGGACGATGCAACCGCGGTCAACGTTCTGCTGTCTATGACGAGTCCGAGAAAAGACGAGATGGACATCGCGAGGAACCTCCGTGGACTGGTGGGTGCGTGGATATATGGCAGCAACCGCGCAAAACGACGCAGGCTCAATGAGGCCGCAAATCAGAGTGCGATATCCCTTCCGCAGGACAGCCACCGCCCGAAGACGACAACAGGTGCTATATGGCAGCAGGTAAATGAATGGTTGCTGTCGCATAGCTTGGTGGAGCATGATACTGCAGTCAACGCCTTTGTTCACTGGGATGGGCCTGGGGACGTGGACCTTGGAGGCTGCGGAGAGGAGAATCAACAAGCAACACAGGACGAATTGGCGGAAATGCGGACTCGTTATGGCCAGTCAGGCCTTGCCGTTGTGTACGCAAACCCTGATGCGAGCAGTTCCTCGCTGGAGGGCTCAATGCAGATTGTAACAAGGGTGGCCCAGTTACTCAACCTTCAGAACTCTGTGTTTGTTGTGCGCAAGGATTCCGCGCTTCCTTCGGTGACATTCGATGCGGGTGAGATTCCGTCCACCTCAAGAGTCACATTGTTACAAAATGCCTTGCTGCTGAGTTCGAATCCATTGACGCTTCCGTCTGCTTCGTCGGTCTCATTCTTGAGCGCACTACTTCTCTCTTTGCAGGTGCTGCATGAATTGGGCGTTACAATACCCTGCAGGCAAGCTGCAAACCTGTGCCTGCACAGCACTGAGGATATGCAACTTGCAGAGCTTCGCAGTACGGTTAGCTCGATTGCCAAGCAGGCCACTCCTGGTCGTGATTGGAAGAAGGTTCGTGAACAGCTGCTATGGCTTCGTGACTGGCAGGCGAAACAGTCTGAACAGACGTTGAATCGTCCTCCCTGTCACGGACTGTTTTGGAAGGTCTCCCGGAATACTGTGGAAACAGAGGTGCTGAGAGCCTTGCTGGAAGCGAAAGGTACGTCCAAAATGCCGACTTCGCTTGACCAGGTGCTAACCGACTCCAGAATATCAACTGGCCGTGGATATTTACACCATGTCCGACCCGGCTCCTCTGGATGCGAACCAGGTCGAACAAGCGGTTCAAGACGCTATCTTTGCGGCCTACGACAACGCGAGCAACGGCAATAGGACACGAGGAGGAATGAAGAGGGCTTATGAGATGTGAGTTTCGTGCGATTCCTATCCGGATACTCAACTGACAGGCTTTGTTGCGTTACCAGTCTACAAGCATTCCAACCACATTTCCCAACTTCCGTAACCTTGAAACAAATCCAGGCGCTCATAGCAGCAACTCACTCACTGTCGTTCTACTCTCTGACCTTGCAGCATGGCGTCCCCTTTCAGCCGGTCAGCATCCGAGTCCACCCTGATCCTCTCTCCTTGATCGAAAAGGTGCTCGATCAGAATCCAAAGAGCTACACAAAACTCGACGATCTACTTTCCATTGGACGCAACCTGGTCGAGGCCGGGTTGCCGACCGGTGCGACCGAAGACCACGAATCGCATTTCGGTGCCTCTCCTTCTACGTCGCGGGAAGATGCGGTGGTCACAGCCGAGCGGCGCGTCATGTCTCTGGCCATTTCATCCGCCCTTTCCTCAAACGACTTTGGCACCGCCTACTCTTACATCCTCACTCGTCTCACACCCCCTTCACTTTTACCTACCGCGTCGCAACTCACAAATCCGAACGTCAAAGACGACATCTCCTGGCGCGCTGTCTACAACGCGGGCCGCTACCGCGCCCCGTTTCCACCCCTGAGCCGTCCCTGCAAGCCCAAATCACCCGGCTTTCACAGCGCATGGAGCTCCTCTCGCTAGCGCTCACTCTCGTCCCATATCCCGACCCACTCCCAGAGATTCTCGGCGCATGGCGTCGCTGCGACGAGGAGATGAACGTCCTCCGCGCCCAGGAAAGCGCAGAAGAAGAGATATGGGACGCCAAGGGCGACAGCCTCTCGACCCTTCCCGGCGGCTTCGGCCCGACAGACACAGAACAAGACGCCTTTGACACCAAGCAGCAACACGCCCGACGCGTCCGCGCCCAACGGAACCGTTCCCACCTCGGAGACGCACCCATGGGTCTCTTCGAAGTCGCCCGGGGCGCCGCCCTCGCCCTGCAGAAGAACGCTTTCCCCCTACGCAGCGCTGCCTCGGCAGCCGCCTCACCAGACGAAATAACACCGTCGGCGCGAGCGCGCGAAGCCCACGAGGAATCAAGCCCGCAGTCGCAGGAGGGCCGAGTCCGCAAGAGAGACGTGGTCAGTAACATGGTAACCGGCGGGTTGGCAAGCGGGATCGGCTGGGTTCTCGGTGCGCAGCCTGCCAACCGATCGTAAATAACCGTCTTCTTCTTTTTTCGCATTCCCTTCAGCTCTCGGAGCCTGAGCTTTGTGATGTTTGTTTTGCCCATGATGACATGGCGTTGGTCCGCGTCTGGCCCGGTTAGCGTTGAGACTTGAGAGTGCCTTTGTCCCTATGCATTTTTTATCACGGTACTAGAATACCTTGGTCTTATACATAGTGTTGCCTTTTGCAGCGAGAATAATGAATGAACCATGTCACTTCATGCTAGACCGTCTCCCTGCTGTTAAATGGAGCATCAATGCTGAACTCCTAGAAGTTAGGGAAAACACACCACGCAGCGACACCTCGAAGTCACCCTTTACTTCATATTACTAGAGTGCATCGTTCACTGGTTCCCAGGTAAATATTCCATGATTTCCAGTGGAAATTACCGAAATTTCTGTTGCATTTTCTTGGTCTGACAAATATCTACTGTCACGATAGAAGACGAATGAGATTTTTCACTATTGACTTGGACTTGACGGCGCCAATGTACATTCTCATTGGAAGGCAGGCATGTAACAAGAACATAAGGTAGATACTAAAAGCACAACACACACAGATGCAGCTACTCAAGAAGAATCAGGCTGAACCGACATTGAAAACTCACAAAGAGATCGAGTCCCAGCTATCCCGTTCGGCATCCATGAAAAAAAAAAAAAAAAGCGTCAGCACTGCTGCTCGCCGGCAGATGTCTTCGAACTCTTCTCAAATTTTGAAGAAACATTGCGGAACAAAAGTATGAGAAAGTGGAAACCAAGAAGAATATGATTCAACTCCAGCTGCTCACTCAAAGGAATGACATTGCAATGAGAGGTAATGAATGTCGTCATAATGCAAGGTTTCGTATGCTTTTTGACATCCTGGTCAATCAAGAAGGCCCAGCCACTTGTTAAGCGTTGAAGGAGAGACCGTAATATATGCAAGGGCATTATTGTAGATGAGATTAAGTCAATGTTGCGGTCGGTGGGTGGTGATTAGGGAATGAAACGGATTTAATGAAGGCTGAAATCTGCAGAGAGTCCAGGACTGGGGGAATCAATCTTGCCAGCCCCACACCTGCCGGACGAAGTTGGCCATGTTAACCTTTTTATTCTTCATGTCCAGCATCCAGGGATGTTCCAGCATCCGCCATGGTGTAGCTCTTCGTGGAGGTTCTTTTTCGAGACTAGATCAAGTCAACTCTAGCCCATTCGGACAAAGAAGAAGATACATACCAGCATTCAATAAAGTATTTGAAGTTATCGGACCAGCGAATACGGTTTTCGGGCTCATCTTTCAGCTTGGGAATCGGTTGGCGAACAATGTATGTAAGAAGATCTATCAATCCGGCTCGTGGCTGCATCTCGGTGCCATCGGCGGGGAACGGGAAACGATGTTGGGCAACCTCCAGCAGCGTCACACCGAGGGACCAAACGTCGGATGTAATGGTATAAGATTGGCCAGTGATTCGTTCAGGAGCCATATAGTAGGATGTACCGATGAATGTGTTGGCGTCTCCCTTGGTCCCGAACTCGCCGCTGACGCCAAAGTCACAGAGCTTCACTTGGCCGTTTCGGCATAGGAGAATGTTTGAAGGTTTGATATCTGAGTCGGTCAGCCGATGCACGAATCCTTGGAAGAAGCGAGCTTACCTCGATGGATAATCTTTCTGCTATGTAGGTATGTCAAACCATTCAAGACGCCTTCAGCGATTTTGCCGAGCACTTTTTCTCCTGTTCGCCCTCCCAATTTCTTAACCTCCTTGTAAATGCTGTCCAAACTTCCTCCTTCGCAAAACTCCATCGCAATCGAGATTGTTCCCGTGGACTTGTCCATGAAAGCGCCGTAGTAGCGGCAGATGTGTTCTGACGCACAGTCCTTGTTGAAGTTGAGTTCTCGAACAATCTGCTTCTTCACATCTGGGTTTGGGTCGGTCGTGATGATCTGGAGAAGTAATTGTATTGGCATGAAGAAATCTCACGTTTCAGGAATATGGTAAAATACCTTCAGGGCAAAAACGGTCTTGCCGTCCTTGAGCTTGCAACGTGTAACGGCACCACCAGCCCCTCACCCAGACTACCCAACTCAATAATCTTCTTTTGCTCGCTCGCAGCTAGCCAACCTTCATCATCCAAATCATCAACGTCCAGGGGCCTGCCCTTTTCCAGACTCAACTTATCCAAATCGGGAAGAAGTCCGTTGACGCTGTTATCGCGCTCCATCTGCACACCTCCCTCCCTGTCGGAGTACACCGAGCTGATCGCAGACGAGGGATCTGGAGTGCTGCCGTGCGGTTGCCGGAGACCCATGGCGAATGAGAGGGCGGAGTAATTCGACGATGATGCGGATGCCGGACCGCTAGCTTTCCCATCCAGATACGTAAAACTGCTGGATCTCGAATGTCCGTTCGATTCGTTCAACCCCGTGGTTGCCAGAGGCGGAGGGGCTGGTCTGCCATTCGCCAGTCGGGGCACTTCCTGGGGGACATCCGAGCTGCTACCCATGGGGTCGCGAGTCGCAGCTGAGGAGGAGCGGGACGAGTAGAAGGTCGCTGAGGCTGGGGAGCTTCGGGGGCTGCTGCTGCTGCTGCGACTGCGGGGCCGACGCCATTCCCGTCGACGGGTCTGCTGTTGGGGGATGGAGGAATGCCCAGCGTGAGTTTTGGAGGTCGAGGTCCGTTGCTGCGATTGCCAGGCACCGGTGGTCTGAGGAGAGGAACGGCCGAGGACGACATGGCGAGGTTGTTTTGCCTCTCCCCCGGCAAAAACAACTCGTTGGGATCAGCCAAGGTAGCCAGATCGGCGACGTTTGAGTTGGACACCTTGAACGAGAAGGTCGAGGACTAAAATGGATAACAGAGGGTGGACGAAGCAGCACCGGGGGTTGGTTCAAAAGGTGGCCGTGGGGCCGAGATAACACGCGGCGGATGAACAAAGGAGGGGTAAGAATAATAGCTATAACAGTGGCAGGCGTAAGATCAAAGAGACAATACAATAGATGACACCGATAGATCGGGATAAACGAACGTTGGTATTTCTCTTTCTTTGAACAGAATCAAAGAAAGAGACTGGATGAACGAAGGAGTTGGATGAGGATGGGTGTGGGTGAGGGTGAGGGAGAGGAGGATCGAAGGATGATGGGGATGGGCCAACAACCAACGGTCGGGTCGGGGAAGCGACAGAATTATTGATGACACGAAATATCTAACTTAGCAGCTGACAGAGTGTCAGTCAGCTTGGATTGGCCGTTGGATGTTTGAACTGTCGAATATTTACCATCCACAGATAGATGCAGAGCGATATGACGCTTATATTATATCAATTGCCCTATGTTATACGCTGTTACTCGGTTCTATCACAATTCAATGCCAATCACAAGGCACAGCCAACAGACTCAATCGCGCTGGGGATCGCATCGGTGGGACCAGTCTGTTTCGAAAGGCGCCTAGAAAGTACCACTTCTATAAATATGCGATCTCTACCCAATACTACTATCGGCTATATCCAGATAGTATCTAAATTTGTTCATCATGATCATTAGATGGTATCTTCATTATTGATGTTTGTCTTCAATCTGAGATAAATTGATGCGGTTGTTGTTGTTGTTGTTGTTGTTGTTGTTCATGGTCTCGATGTGTTGTCCTCGGCTCCCAGGCATCTAGGCATCCATGAAAAATCTTCTCAATGAAACTCCACATCATCGATCATATCTACTTCTCCATGGCATCATCATACCCAGATTTGAATGCCTAATCTCTTAGTTATGAGTTCATATGTTATCGAACGTAGAGTATTGACGTGCATCTTGCCTCAAGTACCAACCCCAAGTGTGGAGAGGACGAGCCATAGCCGAAGCAGTCAGTGGTCACTGGTCAGTCTAACTGTCTTACAGCTTCTCAGCCACTTTTCTTCCTCAATTTGACAAATGTGGCGACTGTGCACCTATGCTATCTCGCAGTGAGACATCCGAGTCCTCAAGTTGGGAGTGTTTCACACTTTTAGTCTCCTGTACTTAAAATACTCGGATTTGTGGCTTGTGAGGATGGGTACTTGGTCCTGCGTGGCTGTGTCATCCACAGTTTGCTTGGGTCCGGATCCACAACAATCAACAGGACTGCAAGTTGCAGGCCTGCAAACGTGTATCGGCATTCGGTAAGGGCTTCTTCTTGTGAATCGAAGACTTTGGTCTTCACCTAGGAACATTGGCTTTTTTCCTCCGTAGTGAGAGGTGCTTGTCCTGGATTTCTCCACAGGGTCTTGTTTCAACAGAGGCAAGTGCTGCTTCAGCTTCCGCTCAACTTCAGCCTTGTGACTTTTTTGATACCGGCAGTGGACTTGGATCTTCTATCTTGACGCAAAAGAGCTCAATCTACTTCTGAATCACATTCTTTAACGTTCTCATAATCCAAGACAAGCAGTGGAGATGAGAATTACTACCCTGTATGTCATTGCATTGTCACTTACTTCGGATATCCAGGCCCCACAGGGCCCTAAAATAGCCACCAAGGTCATTTGCACCCTGAGACTACGATGTGATTGAGTAGTCACAACTGGACCATCTCTTCCACTCTCAATGTTTCGAAAGTGTGAAGAAATAATGACAATCCTCGGCAATTGTGCTGATGTTGTTGCATGCGCCTAGAGTACTACCTCATATCTAGCCATCATCGAACCATCTGGTGAAAATGTACAATTACTACATCATAGACGCGCGGCTCTGGTGATCCTTGGTTGAGCCTTTGCAATCCCCACTGCTCGTAGATCGTCCAGATACTTGCAGGGAAAGGAATGGTCTTGCGGAATATAGCGACTACCTCATTACCTCGCTTGGGAGATATCGACCGAAATTTCGCATCCATAATCTGTTTGATTCCGAAGAATCAAGTTCACTCCATTACAAATCTTGCAAGCTTCACGCGATTTGGCCCAGGAAGCAGAGAATAGAGGCTGCCCCTGTTGATCTGTGGACCATTGTCCCTGCCCGTATCCTACCATACTATACTTCGTATAGGCACAGGCTGTATTGCTGTGTTCCCTGAAGTAGATACTCCGGGATCAATATGTCTCTTGAGTATCAATGAGTAACTAAGGGTCTTCTGTTTATAGTATCGACTCCGTTGACCACTCTCCATAATTAATGACCCGTTTCTAATCAAAGCAACATTGGCTTGACTAGCGAAGTAGATAGTCTACTCGGTAGTTTGCTTGCAGTTGACAGAAGGATAGACCAATGGTCCAAACCCCTTTTTCATCAGGTCCTGGCCTTAAGGATTAGATAGATAGTCTTGGTTATGCTCACCATATCGCTTTCGAAGTCAGTGGATTAGCCGTAGGAACTCTGTATCTACTCCGTACATCGCTTCGGAAAACAGAACATCTCTACGGAGTATCCTCTGAATTTAACTAGTTGAATTGGTTTTGTCGCCAATCACCGGTTATACCTAGCCAATCAAAAGTTATACTCTTGAATATACTCGCTTAGTAGTCAGGGGTAACCATGGGGACTATTCATTAACATGTCTCTCCTCTGTGGCTTGTCTTTCTAAGCCTATTGATGGTCATTTTCCGCTCACAGGACCAATAATACCAGTACCACTGCTACAGTAGATAGATACCACCAAGCTTTAATTAAGCAATACAATCAGTGTGACTGTGGCGTCTCAATGGCCCTGGTCTCGAAGCTCTCGCTCAGACTTCAGTCAAGTCAGTGTTTCGGTAGTGGTATCCAGACCTGGTCCCTGGCAGGGGTGCATTCACAGCCAATTTCTGAAAGGGACCTGGGTCTGTGCATTGACTGGCGTAATGCATCATAGACTCACGGCATATCAATGTAACATGCATCAGTTCAGGACGATGACCTTTACTGGCTCACAGGTCATCATCACTGATTCAAAGATGACCCCGCAGTACTATTCTTAACAGATCCTTGGTTCCAGGACATGATCATCCCTTGAAGTGTTGGATCCGGACATGTTCAGATCCAGAGTTCCAAAAATTCAGGGACCACAATCATTCAGACTGGCGCTCTGTCGCCCGTCCCTGAGCAAGACCGCCAGATTCAATGGAAATCAAAATAAAGGACTTAGGGGCAGGGTGGAGCACTGTGGCTCCACTAGATCTCTGGTCATTGGACGCACAGCGGGGTTGGAGAGCCACAGCGGGAAAATGAAAGAGGCCTCTGAGTGGACCATGGATTCAGGAACGGCTAAGACATAAATTCTGATTGGTCGACAGCGGCAAACATGAAACAGGTACTCCCAACGTTGTATCGCTTGGCAGATGAGATTGCTCGCGGCTTCATTACTCTATCATTTCTGTCCTGTACCCATGTATGGAGTAATGGAGAGTAGATTGGTAGAAAGTCAGTAATGGGAAATAAACTGGCATTATTACACTGCAATAGAAAGAGCGTAGGAAACGGCTGAGTGCCCAGAAATACTACGTAACTCAAAAGCCTCTAACTTCGCTAGTTTCTTCGACTCAGGGGTTCAGGAACGACAATTGGACCGACTGTTTTTGGTCGGCGATACTGGAACAAGCAATGGAAGTGCGGGATCAACACCACGCAGCAGGGCCGCACTCATGGCCGGCCAGCTAAGCACTAGGACGCTGTCTTAGGCCGGCTGATGCTATCCTCCACCAACCATAGGCTAGCCTCCGTCAATTCATCCCACGAGCGTACCTTAGCGGTACCACGTAACCATGAACCTACAGTACATACCTAGTAGGTAGTGAGCATGACGATCGATGAGATGTGGTGGATGAGCGACTAGAATCCGAATACAATATGTAATACTACATTTCCTAAGGTATTTCATACCTGTTCATCTTCACTCGAGTATAGAATGGAGCAATGGTATCCAATGTACACCGCGACTTTGGTGCAATCTCCTAATTTAGATTGCTAGTCATTGCAATATTGATTGACTTAGATCTAGTGAAGCCGTTCCAATCTAGTGGATTATTAGAGGAAACTTACAGGCTGAATAGAGAGTACTCCGTTATTGACTTACTGGACCTAGTTAGTACTGCAATAATAATAATAATAATAATAATAATATAATAAAAATAATGACTATGGTGCATTGGTGCAGCCCCTCGCTCTCCACCTGACACGGTCGACTCTTTCTTTTGCCTTTTTCCCCTGAGACGATCTCCGGGTTTAATCTCCCCGTTCATACAAAGGCCCCTGACCCCCCCTCCATCGTTCCCTCGTTCTCTTCTTCTTGTTTCTTTCTCTCCAAGCTCAAGACTTTCTTCCCGCTTCCAGCATCAAATCAATTTGACTTCGGTCGGCCACTCTTTCAAACCAAACCAACTACCCACACTCTCTTTAACAACCACGACATAAAATTTGCCTTGACGGCTAATTCCAGTGACTTTCTACATCAACCAAACCAATCAACCAACCGATATTCAAGATGCGTTTCACTGCTGCTTCCATTGCTTTCTTCGCCGGCCTTGCCGCTGCTCTCCCCGGTGACGTCCAGACCGTCTACGAGACCCAGGATGTTACCATCACCTCCTGCGCTCCCAGCGTCACCAACTGCCCTGCTCGTTCCACCTCCACCCCCTCGGGTGCTGACGCCGTGACCAACTCCTCCGCTGCCCCTACCGCCAGCGAGACTCCTGTTGAGACTCCTGTTGAGACTCCCGTTGAGACTCCCTCCGCCAGCAGCAGCAGCGTTCCCGTCATCCCTGCTCCCTCCAACACTGCTGTCGCCCCCAGCGTCTCCGTCATTGCTGTCACCACCTGCGTGCCCACCGTCACCTACATCACCGTCCCTGTCTCCACTCCTAGCGGCGCTGCCGGTCATTCTCACACCTCCGTCCCCGTCATCCCCTCTGCTCCTACCGGCACCCCTTCTCCTAGCGCTACGTAAGTTAACCATATCACCGGATATGTCTACTGAATATCCAACTAACAAAGCCACAGTCCTTCCATTCCTCCTGGTGGTCTCTCCACTGGCGCTGGTAACACCCTCAGCGGCTCTTTCGTCTTCGCTGGTGCTGCCGCTGTTGCCGCTCTCTTCCTGGCTTAGAGCAGTTCACTTCTTTTCTCCATAGTGTGAACCCGGGTCACTCGAGGCTCCAGGACAGCGCTTCTGGATGAACTTGTCATGACGGAGTGACGGGGTGTGTGTGTGTTTGAGTGTGTGTCAAATAGTTGGGCTTTCTTTTTGGGAGAGCAGTTTATATCCTTGCTTATACATATATTTTTCTTACATTGTATTCTTGACTTGTCAATATGATGATGTAACTTCAACAATATTTAAATTTGTAATGTTCTCGCTCAGGAGGTTGTGTCTATTTTAAGAAAGGCGATCATGTCTCATCTTTGGTCGTGATCGCATCGTTCGTAAGGGTACAGCAACTCGCGAGACAAAGGAGTCACCGTCTATGGGGCCGATGTAAGGCAGCTTAATCTGATTTACGAGTGCATAACCGAGTCACTTCTAGAAGGCTGAGTCGAAGGTGGAAGGCACGCGACACAAGAGCATTCTGTAGGTAGACACCAGGTGGTCCCCACTGTTAATCCATTTCAAAGTCGATGATTTATTCTTCCAAGTCAGTGCTCCGTAGATAGTAACAAAGAAACAGCAACGCAAAAGTCAGAAAGCTGCGGTAAGGCCAGATAAGTAACAACATGGGGCTGAATCGAGGCTTTGAAGACAAGAGAATAATTTAGCGGGTCATGGAATCAATTTATATGCTTAGATAGGAAAATGTAATTCTTGCTTTTGTGGCAGTGTTCCAACTGGCCCTTATTGTTATCCAACATATGCCAGCGACTAACAACAGCCGCTTCCTGATCTTGGCCTTGTCGATTTGACCTCGTATACCCAAAGAAGCGAACTGACGCAGTGAAGTTAACTATCCATACTCAACACATGACTAAAGCCGCGCTCGATGATAGTTAACTAGTTGTTTATCCCGCACCGCGGTCAAGTCAGCGTGATCTGATCATAACGGTGCGCCTTATATCAACCTGTTCCATCCAACAAGCGGCTTAGCGAATATTTCTCGCCTTGCGCTTGTGGCCGACGCTTTTGATCGATGTGCGGGGCCAAAATCCTAGCATTTCTTCTTTTCACCTCTCAAGGCGAGGTGTATTGTTGGTTCTCCGCTGTCGGTTGTCCAACAGATCTATCCGAGCCCCTAGATGGCCTGACGGGGACTGGGGAATAGCATGAACATGGCCATGGCTTCCATAAACCTGGCTCGGGGTCGAGGTGCCCCGTTCTGCCACCGATTGATGCGATCAAAGGGCGCAGTGAGTCTTTATCTTTGTTGTCTGTTGGTTGTCTTTGTTGTTGTGTACTCGCACTGCCTCTCCAGCGTGATTATGGCCTTTCACCCACAGCCTATATATATATAGGGAATTGATGAGAGGATACTGTCACCCAAATCTGGTTATGTTCTGCGACACACGACATATTAACTTCGTTCAAAAGTGCCGATCCACTCGCCATCTGGGCCGCATCTGGGTCGCATCGTATTCGCACCTTATTTTTGGCTCCATCAACTCTCGGGCCTCGTACTCTCGCGCCACTTATTGCATGAATCCTCGTGGGGTGCGATCTCAGGGCCCCATTTCACCGCATCTAACGATAATTAAAGAAGACCCCTGTTCCGTCGATTCCAGGGCTGTGTACGGTCGTACGGAGAACTCGCTTCCCCATGGATCTCTCTTTACTTGAAGGGCCCCCGATCCATAACCCCGGCTCGCCGACCCGGCCTGCAACATGTCTGTTCCTCAGATACACCTCGAGCATGCCTTTTTCACCAGTCCAGAAACAGAGGGATTGCACCTCCTGCAAAGACCTGCGTCCGCCGACGCTCATGCCCTTCGCCGAACCAAGTACCTCAACCCTGCCTACATCCGCCACACTGCACGGCCCCGTCTTCGGGTCCAAGCTGGCCCACCCGTCGAGCTCGACTCTACTGTCCCGTCTAGTCACAGCCCTAATGACAGTCGCAATCGCAGTCACAGCCACAGCTATCGCCACAGTAACTCAGACCTCTCCAGCTTCTCCTCGGCGCAGAGCCGTCCTCGCCGACTCACCTGGGTCGAAAGCGAGAGTATCTGGGTCGTCACCAGCCCATCTACCGGCTCGCCTACTTCCTCGTCAACATGGGGCGACGTGAACTGGTCTGCGGCCGCCTACCGCCCCCCTCCACTGCAGCATTCTCGATCAATGGACATGACTCTTGCCCATGGCCAGGCCCACTCGCAGCCGGACGACGACGATCTCCCGCCGCCGTATGAACGGCATTACTTTGATAGACCTCTTCCGCCTCTCCCGCCGGGGGCAGAGATGGATTCGTCGGTGGGAGGTAGTGCCTACAGCCAGAGTACAGGTATAGATTCGGGTCATCACACTCGCGCATCGCGATGGACGGAGATTGCGCGGCGAATGAACCGGACTCCGGTGGGATGAGCTTTTGGTTGGGATTGCAGGCATGTCCAGAGGAATGTCGCTACCGCAGCGAGCCTTGAACCGAACCAGTCGGCTATTCGAGGCCTCCTGACGAGGACCTCCATCATCCATCCGACTTATTGACACACACTCCATGTCGGTGAATACGATCGTGTTCTATGTAAAGGTCAATAATCATAACGTTGGAATCAACCGTGTATGAAACGGTCCAGGGCTCTAGCCATCTAGTCAGATATTCACCTTTTGAGGTAGTGAATTAAGAATTGTCATTTCTATTCTGTCAGTCAAGTATCTATTCACTGAAGTAGTTTAGTTACTCTGTCTGATTCACTATTCTATAAGGAAGCGTCCTCCCCAAAAGTCCAAGCCGGTACCGGCACGCTTACATCATACATGGTTCTACCTCTAGTATATAAAATCAACCGTCATAAACCGTCATACAACACGCAACCTTCCACTTTTCTCTTACTTTGACCTCACGCACCTTCCACTTTTCCCAACCTTCCACTTTTCTCTTACTTTGACCTCACGCACCTTCCACTTTCCGTTACTTTGACCTCACGCTATAATCAGTTGCTGCCCATCTTACCTCTCCCATCTTACCTGCTTGCTCATTCTGTCTAACATGGAGCTCTCTGCTGGTTCTTCCTCGAATACCAATCCGTCTACCACTTCAGAGGCGTCATTTAACTCCGGAGACGCTACTTCGGAGTCTTCGTCGCACTCGAGAGACCCTCACGCTGAGCTCGTTGACGAACTAGAACACCACCCTTTTACCACCAGCGCGACCTTGATAAGGGCGGTAGAGACTCGACGAGAAGCCTTGCAGCGAGGCATAACCCGCGACCAGTATTTGGTTTATGCAGGTGTCCCTCCAGAGGTATTCTCGAAACTGGTCGAGGAGAAGTCGCGAGTCAACAAGTCTAGCCGCTTTACGTACAGCAACAACACAGGCACCCTCATCATCAAAGTCATGCTGCATCCTGAACACGACATAGCAGCGCGGAGATTCGATTTGCTTATCGCTTCGGAGCTGGATACCATGGGTGTACATGATATAGACCCCCTTGGATCGACCACCGTCACTATCGGCTCCTGGAAAAAGGAAGCAGATTGCTCCTGGGGTCCTTTCCAACAGCGCGCTGAACTCAATCTTGCGGTCGAAATAGGTCTGTCGGAATCCATGCGCCACCTAGCTACGGACGCGAGAGGCTGGTTAGAGACTCCTTCATCGACAGTTAAACTTGTTGTGACGATTTCCATCGACCGGACGCAGCCAGAGGTCGTCTTTCGTCGTTGGGAGTTGGCTCCCAGGAGCTACCGTCTAGTCACACGGTCTTCCCCTGCGTCAGCTAGAAACTCTTCAACAACCCGGGTATACCGAGTCAATAACACGACATCCGTCGATGGGGGAGAACTTGTGCTACCTTTCGACAAGATTGTGGGACGTCAAGCAACAGGACCTCATGAAAGAGACATTATACTCTCGGAGGGAGCACTGCAGGATTATGCTGAGAGACTCTGGGTCAGACAAGGTTTCATGTAGTATGCGTACCTATTCCACTCGGGGAAACAAGCAAGTCAATCGGCTTGTGGATTACCATCAGTACGACATTGCTTACTAGTATGGATGGAGACTAGCTCTTATTGTCATTAGAATCACAGTCATTAAAATCACAGTCATTAAAATCACAGTCATTAAAATCACAGTCATTAAAATCACAGTCATTAAAATCACAGTCATTAAAATCACAGTCATTAAAATTATAGTGAAGCAGGCGACTGCTCTGTACATCACATGAACCAAGAATTCCTGTACAATTCCATCTTCCCATCATCTAGTGGACAGGGGGCAGAGGCGCTCTCAGAGGCAGCTTACGCGACGAGCTGCCGACGTGCACTTTCTTGGGGTACTTGGTGATGACCCAGTCCTGAGCCTCCACATCCCAGTTGGCGAGATCACGACGGTTAAGAGTCGTGGTCCAGACCTTTTGCTCCCCAGGAGCCAGGAAGATTCGGTCGAACTTGCGCAGAACGACCCGAGGCTCATTCGGTCCGCCTAGGGAAACATACTATATGCGAGTTAGCCAAAATGCAAGGCAAGGCACCTGCGAGTCACTCACCAATTGAGGGACTTCATAACCGGCGACGTTGCCAGTGTTGGTGATGGTAGCCGATACCCTAACAAGATCGTGATAAAGGGTAGGGTTGCCACCAGGAGCGCCGCCAGCCTTCAGGAGGCGTTGAGGAGAACCATCCGTAGCGCCTTCGGGAATGTACTCCGAGTCCTCCCAGCCGTAGTTCGGGTCGTCCGAAGATTCCTCGAGGTCGGTCGAGTTGAGCCAAGGGTAAATAAACTTGGTGATTCTCTTGAGACCCTCGGGATACAGGTAGTCGGCGGCACTACCGATCTCTCCATAAGTTGGCGCAGGCTTGGTCTCTCCGCTAGTCGGGACATAGGCCGAACTCGAACTATTGAGGGCCTGAACCCGGAGGTGGGAATAACCAAAGGTGGTGTAGCTCAAGCCATGGCCAAACTCATAAATGGGGGTCTCGTTGCGCTTGTCAAAGTAACGGTAGTCGATGAAGACGCCCTCTTTGAAATCATCCTGGGGAGCGCCGTTGCCATTGTTAGGCTCGGTGAGCAAGGGAGCACCGTAAGACTCGCGAGTCTTGCCCCAGGTGAATGGAGTCTTGGCGCTGGGGTTGACACGGCCATAGAGCACGTCGACCAGGGAGTTGCCACTCTCCTGACCGGGCAAGCCGGCCCAGATGATGGCGGTGACGTTGGGGTTGTCATACCACCGGTCGATCAAGACGGGCCCGACACTGTGAATAACCACAATCGTGTTGTTGCAGTGGCTGACAACAGTGTCAATGACGGCTTCGCCATTCTTCCAAAGAGTGAGATTTTTGCGGTCACCCTCGTTGCCGTCGACGTTGATGAACCCCTCACCGGAGTCTGCGTTGACAAAAACCAAAGACACGCTGTTCGCAACGGTCAATACTTTGTACTGAGAACGTTTTGTCCAAGGACCGCCACTGACCTGGATTGAGATGCGACATCTGCTATCTGGCTGAGAGCTCCGTTGTCAGTTACAGCGAAGACATTGCCGCCGTTGCTGATGACCTCGCGCTGGATAGCCTGCTCGGGGTAACAAGGTAAGGGAAGTTAGCAGTACCACTACCCCAGGCCATAGCAAGAGTGCCGTTGTCACAGCCGCGGTCGGGGCAGCCGTTAGCACCCCACGGGTTGGAACCAGCGTCTTCGCCGAGAACACCCACTTTAACCTCCTTGCCGGTCAAAGGAAGAGCACCCTTGTTCTTCAAGAGCACTGTACTAGCCGCGCCAATCTCACGGATGATCTGGGAGTGACTGCGCTGCACATTGACAAAGTCGTTGACCTTGGTCCAGGCTCCCTCGGAGACAGCAAAATGCTCCCAACCGTACTCATCCCGGGTCCAGGAGCTGAAGTTAGGGGGAATACGGAGACGGTCACGGCCAACCTTGTAGTACGCGGTCATGATACGAACAGCCATGTCATCGACACGCCAAGCCGGAATGGTGCCGTTAAGAACACCGACAGTCAGGTTCGTGCCCCAGAAGGAGAGGCCGTCGTCGAAGGTAATGTCTCCGGGCATCGACATATCCAACCCAGCGAGGGCAGAGCCGACACCGCTGTGGTGAGCGCTCCAATCACTCATGACGAAGCCCTGGAAGCCCAGCTCGGCCTTGAGGAGCTTGTTGAGAGTCTGACTGTTTTGGCAACCGTAGCTGTTATTGATCTGGTTGTAGGAACACATGACAGCGCCAACGCCAGCTATAGACGGTTCGTCAGTGATTTCTTCTTCGCGAGTCAAGTCTGCTGAAAATCTTACCGCGCACAGCATCTGCAAAGGGCCTGCATTCCAGGTCAGCCGAAGGTACCCGTTTGAGGTGTCAACTACTCACCAAAGGTACAACTCGTGCATGGTCTTGTCATCCACGTTGGAGCTGAGAGTCTCCGTGATGTTGTACCCATATCCTTGGGCCTCGCTAACCTGTCGGAAATGCTCCTGTTCATTCAGGATGTAATGCTTGGCAGTAGCAATCACACCAGCCTCTTGGATACCCCTGATAGTTTCGGCGAAAAGTACACCGGTGAGAGCCGGATCAGGAGAGAAGCCTTCCCAGATTCGACCACCGTCGGGGTATTTGCCGAGAGGACCAGCAGCAGGCCCCAGCAGAATGTCCACGCCCTTGTCGTTGAATTCCTCACCCATGGCCTTTCCACGAAGGTAGGCGAGTGTCTTGTCCCACGTCGCGGCGACATTAGTACCAGCAGGGAAGGCGGAATTGAGATCAGCTATATGGAGACAATCATCAGCACATAATACAAGGACTGAAAGACTCCGCAGGTGTAGCTTACAGAAACGGATACCCAAAGGGGAATCCTGGCCACAAAGACCCCAGTTGATACCAAGTCTGCACCACCGTGTTTTTAGCAACTAAAAGTTGCACGTTGTTGTAGAATTGCAAAAGCTTACCTGGGAACGCTGCCGGTTTGACCGACACATCGGTCCATTTCCCATCTATGTCAATTGTCAGTGAAGAAAGCTCACTGTCGACAAGAAAGTGTCAACCCACCCAGTACCCGTTGTAAGGTTAACCTTCTCCGCCAGTGTCATCTGAGAAACGATCTCGACAGCGCGCCGATGGGCATCCGCCCACTCTCCCTGGCCATCAGCCCAAGGTGAAGGGTAGAATGGTGGAGAGAAAGCCAATTCCTAATAATTTCCAGGAATAATGTCAACTATGATCGAAACAATGACGGAAAAGCAGTATAAACCTGAGCATTAGCTACAGAAACAGCCGTCAGAGCGGCGACCTCTAGCCAACCGAACCTCATTGCTGTGGAGGGTGTATGTACTCCGAAGCCAGCAAAGAAACGATCGACCACACAGTTCTAATTGAGCAAGAGGAATGAGGAAGAGGGGGAAGGAAAAAGGGAGAACAGGATATTAATAACCAGACCAAAAATCGGAGGCAGGGGACTGTGACTAGATATGATTTTTATTACTAGCTACTATGAGGTTGCATGATGATGTATGAATGTCTGGGCACAAGGTACCCAAGGGCGGGCAAGGGACAGCAGAAAAGCCCACATGTAGTCATGTACTCGGATAGGCAGGTACCACTTGCCACTTTGGTGTCGGGGAATAACAATGGGATGGGGCATGGCGATCGACATCCCGCGTCCCAAATCGAGAGAATGTGGGACTGTGCTAGAAAGGAGCAATCACGGTTCTCAACTTCCATGTAATCCATGAGAGTATGGAGTTATGGTACGGAGTAAACAAGCGAGTGGGACAGCACACGGGGGGAATGTGAACCCGATTAGTATTTGTATTAGATCCATCGGCCCGGTATCTCCAAGGGAATACAGACATTAGAGGTAGGTCAAGTTGGCAAGATTTGGCCTCTTTCATTTCACAAATGAAGGCGACAATATCCTCTGTAACTTGAGGCGTAATGAGCTGTTGTTGACCACTCTTTTCTGGAAAATCGACTTGATACTAAAAGAGCCGGGATGATGACGATGTTTGTTGTTTTTCTGGAGCCGAAAAACTGGAGAGGTCGGAGACACGGGGTAAGACTAGTGCGTATGGTTGGTAAAGTACCTGTAGTGCCTGCCCTGGGTAATACCATGGATAGCTCGCTCTACTTTTACCTACCTAAGATTCAAAACATTTCGCATTCAGGTCGAAATATGCTCTCTAATTTAAATCTCTAATTCCTTAAGCTTTGGTTTATTGCCATGTCAAGCAATGTTCAGTGTATTGCATATCTGTATGTTTGATACAGGAGAGGATCGAAATACACAGCTACGTCCTCTTCCGGGGAATGTCCGTGGCCTGAGGCTCCAGTCCCAGACCGGCAAGCCCGCCGAGTCTAGAAACCCATGGCTCATTCCCGTCAAGCCACCATGACTCGGCTTCTCGGTTTACATTCGAACATTCAAAGTAAATCGTGTTAAAGCATCAATGACATGATAGAATCAAGACCATGTGCTGATGCAGCAGGGATGAGCGCGCTGTCACCTCAATGTCACTGTCCCATCAAGACCCCGCATTTTCAAGCCATCGGGGTCCGGAGTCTTTGGACACAAGTGCTGAGTATTTGACCAAGGTCTGGGTACAGGTATTCATGAACACGCGCGCAATGGAGTTATCGCAACATCAGCAAGCCACCAAAAGCATCTCTCAGCGCGTTGTGTCCTGAAACACCTTTTATAGGCATGGAGAGGCTCAAAGGAGATACCCTTCTTTACCCTGATGCATCATCAACATGTCAAGGGGGCATACCTTACTGATATGAATCCACAAGCCGATTGACTGCCAAGCTTGCCCTTGCTTATTTCTCCGAGTGGAATAGGTATGCATACTCGAAGTCGATGTGTAATCAATTCCCTGGATACCGAGACTGAGCAGATCGATCGCGGATTTGTAATCGGATCACACACAGTTTACACCGGAAACCCTTTTTTTTTTTAACTAATATCATGGTGGACCAAAAGTACGTAGTAGTCAAAGACACAACAATAAGACATTATGGAGATTGGACGATTATCCCTCGAATATCCCTTTCAGGCAGTAGGTACCAACCACCCCACTAGTCAATGATGTATTGAAGTATTTATCCGGTATTCATTGTTGTACTTTCCATCAAGAACGCGACTAGATTCATTGATACCAATCACTGGATGCTTCTGCGAGCACTAAACTTGCCATTGAAGACAAATACATTTGAACAATAGTAAATCCATTTGTGCATACTATGCCCCTGAAGATCCCGAAGGGAGACATCCCCTTCGGCCTTGGCCATATACTATCAGAAGCAGCATGACTGCCGCACATTGCTGCTTGACATCGTCTCAGTCGACCGGTCTGCTGTAAACATTACGTGCCCAATTACTCCGATTCCCCGAAACTTGAAATTTCTCACCATTAGTCTGCCGTGCATACTCCGCAGTTTTTCCGTCGACTGTGGGGTTCCCACGGGGAGGGAATCTGGCATATGCAGCTGTGGCTATGAGTATGCAGTATGGAGCATCTATGGTAGTATCTAGGAGCCGCCCCTTTAACACTAGGTACGAGCATATATCCAAGTCATCAGCTCTCGCGTCCTGTTTGATGACGTCACATCAACAGTGTACTCCTTAGGTACGGTGCAAACTGTTCGGCATCACCTCACGGGCTAAGGATTACCCGGCTTACAGACTCCAGGTCCAGGAGAGATGATCTTGAACCCATAAAGTCCGAATCATCACTCGGAACCTTATTCCCTCGGTACCGGCTACTGTGGTCAATATCATCCCGAATATCAAGTGCCCAAGTAAACACCCGCGCCGGTTCAAGTAGCGAAGAAGGATTGAGCTTCTAGGAGCACCCTGAATCATCAAACCGCCGAACATCAGATCATCTGGCCCCTTCCGTGTCATTTGCAGTACTGTGCTGTTTGTAAACCTTACCCGTAAAAGTATCCGTACGTAAACAGTTCTGCATCGGTCAAAAGCCGACGCCCCAGTGTGGGGTTCATTATTGTGGACCCTGGAGTCCGCCTGGAGAAGGAAAGTGAGCTCCCAAGACCCAATTCACAGGCTTCACAGACCGCAGCAAGAACAACCATGTAGCACAGACGCTAAATCACTGACGTGTCCTGGAGCCAAGATACATATGCATGATGGCTTTGCCCGCTGTTGAGCCGATGATTAGCCGTAGAGTAGGAAGTCACTTAGACTGCTTTAAAGCCGTTCCTATCAACTATCGTGGAAGGTTCCTTTACGGAGTAATACATTTGCAGCCATCTGATGCTGGCATTTATGCGACCACACCAAGCCTGGTATATTATTACCGAAGCTCATCATCCCTGGAAAGCCCTAAAGGTGTCCGGGGACCCCAGGGTCGACACGCACCCGTCATCCTTGTATAGGTATTTTCGATTCCATTTAGCTACTACGACTCAGTAGAGCATGGACTTGTGCTATGAAAGTCCTTGCTTTCGATACTTCTGGTGAAGACTCACTCCCACAGCGCAAGCCTATCTTGGCAGTCAAGCTAGGCTCTTGTCAACCTGTTGATTTCACATGTGCATACCTCTCTAGAAACCTACCTAGAGTGGCAATGAAACCACGTGATCTTAACATGTCACTCCGGGGCCATGATTGGCTACAGTACTTATCGGTTTTCAGTAAGCTTTATCGGCCTTGGGGATTTTCATGTCAGAGCAGTATCTACAGCTGTCAATAGGAATACAATCCATAGATTTTGTGACTACATTCAGTCAGGAGTTTGAATTTCTTTGATATATGAGTTTGCTACACATAATTGCAGGATTTGGAGGATTCTAGGGCAGTTTCGCCATGACTCGGGAGAAAGACGGCACATCGCCTTATCAGCATCCAAGCGATATCGAAGCTTGCAGTACGCCAGATGCCTCAAAATCTGACAACGATGCGGGTCCAACTTCTGCTTTCAAGCAGCTCGCCCTTCTAGATCAATTCCTTGCAGTCTGGATCTTCCTGGCTATGGCTATTGGCATCATCCTTGGTAACTTTGTTCCCAACACGAGCAAAGCTCTGGACAAAGGAAAATTCGTCGGCGTATCGGTGCCTATAGGTATGCCCCTGGTTTCGAAACACGCAGTCGACCGGATGATGGCTCACACACTCTATAGCAATCGGCCTGCTAGTCATGATGTATCCCATTCTGTGTAAAGTGCGATTCGAGACTCTCCATCGGTCATTCCGCGAAAAAGCACTCTGGATCCAAGTCGCATTCAGTATCCTTGTGAACTGGATTATAGCGCCTCTATTCATGGTAGGTCGGACACTTCGCTGATACCGCAAGGTTGGTGTTGACCATTTGAAGCTTGCCTTAGCATGGGCGTTCCTCCCCGACGAACGAGGACTTCGAGAAGGTTTAATCCTAGTCGGCATCGCACGGTGTATTGCAATGGTTTGTCCCTTGTCCATATGATGGAATACTCTGGACATGCAGGCTAATAGCTTTCAGGTCCTTGTCTGGACTGGTCTTGCAGGAGGAGACGGTGAATACTGTGCGATTCTGGTCGCAATCAACTCGATCCTGCAAATGGTTCTATTTGCTCCACTCGCGATTTTTTTCATTCGAGTCATCGGAGATGGAGACGACGGTCTGACCATTGAGTATTCGTTGGCCGCAAAGAGTGTTGGTGTGTTCCTTGGTATACCGCTGGGAGCAGCCATTGTCACCCGCTTCGCTTTAAGGTTCCTCATCAGCGATGAATGGTACGACAGAACCTTCGTGAAGCTGATCAGCCCGCTATCTTTGATCGGTCTTCTGTTCACGATCCTGGTACTCTTTGCTTCCCAAGGCAGGCAAGTCGTCCATCAGATTGTATCAGTCGTTCGAGTCGCCGCTCCGCTCATCGTTTACTTCGCCGTCGTTTTCCTCATCACCCTCCTAGTAACGCGCCGGTTGGGCTTCGGTTACAAGCTGTCATGCACACAAAGTTTCACGGCGGCGAGCAACAACTTTGAGCTTGCAATCGCAGTAGCAATTGCAACATTTGGTGTCGACAGCGACCAAGCGCTAGCCGCCACAGTCGGTCCTCTCGTCGAAGTTCCCGTGCTCTTGGCGTTGGTATATGTCGTCAGGTGGTTTGCCAGGCGACAGCAATGGAAATGACGAGAAATTTTGACACATGCACTTGTACATAATGCGATAATGCCTCGATAACGGATAATAATAGTAAGCAAGCCCATCAGTGGTTGCTAATTTCGTCTAGAACCTGAAACAAAATCTGATTCTGCACCCTACATCCTTCTTCGGTTGTGAGGCCTTTGGAGAAGCCCGCCCATAGCCTCTTGCGAATTTCCGTGATGTCCATGCCGCGAGTGTTGTATTGCTGGATCAGTTCATCCGCTATTGCACAGAGTGTAGTATTGAGGGGGTCCCCATTGTTAGGAAAACGTTCTGCTTCGTTGTCTCCAGGTGCGCAGTCGCAGAGTGGAGGCAGTCTGGGGCGTTCTGCCGGGTCCTGAGACTCTTGAGATGCAGTCTTTCCTGACGGCTCGGGCGTGTCTGATGGTTCCTCTTTAGCGGAAAGTTGATTTTGCACTGCGGCAAGACTGGCGTTTCTTTCTGACCTATCCGACGACGATGAGCAAGGGAGGAAAGGCTTTGTCTCCTGGCAAGGAGCTTCTGGCTGGATCTCTGGCCGTTGAAGAGGTGGTAATACAACTTTCTCGGTCATAAGAGGATCGAAGGTAGACCGCGGTTTCTCCTGAACTTCCTGAGGTTGCCTGCTTGAGCATGAGCGCGAGCATTTTTGCTCCCGGCATCGAACTTCGGGCTGCATCTCAGGCAGTCGAGAGGCCGGTATTGCAGCTTTCTGAATCTCGAGACCACCATCGCCGTTTTGGAATTCACCGACAGTATTGGATGATTTGCTTCCACATGGACGCGAACACTTCGTCTCCTGACGCAAGTTTTCCGATTGGAACTCAGACCGTCGAAGAGCCGGGATCGCGACTTTCTGGGTCACAGCGGGATCATCACCGGTCCGCAGATATTCCTCGACCGTCTGAGGCGGTATCCCTGAGTAAGATAGCAGGTACCTCAACTTTCTATTCTCCATTTCGAGTCGTTGTGCGGCCAATCTGTGCTCGACTTCTTTCTTGTGTGCTTGTTCTTGTAAACAGGCCAGCTTCTGCTCTAAGTCGCGAATATGCTCCTGCTTCTTTGCCCTGCTCCTTCGTTGGTTCTCTCGGATGCGAGCGAGCTTGTCGACCTTCTGCCCTGTCATTAGTCCAACAGAATGCGATTGGGTGCAAGTCGCTTTCTCCAGGGCTCCAACCTTTTGGTCGCTTTCGAGATTCATCCTGCCTCAATCAGCAGTGGCAGATCATCAAAGTACACGCCAATATCCTGTAATTGCTAATGGCACATGAGTCGCATATAGTTTAAAGCCTCTGAAGGATTGTCGGCAGCGAAAATTGGTGCTGGAGACATCGCCTCCGCTGCAGATGAATGACGGTTTGTCTTGCGTTGGGGATCTGGATCGGGGTCCATCAACCAGTGGGCGGGACTGGTGCACGTGATTGTCGCTTGTGGATCCACTATGATCACCATCCAGACAGATCTTTACCTTAGCCCCCAGTGCACGCCTGAAACATCGGGCAAGAATAATAAGATATATCTATCTAGGTAGATGGATCATTAGGGGATCTCTGCCCATTGCTTGTCGTGACAACAAGGCTGGTTTTCTATGACAGTTCTCAATCTCCATTCGAAGAGGACGCGGTCGTAACCCGCCAATAAATCTAGGCTGACCAAACTGCGACTATTTAACTAACTACTGACTTTCTTCCTTTAGTCCTGCTAAATACCATAGGAAGCTTGGATCATTATACCTGATGTGTTCATTGACAGCACTGAGATATCATGGTATCATAATGCGTAATGCCTTATGGCAAGCTGCAATTCAGTGGAAACTTCTCTATGCACCCAGACACAGTCGTCTTCACGACGTCACTACCCGTCAGGCGGCACCATCGCCATGCGGCCCATGCCACAAAACTCAGCATTCCTCGCGTCGCGACATCCTTCTTGACTATAGTACTTCTCGCTTCTCAATAAATCATTAACTACAGCTTTGAACACTAACCGCGCAAACCAAAGCGACTCCTGCATGTGCTACCATACACCCTCCTAGACAACTGCGACAGATATGGTTTCCACTAGACATCATCCCCGCGATTTCCCCTCGCCATCGCGTGCCAGGTCCAGGTCAAAATCCCCAGGACCGTCAGCCAACGGAATTGTCACTAAACGATGGGTGCACACCCCATCGACGGCTGTGACCTTGTGGCTTCTAGTCTCGATTCCCTTGGTCCTATGGGATTCAGGTTACGTGTTGTTGCGACCGCATTCCATGCCAGGTCATAAGCTACATTCGCCTGTCTGGACCCCGTACGCACTCTATGGGACAATTGACTATATCTATGGCTGGCCGGCGTTCAACGCTCGGAATGGCTTTACCGTCGCGCAGACCGTATTGAACCTTGTGGAATCAGCGGCTTATCTGTACTACCTCTTCATCATCTATAAATATGGAGCGACGATGAATACAGGCGGACGCGGAAAACAGCGCAAGACTCGCAAGGGTTTGTTGTGGATGTTGAAGGGCGATAAAGTCGTGTCTGGGCGCACTGGAGCGACGGCGCTCCTGGTAGCCTACAGCGCCTCCATCATGACTTTGAGTAAAACGGTCCTTTACTGTGAGGTAGATGGTGTCCGTCAGTCTATAACCAGCTAATGAGATATCAGGGCTCAACGAGGCTTTCTCTGGATTTGCCAACATTGGACACAATGATGCTTTCACATTGATTACTATGTGGGTCATTCCTAAGTAAGTCTGGTCTCTAATTCTCCGCCTTGTGCCGGTTCTAATAGCAGACAGTGGACTCTGGATTGCTTTTCCTAGCTACAATGTATATACCTTGGGGAAGGAGATCTTGGCCGCTCTTGAGACTTCCGCACCCGCCTCGCGGACGAAGTCGTGAGACCCCACGTTCTATGGGCTTGACGTTCGATGCATGACCCGTAGCAGCCGCCGGCTTCAGTTGAGACTTCGGAGGACGGTACATACAATAGGGGTCGAAAGGTGGTGCTGTTGCTTCAGAGACCATGCCGGCTCTATTCAGGCTATATTGTAGAACTTTGGGACTCCGCCTATTTCTGGAGGTGTCATATCGGGTGTCACATGTGATATAGTATAAGAATGTCCATTAATATTAGGCTCCACCATGGTGCATCTGAGTAGATGACATCCATATCTAGTAAGCCCTTTTTACGCAGTAGGTCAGTCCGATTAGCGGCTCATCGTTGCAGTTTGGATTAACCCAGAGCGCCCCAGCTGCGACCGTATAGGTTTCCAGAATCACTTGCTGGGAGCAGGGACACTCTCTCGCTGCTCCTGTTCATTTCATTCATCAGTATCATTCATTCTATGCCCAGTAGTATCAAGAGCTGTTCTTTCGATGGTATCAATCTGATTAATAATCCGACGCGGCCAGATGCCAAGCCCGACCCTTTCCCCATACCCACCAGCATCTACCGCCTATCCCGCAATCCCATCCAATTCCAAGGAATCTCTCCAGAAAGCTACCACTATCCTTCGGCTGGCCTCATTGCTCTCGCTGCTGCCTATACAAACAATGTCCCGAGCCTTGCTGCTGGGGCTACACCACCCGTCATGATCCCACCTGAGTCCATGGAGTCTCCCATGGTCTCTTCTGCTGGCCCGACTTTGCCCCACGAGGACAGCGCGATTCCGGAGGATTTCGACACCCAAAGTCGGGCCAGCTCGCGAGATGCAGGGAGCGTCCAGACGGCAGGAGACCCAACTGCTGCACAGGACGGAGCTCATGCTACCCAGCGCGACGATGCCCATAATTCCAACGAAAACGGCCCCGACGGGAAACCTCCGTGGACCGAAATGAAAACCAAGGCTGGAAAGGAGCGGAAACGTCTACCCTTGGCGTGCATCGCGTGTCGGAGGAAGAAGATCCGGTGCTCGGGGGAGAAGCCCGCATGCAAGCATTGCTCGCGCTCTCGAATTCCATGTGTCTACAAGGTTACCACGAGGAAGGCGGCTCCTCGGACGGATTACATGGCGATGCTGGATAAGCGGTTAAAGCGTATGGAGGATAGAGTCATCAAGACTATTCCGAAAGACGAGCCCCGGGATATTGCCGCAATCGGTAGATCAGTCGTCCGACCGCCCCAACCGGGTCAGGCATCCAAGACACAAAAGAAGCGATCGGCGGACGAAGCTTTTGCGGCGGAGATGGAAGGATGGACACACGAGGATCGGAGAGCACCACAAGACACATTTCCCATGCGCCGCGAGGGCAAGGGCAACGACGCAATGGGCCTTTCGACCGAAGGCGCCGAGTTTCTACCGTCACTGGAGATTCAGGAACATCTGGCGGAGGTCTTCTTCGACTGTGTATACGGGCAGTCATACCTCCTGCTTCATAAGCCAAGCTTTATGCGGCGGCTGAAAGCGAGGACAGTCCCGCCCGTACTGATCCTGGCCGTTTGTGCTGTTTCGGCACGATTTTCGACACACCCGCAGCTTAGCTCAGATCCACCTTTCCTCCGTGGCGAGAATTGGGCAAATCCCGCTGCTGCCATCGCGTTGAGCCGACATGATGAACCGAGCATAACCATTCTGACTGTTTTTCTACTATTGGGCCTTCACGAGTTCGGAACTTGCCATGGTGGGCGGAGCTGGTCTTTTGGTGGGCAGGCACTCCGCATGGCCTACGCTTTACAGCTTCACAGGGAGCTAGACTATGATCCTCTGCTGAATCAAGGTTCAGGCAATGGTGCACAGCTAAGCTTTACGGATCGGGAGATCAGGAGACGTACGATGTGGGCATGTTACTTGATGGATCGCTACAACTCGTCTGGTAGTCAGCGTCCACCTATTGGAAACGAGAAGTTTCTGCAGATCCAGCTTCCTATCAAGGAGTCTTCATTTCAATTGGAGATACCGGGACCAACGGAGGACCTGGAAGGGAACATTCCAAACCCCGTCCCGGATGATGTTGGTCAATTGTCTAATGCCAAGGATAACATGGGCGTGTCAGCCTATATCATTCGAGCTGTGGTAATATGGGGTCGCATAGTCGATTATCTCAATCTTGGTGGGAAGAAAAAGGACCCACATCCTCTATGGTCGCCCGAATCGGGTTATATGAAGTTGAAACGGCAAATCGAAGACTTCTCTGCCACCCTGCCCAGTCATTTGGCGTTCACATATGAAAATTTACAGGTCCACGCTGCAGACAAGATCGCCAACCAGTTCCTCTATCTCCATATCATTATTCACCAGAACATGTTATTCTTGAATCAATTCGCCATTCCGCTTTCACCTGGAGGGCGGCCTCCCAAGGATATGCCCAAATCGTTCCTCAGTAACGCTGGGCGCGCCGCTGTCGAGGCAGCACATCACATTTCTGTATTAATAGACCGCGCGACGGCCTATCCTCTTACGGCGCCGTTTGCGGGATATTCAGCTTACTCGGCGAGTACGGTGCACATTTGGGGCATCTTCTCGAAGAACGCACAATTGGAAGCTCGGTCGAAAGAAAACTTGCGGCACACCTATCGGTACCTCAATAAAATGAAGAAGTATTGGGGGATGTTTCACTACATGGTTGAGAGTGCCAAAGATCGTTATCGGCAGTTCGCAGATGCGGCTATCAAGGGGGCCGTCGTCACCCAGAACGGCGATCAGCTCACCCCCATGTTCCAGTACGGCGACTGGTTCGATAAATATCCTCACGGTGTTTCAAGACTTCACTGGGAAGATCCTGACGCCAGGCAAAAAGACCATGCCGATGACGGGGTGATGGGCCAAAAGCCCGAGCTCCAAAGCGTGGAAGACTTCTTCGCAAGCCTATCTCCATCCGTGCCGCAGCACAGCACTCCCCGTCGGCCACATCCAAGAAGAGAAAGCAAGAGTATTGCTCCTCCAGACCAGGCAATCCCTCCGCAACCGGTGGTCGACGTGAACATGAACAATGCTCCTGGGATGTTGGGCACATCTGGCACGGGCTTCCCGCATCCGACAATGTACGATCAACAAGGCCGAACAACATCCTTAGGGCCAACCGGGTTCGACTTCAGCATTCCCCAAGATCAACTCCCGCAGTTGGATCGACAGTTTGTCTATGGGTCCTTTGCAGGGATTGACCCTCCCCCGGCCGCTTTTGCGACTGTTGATAGCCCAGGGATTTCCGCTCCTGGTGGGGCAGTCGCCGATACAAGCCAGGACACTTCTGCTGCGCTCTTCACCGGCCATATGGACCCCAACGCGCCGTCGGGCACCGGAGAGTACTATCAACCGAGCGCGTGGTTTTTACCTTTCAATCTCGACCCTGTCGGTGCAGGTGTTGGCCTTGATCCCAACCCTGCGGCTTCCGTTCCCAATAGCGAAAATGCCTCTGCAGACTTGTCCGCGTTTGGCGGTACCGGCATATCACTGGGAGGGTATGATCTGGGAATGACGGGAATGAATCAAGGGTCCCATCAGTGATGGGTATTGCTACCATTTCTTTTATTTTCTCTTTGCGAGCGGTTCAGGTTGGGCGAATTTGGTGTCTAGGAAAAGGGCGGGGAGTTCACGACTTGTATTTCTCTGTATGCTGAACTGTTTGTGTAACTAAGTTGTATATCCCTGCTATATATTGATCCATTACTTTCTTTGTCTCTGTCGTCTAACCTCGCGGCCACGCTGACCAGCTTACCGATCAATCATGCCACCGGAAATTCCCTTATAGTTCATTTAATGTCCCTGAGTGCCTTCGGGCATTTGGTCAATTTGAAACGATACAGGGAAGATTAGCATGGTCCCTGCACTAAGGATGACACGCTCAATCAAAGAGAAGCACCCAGAGAATTTTTTTTTTTTTTTTTTTTTTTGAACACTTCCAGACCACATTTGCAGGTAGGAGTATCAGGCATGTTGATGGAGCACCGCAAGTAGCGGCCGTTCGAAACAAGATGGAGTTCGGCCAAACATGAAAGCAAAAGTAGCGAGATAATAGATGCCTCTGTTTGAGATCAGAATATCACTGTCCGATGTTGCGATTGTGGTGGTATGTAGAAATGCAAAAAGAATATAACTTGCATCATCCGTGAATCGAACACGGGCCTCGTCGATGGCAACGACGAATTCTACCACTAGACCAATGATGCTAGTTGTTGGTACCTTAACCATCCAATGTTTTATGACTCAGTACTCTAACCCACCTACAAGGTATCTAGCGCTCGGTTCACTATAACGCCCAATTGCTTCAGAAGATCGCTCCGCACAAAGAGGCATCTATGCTCTGCGATTCCCTCTTATCCAGAACCCTGCTAGGCGCCGTACTGTATTAGGGAAAGTCTCGGATAATTATTCCTGGAGGCTTTAAGGGACTTAGACGCCCTGCATTAGAACAACTTCTCCTCTCATAAGGCATAACTAGCAACTGCAGAATCCATGTAGAACAACTTCCTAACTAGCACCACAAACGTCATACCTCACCGGTAGCTCAGTGTTCAAAAAATGTACAATCAAAATGCAAGTCCCTATGGAGATATATGATCATGTAAGACCTACCTTTGTGTTACCTTGTGCTCGGTGTTGTCAATGCTCCTGGCAGTTTATATATCATGTTTAGAGGAACGTATACTACGAATTCGTGCATTTGACAGAGGATGCCAGGCGTTACTCCATCTCTATAAGCCGACAAGACTTAGCCTCTCTGCGCCTGGTCAACAAGGCCTTCTGCCGCAGCGCCTTATCCTGGCTTTTCTGGCATATTAATGCGAGATCCAGGTCATATCCCAAGATATGTCCTTTGACGCGACTCAGGGAATTATCAGAGAGTTCATATGCTGTACATGTTCGTCGAATTGATTTTGGATTCAATGATTACTCGGACAAGCCTGGAAACTCTCATATAGAGCACCCCTAGAGTACCTGACGTCTTGTCTGGTCAGATTTCCCAACCTCAGGGCCCTCGAATTTGATGAACCGGCCCCTTCATCTCACACCAGGTACCTAAACGAATCCATCTGATTCACTGCTTTATCACGAGTAGATACATTGTAGTAAGTGCTTACCAACAGGTTAGCCACAAAGGGCGTCCCAGGATCACATGTGGTCAGTCTGTGTTCCTGCTGCTTATCATGCGAAAGAACGGATGGTCTTCAAGAGGCCGTCCCATTGGGATTTGTCATACGGTGATGCAACAAGCAGCGTGCGAGTTCTATGAGCACCGATGAATGGTTATATACCGAGCTGAATCGAAAATATACACCGAGACAAACAACGGCAGCATCTACCAGACTTGTCAAGCCGAATCTTCCAATATATGAGGTCCTAACGACAAATAGCAAAAGAAACCGCCATAACCAAATTTTAGGACATGCTCATACTGTACGATAGGAGGCAAGTAAGAAAGATATCGACCAACATCATAAATTCCAAGGAAACAGAGCAAACATCTCATTCATCAATCATCCCAGGTCTCGTCCAATTGGTCTATGAGACGGTTTTCCGCGTCGACGTCGGACGCATGGTTGTCTCGTCCCCGACGGCCGCCTATCGCCCCGATGAAACCGCTGCTCGAACCATTTGCGCGGCCGTGTCCGAGGGTTGGGGAACGTCTGACACGGAATAGACGGCCCAGGGAGGAGAAGAGGATGACGAACATGTCCTATATGGGAGAGTGAGATGATAGGTCAGCTTATTTTCAGAAGGATAGCGGTTGCAAAAGGAGTTGATCAGTAATGACATGAAGTGATGCCACAATAGAGTGAAATCTATATAAACTATTGGATTGACAAAAGCAAGACACATGCTTGACTTGGATGAGTAGGAAACTATTGAAAAAAGGTATGGAAATGGAAAAGAGTGTATCGCCTTCTCACTGCGCCCGAGCCTCAGACCACAGGTCAATCCGTTCGGGAAATGGGCAACCTCGCACTACCAAACTCCTTATAGGGACTCAGGACGCCACGTCCGGATCGAATGCGAGATGATCGGAAAGGTATCAAAGCCAAGACACTCACTTTTCCAAAATCAAAAATGCCCGCCCACAGACTATAGTTTGGACATTGTCTCCATCCTCTCTGGTGCATGACTGTTCGCTGATAGGCACAACCACCAACCAGATACGCGGCGACAGCAATCAGAGCACTAAGGATCGGCAGTATTAGTATTCTGTTCGGCATAAGGGAAAGTGACATGGACTTACATCACGCCAAAAACACCCGCCGGCCCCAGGCCTTCACCGTTGGCGTGACCGATGCTGCCACAAGCGGCCGAGCTTCGAACCTCAAAGAAGTATGTGCAGTGATCCATGGTGCCGACGAAAGACGCAATGGCCTGGTGGGAAAGAGCATCACGATCGCACAGAAAAGACATGATCGTCGACTTATTCCGCGAACTATGTGCGATCTGCTCGCCAGGACAAGGTGAGCCATTAGTGTAATTCAACACGAGCTTGCGGCCGCGGAAGAATGGTTGCGCGGCTTGTTCTCTGTACAATACGATCAGCCAAAACATCGCGCATCGCACTGTATGTTCATCAAACCTACCCAATGGAGTATATCTTCCCCTCCTTCTCGTAATAGGCGCTGATATTCTTCCACCTGTCGCGCTCTACCCCCACCACATCCTTTATGTCTTCGACGACGGGTGCACAGATATTGAGTGTAAAGTTGGCATGGTAGTCATGGCCCTTGGCGTGCCAGCTTTCTTTCGGCGCGTTCTTGCTGCTTTTCTTGCCGTCCGAGGGATCCGGACGAGATACTGAAATCGCATTCAGATCGTAGTAAAGGCCGGTAGACGGAGAGCGTGCAACACAGGGAGAGAGTCCATCTTTCTTGCCCGTAGGTTCAGAGGCAGCGTATACCGATGTAACAGGAGCTGATAAAAGGAAAAGGAGTCCCAGGAATGAGCCAGCCAGCGACTTCATCTTGAGGAGTCAATCCCCGTGGGACGGAAAACAACCGGTATCTTGGTGAATCGATGCGACAACAAGGATAGAGGAATTGTAAAAAGGAGTGTGTCCGAAACCGACAATAGGAAAGAGAAAAGACGAGCTAAAGTAGGATGAAAGAGAGACACGAGAGGTTGAATCGCAATGAAGATGCGTAATACGGGCCAAATGGCACTTCGGTCGCAATTCTCCAATCTCCACGTGCGGAGAAGCTCTATCCCGCCTTTGTCCAGGCTTAGGCCATAAAACTAGGTTGCCTAGGTCTCGGAATCATTTTATGCGTTATTATTCTAGGGATTACGCTGCAGTTAACTAGTCAATTCTACGAATAGTATCGTCTCAAGCGCCAAGACATCGAAGGCAGCTATCGGCTTCTGCTTATCCGGCCTCATACGTCGACGATCGGTACGGTAGGCTGCGTCCCATCGCTGATCCGCACTATCTGGGGTTGTCCTCAAATTTTATTTAAACCTCAAGCCCCCCTGGCTCGTCTCTGCGACACAGAGGACCAATTGCTCCTTTTCAACCTGCTCTTGACGTGAGTCGTCGTGGACAATGGCGTCAAAGAAATCAGAGAAGTCAAAGGTTCCAATTCAACCCGTTCCAGAGAAGCGCGGTTATGAGTTTCAAGGCCCGTACGTTGTCACAACCATTGAAAGATCATAAACTGTCAAGCTGATAAGCTGATTTCCAAAGTATTGGAGCTTTCGGAATCATCTTCGGCCTACCCTGTCTGCTCTACGCATTCACCTTCCTCTGCAACGATATCTCGGGTTGTCCTGCGCCGTCGCTTCTGCACCCATCGACACTGTCAATTGATAAGCTGAAACAAGAGGTCGGCTGGCCGGAGGATGGAATCAAAGCTTTCTATGATACTCAGGTTACCCTGTGGGTGCTGAGCTATTATTTCCTAAGTCTGCTCATGCAGGTGTTCCTCCCTGGCACAGAAGTCGAAGGTACCGAGCTGGCTTGTGGAGGGAGACTCAAGTACAAATTCAACGGTAACACCTCTCGCGCTCCCTGGCACACTTATGCTTGGCAAGTTTCTGACGATTCGCAGCCTTCCTGTCGGCTGTCTTGATCCTGTCAGGCTGTGCGGTAGGCACGTACTTGTACGGCGCTGAATTCGTGGTATGGACTTTCCTCTGGGATAGCTATCTGCAGGTGATCACCGCGAACCTGATCATCTGCACTGTCATCGCAATCTTCGTTTACCTCAGAAGTTTCTCGGTTCCCGCTCCCGGTCAATTGAACCCCGAGCTCCGGCAACTGGCGCCTGGCGGGCACACAGGCAACGTCCTGTATGACTTCTTCATTGGCCGGGAGCTTAACCCCCGGATCAAGCTGCCCATTCCTTTCGTAAGTGAGACGGCGCGGACGATTGACATCAAGGTCTGGTGTGAGATGCGACCTGGCTTGCTTGGATGGATCATCCTGAATTTGTCGAATATCGCCCATCAATACCGCACATACGGCTACATCACCGATTCGATCGTCTTGACTACTGCGTTACAGGCCTTCTATGTCCTTGATGCCCTTTACATGGAACCAGCTCTTTTGACGACCATGGACGTCATCATGGACGGATTCGGTTTCATGCTCTCTTTTGGCGACATGGTCTGGGTTCCGTTCCTCTACAACTTCCAAACTAGATACCTCAGTGTCTACCCCTCTGAGCTCGGCCTGAGTGGGATCCTCGTCGTCTTTGCCGTCACAGCCGCAGGGTATTCGATTTTCCGTGGTGCCAATAACCAGAAAAACCGCTTCCGCACCGATCCAAAGGACCCCCGCGTGAAGCACCTCAAGTATATCGAAACGAAGACTGGCTCCAAGCTGCTCATTTCCGGCTGGTGGGGTTGCGCACGTCACATCAACTACCTTGGCGACTGGATCATGTCTTGGTCCTACTGCCTCCCAACCGGTGTTGCAGGGTATGCGATTATTGAGAGTATTAACCCGGCTTCTGGTGAGATGCAGAAGCAGGCTGTCCAGACGCCGGAATCTCGCGGCTGGGGCATGATTTTCACGTACTTTTACATGATCTACTTCGGTGTCCTGCTTCTTCACCGCGAGAGACGCGATGAGGAGAAGTGCAAGCGGAAGTATGGTGCCGACTGGGACCGCTATACATCTCTGGTACGCAGCAGAATCATCCCGGGCATCTACTAGTGATGCAGCCTTCGACCTTTGATTACTTGCCTGCCCGGCTGAGTAAGATGGAGACGCCGCTGTCTTGGAAATTGGACTGTCGCATCTTGATGTAATACATAATAATGTTTGATAAAAGTTTGTAATAATGGGTCGATGTTTTCCAAAGGGTTATACTTTCTGCAAGGGCGTTTTGACGGACCCTGGAAGTGTATGAATGTCCTTTGCATCTCATCACCCATATGTTTGTTCTGTGTATGATACTTATAGAAATCAGTTCAGCGCTTGCGCTTTTTAGGATCAACGAGAACGTCCAGTCCCCATCGTTCATCGCCTTCATTAGGGATCCATCCTTTCAAGGCCTCCTTGGCCGCTCGAATGGCATCCTTCCGTGCTTTGACGGACGGCGTCAATGCCACTGGCGTCTTCTTAAACTGCTCGTATGTGGACGCTGCAATCAATTGGCAAAGAGCCGTATCCTGCAGAGATGGCGCCGTTTCTGGGACACTGCCTGCTTGCAACCCATTGGCCCCATCAACAACCTCCAGCGTACAATCCCCCGAGCATGATGACCGCACTATATCTCGAAGCAAGCCCCAGAGCTTCGCGCGCGACAACGCAGAAGCACCCCGCGGCGTAACAGACGCCGCGCGATTCCCCTGCTTCACCCCGTTGATGATGGTCTCGTACAAGCCCGTCCTGGAACCCCGTAGCACCGGCAAGGACTTGGCGCCGTTGTCCGATGCAATGGGACAAGGATGAGGCAGTGAGGGAGCGGCCACCCACACGGCCGACACGTTCCCCGGCTTATTCTTCTTCGGCGGTGTCTGCGCTGGGGTCGTAGCTTCTGACGTGGGCTTCGGTTTTCGGAACGGCCAGATCGTCTCGATCAGGTCATTCGGAACAGAGAGGACCTGGAAGGGATGGAACCTGTATCCGCACTGTCCTACGCTATCATCTGGCGCCGGCCAGAACCTACGATTCAGCGTCTTCATCCGCCCCGTGGCGCTGAAACACCGCTCGAAGCCAACCGGGCTTATCTCCTCTTCCGGCAGGATCAGACCCTCGATGTACGCATTTCGAGTCGGCGCAACGAGCAGACCTGCCTCGTACGATAGGAGCGACGACACCTGCCGCAGCGCAAGCTTGTCCGAGCACGACTTGCTGAGGGTTGCTTCGGCGTCCGCGCGCGCCGGCTTGCGCCGCACGATGCCGAGACGGGAGAAGTAGCCCCGGCCATCTAGGAGTTCTGCGCCTGGGCCTGGGCCGGGCGACTCGGTGCGCTCGGGTCCCGGTGCGACGACCTCCCAGGGTCTTGGGTCGTCTTGTGCGGCCATGCAGAGCTCCATGCTTGCGTCACCGCAGGGAGCGCAGGTGCAGTACATGTAAATTTTGATGTCGGGTTGAAGTTCGAAGGGGGGCCAGGCGGGGTTTGTTTCTGATTGCGCTGCGCTGGGGGTCTCTGTGGGTTTCCTCCAGCGGATGAAAGGTGAAGATGCTGCTCCTGAGGTATTTGCTGGGCTTGATGATCTTGCATGCTGTTCCTGGGCCAGCAGGCTGTGGCATTCAGACAGGAGCCAGTAGTTGAATGAGCGGAGGGCCAGAACCTCCGCGTGCCAGTCATGTAGCACCAGGCCTCTGGCTTTGGAGACTTGCGAGGCTGGGAGGCATTTTGCACCAGTACTATCAAACAGTTAATATCATTCTAAGCATGAATCGAGACCAAGGCGGATACATACGTGACTGCTACACAGGTTAACTTCTCCGTGGCAGTATTTTCCTCTACGTAGATATCAGCCAGTGACCACCAATATCAGAGACACCACAAGGTTAACCTTTTACAACCACGATCCCGGACATGGGGATCCATTCTCTCGACCCATCAGGGTAGACGGTAGGCTTGCTGCGAGCAGGCAGGCCATCAAAATGCGCATGCACCAAGGAGGCGATACGGGATGGCAGTGACGACTCTGCAGCCAAACAATCCATCAAAAATCATCTCACGCCACTATCCGAGAATCAAATCTTCATCGATGGTTTGTACCAGACACATCCATTGCAATTCCGCGGATATCACGTGATATCTCATATCTCTTTGCATCAGAACAATCACCCAACCGAAATTCTTCCCAGCTTCAACATACAACAACAACCACATACACCCGTCCATCACAGAATACCCATCCTACCGATACTAAAAAATGGCCGATAAACTCCGCACCCTCCAAAACCTCGAAGCCCTGCAGGCCCGCCACATCGGCACCGGCCACGCCGACACAACCAAGTACGAATGGGAATCCAACATCATCCGCGACAGCTATGCGTCGTATATCGGGCACCCGCCGCTGCTGTCGTACATGGCGCTGGGGATGGGCGAGCCGAAGGAGAAGGTGCGGGCTGCGATGATTGAGAAGATGGTTCGCGGGGCTGGCAATCCGCCTGAGGTTGGTTTTGTTTGCTGTGCTTGTTGAGGGAACGCTATTGTTGCTGATGTCAGGATTAGACGCAGGAATAACGAGTTCTGGGCATGGATTGGGATAGGACTAGTGATCTGCGTCCCTGAATTCCGGGCAGCTAGGATTTGCAGCAGGCGAGGTCCGTTCACAGCTATTCGCGTCAAGGAAGGATCCTCCGGATCGCACGGCAATGAGCCAGAGTCAATCGAACTGTTCGGTTGTCTATAGGTCTACGGCGACCTCTTGAGGACTCGACTTGCTATGCGAGCCAGAGAGCAGGCGTTTCACGGGAAATGCCGCGAGATGGAAGGGAGATTCTTCAGAATATGTGTATTGACACAGGATACTCTTTGATACCCGGTGCATGGCGTTATCTGGGAACTGTCATCATGAACAGTTCTTCTGCTGTTCTTACAAGCCTGATTAGAATATACAATTTGATCATTGAGCTATTATTTACATGTCCCATGATATACGTCGGTGGTGATCAAAATACTGAAACGTCCATAGATCCCCCGATGCACAAGTAGGCTAGGCGTAGGGTTAAACTATTGACCCCTCGCCATGACCACCCTGCCGTGCCACTAACCTGGTATTCTCAGCCTGCAGCGACGCAATCAGATCTAGCCATTTCTGCCTCTCTGATCGCAGCCGCTCGACCTCCTTCTTGAGCATATCTACCTCCCGCCGTAGAGCATCCGTCTCAGACCTAGACCGCGTTTTCTCCTCGCGGTCGGCGTTCTTGCGCTGCTGCGCTTCTATCTTCGAGGCTTCCTTGAGCTGGTGCTTTTCAATTTTCCCGAGCTGCTTAAGGAGTTTCGATTCCTGCTGGAATAAGCTGGATGCGACCTTGTGCATGTGCGCTGATTCGATGTTAGTCTTATGCTTATGGTGGCTGTTGCTTGAAGAAGAAGCGCCTTCAATTGCGCCCTGCTTTAGATCGGTACTGGCAGCGCTGCTGCTGGCTTGGTCGCTTGCGCCAGAATCAGCAGCAGCGGCAGCAGCTCGAGCCTTCTTGGTATCCACTTCGGGTGAGGAACCGAGTTGGAGTGATTGGATCTCGTTCCGGATGGTCTCCAGTTGAGCTTCGACCTCGCGTTTCCGCTGTGCAAGCTTGGCGAGCTGCTTCTCGTGAGAGGAAAGCTTGCCCTTTTTGTTCATCTTGATCACATCCACCGGAGAGATGCTGTCGTGGGCGAGTTCCGAGAGGGGAGTCGTAGGCACCGAGTTGGTTGTTGGGATTGGCTGCGAGGTTTGTGACGCAGCATCGGCGGCGTTGGTACTGGCATCTTTTTCGAGACCTTCTGTGCCACCCTTGGCATTCGCCGCGCCAACGTTCGATGGGGTTTCTTTCTCACTGGGCTCATCGGTGTCATCAGCGGAACTGTACTGGGCTGAGGATTCGCGTGTACGGTGTGGACTGTGCGGTAGATAGTCCAGGACGGCCTTAGGCGCATATCGCTCCAGCCCTGCGTTGAGAAGATACGCGAAACTTGCAATCAGGCCATGGTGTTCTTCTTCTTCATATTCCAGGTCGTCCGAGTCGGCACTTTCTTCGTCGCCGTCCAGCGACGGGCTATTTACCGTTTTCTCTGAAGACTCTCGTCCGTGGCTGTCGCGCTCGTCCTTGGCTCGTGTGGTCGTATCACGACAAGCCCAATCGACAAACTTGACGGCGTCGGTGCAGATACTCTTGGGAGTCCCCTTCTCCACCATCCAACGAGGAATATTACCGCCCGGATCACTCCTGGTCACCATTATCCATTCCACTGGCCATGGATCTTCTTCGTCGTCCCGGCCAAGGTCATCGATATGCTTGGTTGTCTCATCCCGTTTCTCCAGAACCGCCGATTCCGTCTTTCCTCTCCGTCGACCGGCTTTGCTTCCAGTAGCCTCTTTCTGCGCAGCTGGATCCGCAGAGCTACCTTGTCGAAGCAGATTGTCCTCGCTCCTGGCCGGCGATACAGCCGTTTCAAGCGGCACGTGCTGCACCGAAGGCTTGTTGACTGGGATTTCCCGGATGAACTCCACAGACTCATATTGACCTCGAATATATCCCTGCCTCGGCGGCGCATCCGGATGCTCACATGGCTTGGACACCATCATCCAATTGCGGCCGCGGCGCTGAGCCTCTGCGCCCGCGCCCGCGCCAGCACCCTCACTGCCCCCATTCACCTCCGTCTCCCAGTTAATGATAAGCGTCACGAAGTCCCGCGGTGTGGTCGGCTTCGGGAACTGTGCGGAGACATGATAAACATTTACAGTGCCTAGATCCTGCTCCCCCTGCTCGTCCTTCACCTTGACCCGCTCAATCAGTCGCTCCGCCCCGATCCCCCGCACCGCCTGGTCCGCGACGCGCCCCTTCCGTATCCGCGCCTGGTTCGCCTCAAGCGTCTCGTCCATCTCACTCGCCAGCTTCCTCTTCCACGTCGAAAAGGGAAGCCCTTTGTGCACGCTCCGGCGCCCAAACCAGTGGCCCTTGCCATCGGCGCCTTGCACTTTGTAGATGGGGATCTCGAGCGGATTCTCCTTGGACCCGGCGACCTTGAGGGGCTTGCCCCATTCGCGCTGGAGGGATGCGAGTTTGGGATCTGTGGAGCCTGTGCGGGCCTGGGAGGGGGTGATGCGCGATGCGGCGGGGGAGCTGGACTCAAATGCGTAGTGGGTTTGTTTGCGGGAGGGGCGGACTCTGGTACGGAGTCGACGATCAGGCGTGCTTTCGAGGAGATGTCATTGATGTAGTCTCGTAGTTTTGCCGGGTCTGTAGGGATGCTGTCCCATGTTGTGGGAGAGAGGCATTGCAATGCTTCTTGTAGGGATGCCATTGGTGACGGACTGGTAGGGTCACGTTCTTTGGAACCTATCTTCGTCGATATTTCTCACGATTTTCTGTGTATATGGACTGTCCACTCGAAGGAATGACTGGTTAAATCAGACAGCGTTGTCCGTCTTAGTTCGGTCGATATCAGCACTGCTTGCTACTCCATCTGGGTGTCGACAGGATGTACGTGCGAATGAATCATAGTCATGTACAAGAATCAGGACGTCGAATGCACCGGGACATCAAAAGCACATTCTTTAGCCTTACGAATGATGCAATCCAATAAATCAAGGATAAATCTCCGCCGGCTGATTTTCCAACATGTCCGTGGAGTTAAGTTGCCCGTCCAGTGTTGGTCCGCCGGATGGGGCTGACGTCATGTGTCTTGCTTGGTACTCCGCACGGTTCGGCTCGCACTACAAAGTACACAATGCACCCAAAGGAATCCTCTTGCCTCTCTAGGGCTACGATGTTTCAACATGAGGATCCTTGATAAAATCAGAGATACCTTTTTCAGTCAGTTGGGACTCGCCTTCTCGTGAGCAGTTTGCCACAAATCGATATGGATTGTGTAGTTTAGATTAGAGGCTTCTCAATTTAGGTACATCTCGCGCAAGTACTTCAATGCGTGCGAAGAAAGCATGATGACATTCCCATTGGGAAGGAGAGAAGATATGCAGAGGGTTCCAGCCCTTCAAAGAAGTGAATGACTATGCCAGCATCCGATTCTCGCCATCATCCACATCTTCCATCCAGTGGAAACGAAATGATGGATCGAGCGTATCCAGGTAATATTATAAACCCAGCCTGGACGATAGGGGACGAACCTACCATGCGACGCACAGGGAATAGGGAACGACTGGACGAAAGAGTCGCACTGGCTTCAAGTGGGCTGACTTTCGACGAGGTCACAGACCAGCGTGTACTTAGCCCTGATCGGAATATCTGCCGCAGGCGAACATTCCGATCCTTGTAGGCCAATGCGGCGTCCTTCGAATCCCTCGAACCCTACCCCCTGAGGACGCCAAACCCGCTAACATACACATGCCAGATGTGATGTATAAGCAGCGCTGCAGAGCATCCTTTTCCAGCCCACGTTCGTAGACTTCAATCTGGTAGCCCGTACCAAAAAGGGGAGGATGTCAGCAGGACAATGGAATGCAGAAAGAAGCCGAATCCAGTCAAGCATCGTCATGCACTTCCACCGTGCCTGTTGATAATGCAGCAAGGAAGGAAATACAAAAGAGGGTGAACATTTCATCCAAATCATATCCCAAGCCGTGAGGCATACCAGGTCTTCATGACATATAATGCGGGATGTAGCATGAGAAAGAAGTAAAACAAATAGCCGACCCGCCGCTTCTTGATGCAATTAACTGAAAAAATAAGAACGCTGCAAGTGCTGGCTAAAGGAGAAACGAGAGAAAACCGAAGTGTGACTGTAGTTGTGGTTTTTCCAAGGACAGAATACAGGACGCGCAAAGCAAAAACGAGGTGGAGTATCATGGTTCTTCGTCGCAAAGTTGAGATTGTGAACGCCGTCAATGATGCCAATTAGTCTGATGTGGGTATCCGTAGGAGAGTGGCCCGTGTCGTCGTTGGGAGTGTATGCTGCCGGTATAGGTTGTAGAGGAGTCTCGGTGACTTTGCTGGTCGGCACCCGGGGACCTAATCCAAAGACACATGAAAGTCAGGCCGACCGTCAACATCAAAGTGTCTGTGGTGCCATGGACCCATTACATCGTCATCAGCGCAAAATCCTGGTATCGGCCGCCCCAGCCATACCCCGACACACTCGCGGCAGTGCCGCAAGGCTGCACCAACATGCTCGGTAGTGGAAGAGCAGTCATAGCGGCAGACGTCACAGCGGCGCTGTAGTACGGGTCTGAGTCGTATGGCGAGGTGGTGAATGGCTGACTGTAGGATGACGTTGAGGAGGGATAGTGCGTCTCATCGAGACCGCTGAGACTGGCCCACAAATTCGGATTAGAATCCCCTGTGCTGGCCGTGGTTGGGCTGGATGGTAGTATTTTCCAGGCGTCCATGGACGCGGGTTGCTGCATTGGAGGTTGCCACCATGTGTCCAGTCCGACCGAGCTGGGAAGGATAGGAGTGGAACGAAGGACATCCACCACACGTGGAGGTGGAGGACGCAATGGGACAAAGAGGCTCTCGATCGCCGCTTTGGCCTCATCACTCCTACCCCCGAGCAATTCACCTGCACCGTCCTCCTCAAGCCCTTCAAGGGCTTGAACATTGGTGCGATAGACGAATCTGTTAGCAGCCTGAACAAACTCTTCCTGTAGCTTCTTCAGCTGCTGTCTCTTCTCGCTCCATTCCCACGTGCTGGCGGCAGCATCCACAGAGTAGACATCCTGGTGGAACTCCACCAGAGCCTCGATGGTCTCCGGGGTCAGCTTGAAGGCAACCTCGTTCTGAGAGACCATGTCGACATGCACAACATATGCTTCGATGTGGATCATCTGGTAGTTGAAGATCGCTTCCACAAGTGGGTTCTCGTCCCTTCGAAGCTCCGAGTCTGGCGCTTTCGGAAACATCATGGAGCACAGAGTCCAGATAGCATGTGGCGAGGACAGAGTCTCCGTTAGACATCTTGTATGCTGCGTGACATTGTTCAGTGGTCTCTTGACACGGTTAACTCGTTTCAAGGTCGCCGTCAACCAGGGCTCGATCTTGGCACTCAGGACCACATTGGGCGAGGACCGCGGCGCAAATGCTGCGGCTGAGGAGGGTAGTAAGATTGTTGGCATTATGGACGACTCTCACGTAAGAGATGATGGTTGATGGGTGATACTCCGGAAGTTCGGCAATGGCGTTTATCATATATTCACGGTGGAAAAGAACGATATCGAAAAAGAAGAAATAATCAAAAAGGCGACATTCGCCCACAGCAAGTGACCTTTTTACCCAGCACAGCCCGTCTGTGAATTCCAATCTCGCAGAGTCCGCAAAGAGAAAGGGTTACCGTAGCAGTCGGGGGGGTAGACAATCGTCTTACCGCTTGATCGGGTATAGATGGGACCATATAAGGATGGATGGATATTATTGTGTCGAGAGGTCAGGCGTGGATAATGTGGAGGTCGAAATTAGCTGTGCGGGCGAACGCGCAAGAAAAAGAATAAGATAAGGAAGAAAGTAAGGAACGTTCAGAAAAAAGAGTGTAAAATAAAGCGGCGGAGGAGGAGAAGAAGGAAAAGAGAGGGAGCTAAAAGACAAGAATCCAGGAAGACGAGGAGGGGCGGGAGTGATGGCTCAAAAGGGAAATAGGAGGATGCAGTCAACTCTGAGTTTGTATGGTATGTAGTATGTAAGTATCGTTTAGTAGTAATGATACTTGTGCGTGGGCGAAGATGCGGAGACGAATGGATATGCAGCGAGAATCCTCTTTGTCAAAAGGGAAAACAAAGAAAGACGGAAGGTAACAATGTTATTATTGATGAGAAAAAGAAAACATTAGCTAGCCAAGTATTATTGTCTTAATTTGAGATCATGTCATACCATACCATGAGGAAGATGACATGATAATATAGTAGCTACACTCCGATACATATAGGTACGAAATATCTTCCATCCATAGCCACCCACCCTCAATATCCGACGATTTCGACCAGTCCACACTGCTATACAGCATCTGACTTGATACAGGTTTCGCCTTCACAGACGCAGAATCCCGACCGGATGGGACGAGAGGACCAGGTCCCAGTGCGCGGACACCCCGTCCGATCTCAGCTCCTCAGTCTTCATGCGGATGCATAGAATATCGAGATTGGCATTAGCAGGATGCAAGTGGCCATAAAGGGAGTAGGATAATTTTCCTATTCCTACCTGTCGATTTCTTGACGGCACCTGGGTCGTACCGGTGGACTGTGGACTAGCGGAGTCATTTGCCTCTATCTGTTAGCTGCTAGCGAGGCGTTGAGACATGCTTATGAGACGGCACAGTGTGGCTACCAGCACAGATCCTCTGGTAGCTATCTTGGGATAATGATTGAGTAGACCATCATCAGTATTAACAGAGATACTCATGAGTTCAAAAGTGTACGCCTTGGTATGGGTATTTGTATTCTTACAACATACTTTACAACGTGCCATGATCACTCAGACGAATCTAACCAGCTCCGGATTGATTCGAATTAGATCTACTCTTGAGCCGAGTCTAAGCTGCAGAATGCTCAAACTGCAAGGCTGGTGGTCAACACGGAGTAGATCATGATGGATCATGGCTAAGCCCCAATGCCCCACCTGCAAAGGCTGCATCTCGAGACTCAAAAAGGTCGAAACGGCCTCTCCGGCATAAAAACCCCTCCATTCAGCCACGATCGTCGCAGTATCTGGATTATGCATCGTCTGAGATACGAGGGCTAAATTTGAAATCGAATATTCCCAAGGTCACACTTTTGACAAGTGATATGTTATTAGCTGTGAATTCATCTGCCTAGGTATAATCTGTTGCAGCATTGCTTTTAATTGATCGAGTCATTATTGATCACAGTGGGATGTCTCCGTGGGATTGTGGTTAGTCTGTAGGATACCAGATGGAGACCCTAGACGGAGATGCGGCCTAAATCAGTACATCCGCCACCAAGGCTGTTAGTGGGACTTTTAGGTTGGGAGTTTTCAGCTTGCAGAGGACATCCTTGCTCCACCACCTTTTAAGAGAGTGAAACTCAATATCAGACTCATGCACTTGATCGCTGTGGCTGCTGTCATCAGTAGTAGGGTGGTAACCGAAGAAAATAAGCCGTCGCTGCGATACTCTGTAAGGCAGTCAAGGTATGCATAGAATAAGACACAGCTATATTGCTAGTGAAATGCATCTGTCGAAGGCTGCAAGTACCGATGGGGCCATATTTGACGGACTTAAACCTAGTTGACACTAGTACTGTTACTGTCGGGTCTATATTTTTTGAGGTTGTATGCTAGCATACCAATATTATTACCACCTAGCGAGCCAACCTAAGATAGAGATAGTAGTTGCACGGAACATAATGTCAAGTATTGCAACATCCTGTAGATACTCTAATTGCAAAGCAACCTCCTGAACCCCTTGAAAACCACTGTAATAGGCAAGATAAAAAGGGGCACCATGCATTGCATTCCTTTCCTATTCCTCCGTTGTTCGGACCTGTCCATCCTTGCGGAGGTATGGTAGGTCAGAAGAGACAAGATTCAAACGGCTTGGTTGAATTGAGTGGTGGTCATGATTCGTGGGGCGAGCTAATTGCCGTGACCCTTGGGAAGATACCCTCTTCTGGCCTCAGATTCGCCAGCGGCCAAAG